TGGGAATAATGTGCCCTCAAAGATGTGCATTATATACTGGGCTGATTCTTGGTCATTCAAGATTCCTGTTGTATAGAACAAGGAACATGTTTCTATTGATGGTCTGTTGTAGCAAGACCTCGTCAGGTGAGTATAGTGGTTCATTGTCGAGGGAGGTCACTGCTGTCTGACTCTGAGTGGGAACTAGGAGCCCCTGTAAGTTGTGTTCAGGAGGCTTTTTGCACAGCCCAAGGAGGACTGGGCACAGCCTAGTCTGAAGGAGCAAGTGTGGTTCTGATACACTAGCGTGGCTATGGTGGGGGAGCAAAGTTCTTCGGACATAACATTTAAATGTTACTGAGGTGACAGGCAGCCTCTATTCCCACTGCTTAAGCCAGAGGCCGTGTGTTTCTCAGAGTAGCTCAGAAAGTTGGCTATTTCTTCTCAACTACGGTTTCAACGAAATGTAAACAGAAGCTCTTCCCCAGTATAAAAACCCAGCACGAAAGTTTACAGAGAAAATATTAATGGACTAGTCTTTGACATGTGCTCTGCAGTCTCCCAGCTGTTGCAGTTTGAGAGGCTACTATTCTGCCAAGAGCCTTGTCTGATCTACTCGCAACAGATGTACAGTTGTTATGCTTCAAGCTGTGCCTCGCTATGCCAGTTCCGGTTCTGCCTTCGGTGTCTGCCACACTGCAAAGGGGCAGAGATGAATGCCTGTACACTGGTCCTAAAGATTATACCAGCTGCTGCCACCCATGCAAACTGAGGCGAGTGGCGCTGGGCTTGAACACGCTGCAATATAGCAATCAGCTGAACCTTGTGCTTGTGCACTGATCATTTCCTGTTGCTTCTTTTTTTATATGCACGCTTTAGAGCAGCCATAAGCTGGTTTAAAAGGCACCGTTCCTAAGCAGCCCTGCACCTGCTCCATCTGGTCCGAATTCTTTAAGTGAAGAAAATATTTCGAGTTTGTTTTGTGTGTGATTAACCAGGTGCGGTGGCTCACTGCCAGAATTTGGCAGTTTTTTTTCTTTAAATGTTTTTATTTTTCTCTGCCAAAGTTCTTTCCTCTTCCCCTTTGTCTCATAAAGGCTTTTGACTCCCTCTTTCTGTCTTCTATTAGGGTATGGTTTCAGGAGATGCTCTGTGGTATCTCTGCCAAGTACCTTGTTCATGGGTGAGCCCCTGATGGTGAGTGTCGACAGGCTGTTCGACCGGAGGATAGGGGAAGGGCATCGCAGCTGAGCCTGATCCTGTTGCCGTTCGTTGCCCAAATACATGCAATGACCCACAGGAGCCTTGGCTGATCTTTCTCTCCCAACTCTGGGGTATACGAGTTAGACAAGTTCCTGTAAAGCTTTGGAACTCTCTTCCCCAATCTCTCCACCTTACCCCTTCTTTCCCTCTTTAAGATCACGACTGAAGACCTTCCCCTTCGACCATGCTTACGGTCACCTCTCCCTCCCCCTGGCTCGGCGTCAGGCACCACCACTATTGAGCGCTCCAAGACGTTGCCCCGCATGAGGGTGCTATTGTAAATGGAAGTTGTGTTGTTGTATTCAGGCCAGTTGCAGAGCTCTCAGCAGCACTCCAGTAGAGATGAGCTAACTCAACACAGACTTGAGATTGAACCTGAGACCTTTCAGGTTTCCACTTACCCACTGATCCATGTGGGATTCATTTAACCTTCTATTGCTAAGGAGTCTTGCTCACTCCTGAGAAGTTAAGCAGGCTAGTTTATTTCCATCTGCCCTTCCTTATAATGTAGGTGCTGATAAAAGTGATCACTGAGAGATTCAGGGCATGGATGGAACATCTGTTTGGTTTCACAGTCAAGTCGACTGACTCTTTTCTTGTCATAGAATAGCACTCAAACTCGGGAGCAGGAATCCTGGCTGATTTCCTCACACCCACCCACACACATATTCTTATATCTTTCCTGTAGATACAGGTAGGTCATATGGCACATGTGCGTGACAGTGGGTGAATCAGGTTCATTGAGTTTATTATTGAAGGAAACTGCATTCATTTACACTGCACTAATATGCTGGTGGAATAAGATGGTTGTGATTTGCTCAGGAATTAACTGGGCTGGGCAAATGTACATCTAATTACTGGTTAGAAAACGTTCCTTGCTTAGTTCGTTTGCTCTACTGAAAACACAGGAAGGATACCTGTCGGCTAGCCTGTGTATCCTGTGACCAATAGTGGTCAGTTACCCTGTGTATACAGTGTGAGAAATGTCAGCTTGATTCACCAATTCCTGTCAGCTATCCTGTTTATACAAGAACACTGAATGGTAGAAAATATATATTTTTTTCTTTTTTAATTTGAAGGAAGTCTTCTTTGAAGAAACATTTAAGTTTCAGAGGATTGTCAAGCCTAACATCTCGCTTGAATTTGACCATTTTCTTCCCCCTCCCAATGTTCTCTGATATTGATTTCCAACTGGAGGTAGAGCCTCGGACTGAGGGACAGGTGCACAGAGATCAACCGCCCTCTGGAACCTTTGACACATTTTCATTCCTCTATTTAACACAAGTGATTTTTTTCCCCCCATTATAAATGTATTTAAAGGAACTTTCATGTTAGTCACTGGTGGATGATAAATCCCGGATGACTATCTTTGCTGCTCCATTTCTGCTTTTCAAATCTACTGCATTTCAAGACCTGTAGAATCATAGAATATTACAGCGCAGAAGGAGGCCATTCACTCTTGTGGCTTAATTTTCCAGTGAGCACTATGTGGTATGAGCTCCAAATCGATGATGGAGATGTAGAGGTTTGGACAGAAGGTCCGGATCAGGATGAGAAAAAAATCTTGAATCAGATGCAGCACTTGAAACGAGCTGGAGTTTTGTGCAGTGTTGAGACGCGACACCTGGTTGCCCTATAATGGGGTCCTGTCTCTTCCTCCCCTCCACCCTCCACAATGTCTTGCTGTTCTCAGTGTGTCTTGGCCAGGGACCAGGCCTTCCCTCTTTCTCCTTCCTGCACATCTTTGAAGTGTTTTCAAGATGTGTTTTTACAAGCAAGGAATTAACATCTATAAAGGAAGCTTTTTTTGGCTTAAGCAGGCGATCAAAGTTATTAAAATAGAAACAGTACGAGAGGTTAACCCTTCGTTCAGCTTAGTATTTACTGGAAAGCATGAAAGACCCATCTCTTCGTGGTAACTTCAATCCTTTTTGACGCATCTTACGACAGTGCTTGCCAGGATGTGGTCAGTGGGAAGGGTCTGGTTGGCAGAATGGGGTGGTATTAATGGGGAGAGAATAGTTTGCGAGGAGGAAAGATTACTTTACAATTTCAGCAATTTTTTTCTTCCTAAATTTATTAGAATTCAATCAGTTTTCCTTTGTGTCATTAGAATGCATCTTCAAAATCCCCTTAGTTTCAGGGAAATAGATTTGCATTGTATCGCACAAATTGCCTGCTCTTCTAAAGCTGCCATTGGATGCTGGGACATGGTTATAATGTCACTGGCTTCTCTCCAGTACTTCGTCGAGGGAAGCATCCTTCATATGTAAGCTGAGACCGTGATTGTCAGCAGTTTATTCCCTGCGGAATGCATCAGAATCTCATCCTGCACTCACTTAACATATGCACACACATGCAATATGGTCTTTACCCAGCTGGGATCCAGTCCATCATCTTCCTCAAATACTGGACTTCAGCTGTCCAGCACATGCCTCTGCCTCTCACTATAATATACTCTCTTACTGTGCATAGGTAGCTCTACGTTGCTTCAGTGTCGGTCACTATATCATCTCGCTCAATAACCAACATAATGCAGAGGAGGCACAGAGCAGAGGAAGTTTAATTTTTAAATAAAGAAATCTCCTCTGCTCTGTGCCTCCTCTGCTCTCAAGACCTGGCAAAATTGTGACTGGACTCCATCTTTGTCCACTCAGTGGCCTCTTCACATCTCAGTACATAATTCTCTCCAGGACTCTGTCAAAGGTACCTCCAAAAGTGTGTGTCTCAACCTCTGCTTTAGATCTGCCTTCATCGGGCAGGCAGTGTCACAGAACCTTTTCCTGTAGCAGTACCTTTGGCGTCTTTTTTTTTGGATGATGCTGATAATTCTTGTTTTAGATGTCGTGACTTTCATGTTGAGAGGACATCTCAAAGAGCTTCATAGGATTTACATAAATTGTATTGAGTGCCAATTTGTGGGCAAAAGTGGCAGCCAATGGGTGTGTTAGCAGTGTCCCATAAACAGCCATGAAATGAATAACCAATTTTTTCTGGAAAATTGATGGCTAAGGCACCTGGGAATGTCACCCCTTTTCAAATAGTCCCAAAGGATCTTTAACACACAGGTGGGACCTCAGTTCAACATCTCAGAGGGTAACACTTCTAACAATACAGGGCACCTCCAAAAAAGCCGAGGATTGCAGAATTGAAGTGTCAGCCTAGTGTGAGTTCAAGGACCCAAAGTGGGGCTTCTGATTCAGAGACGGTTGCTACCAACTGAACTAAACTGACTCCTGGTTTCGCAAATTATTACTTATTAACAAAAAAGGGCTTAATGAAGTCACTTCCCTGATCTGTGCAAGGTTAGAAGGCCCAGCCGTGATTTACTGGGGATAATGTCATTTATCCTAGACAACACAGCAAACACATGAGGTTTGTGTTTGGATACTGAGTGAGCAACTGTGGTGTTACAGCGCCACTGTGTGGTAACATGAGTCTGTATTGTGGAGGGACCAGAAAGGAGAACTGAGATAATAATCAACAGCATTGCAAGCAGTGCCTCATGGTGGCATTGGCATAGGTGTCTTTGTGTCAACCTTCTTAGTTGGACAAGCACAGACTTTATGGTGAGCTGTGCAGCAAGCTGAGGTGGACTATTGGACATAGAGTTAGTGTACTCTGTTTTGCTCATGTCAAGGTTCTGATTTGATGGACAATGTTTCAAGTCTTGAAATGGATGCATGATTTAGCTTGATGTGTTAAACTAAAGTCTCTGTGGGTAGGCTGTACCAAACTTTTATCCCCTTTTCCTCCAGGTGAATAACAATGGGATCATATCGTTCCTGAAGGAAGTTTCTCAGTTCACACCTGTTGCGTTCCCAATTTCTAACGATCGCCGGGTGGTTGCAGCATTCTGGGCGGATGTGGATAACCGACGGGCTGGAAAGGTCTTCTACAGAGAGACCAAAGACCCCGTCCTCCTCCAGAGGGCGACCAGTGACATCAGAAGGTACTTCCCGGAATTTGCGGAGTTTTCCACCCAATGGGCCTTCATCACCACTTGGTTCGAGGTGACCTTCTTCGGAGGGAGCTCATTTTCACCGGTATGATTGATCTGCCAATCCTTTAATAGGATGTCATTGTCTGGTGATGTTGGGCTGAGTGGAGGGTGCTGTTCCTGTGACCTCGAGTGGATACCATTGAAATAAGTTTCACTTCTGCTAAATAATGTAATGTGAAGTGAGCAGGTCCCTAGGGCGACAGACTGATTCACCAGAACAGCTGTCACCCGAAAGAGCTGAAGTTTGAGGTACAGAGTGGTGCAGTAGGTTATGTCGAGATGGTTCACTTTTTGATACAAGTTCTGTCTGGTGGGAAAAGTCCTCTCTCTTTCTACCTTCGTGTTGGATGTAAAGGTCCCTGTGAAATGAATTTGTGTTGTCTCATCCTGCGTGCTTCTTTCTGGATGTGGGCTCAATGGTCCTTTTGCTCAGCACTAAATTGTTCAGAAACCAATCTTGTGTTGGAGATGGAATCAGGTGATGTTGGGGTTCAATGGAAGGAGCTGGACCTATAACCTCGAGCGGATTCCGTTGTGTGACTCACTTCCTCTGTATAAGGTGTGCAATGTAATGTAAATTATCCAACTCCTCGATTAAATTCCAGGATGTGAGTGATTCTCTTCCCTAGAAAATTGCCACAGTAAAACTCGCGTAAGTCTGATCTATATAGATCGTATAATCACCAAAGTCATACATCTGCCCAAGTCCCGTTCAAGAATTTATATTTCATGCAAGTTTAACATAACTCATACTTTGCGTAAGTCATATTAAATGTATGGTCCCAACTGATATGACTTGTGAGGCTTACTGTATTCTATATGGAAACCATATTAAACCTCCATTTTATTCCAGCCTTAATCTTAATAAGATGAAACTTGGGGTGGGGCATGTGAGGGAATGATGGGTGAGTGGGGGTGGGGGAAACACGACCGTAATATGGTTTGTTTAATGCATTCAGGGGCTCTGTTCTGTTCCAGGTCAACACCTTTCAGATTATCCTCATCACGGACAAAAAATTAGCGTTCACCATTTTCAACTATGAGAATATCACCTGGACAACGGGAATGCATGCCAGCAGTGGCGGAGACTTTGCTGGCCTGGGAGGCATTGCCGCACAGGTAATATCCCGCTGAGCACTGAAACGTGGTGCTGAGTCACAATCCACCACAGCTCATGGAAACCTGCTGAGAGGATTTGTCTGCTCTGTGATACCTTACAATATACAATAGCGTGAAACCAGATTTCATCCTCAGTCTGCGCTGAGTTAGCTGATCTCAATCAAGCAGGAGGATTGGCCTCTTTGCTCCTAGGAGAGAGAGGCCTCTTTGCTCCTAGGAGAGAGTTATGGTTCCCATCCTGATTGCAGTCTTATAAATTCCACTAGGAAATGACTATGGTCATTGACAGGGACAGCATGAGGCTCTCTGGTTTCTCATAATTGATCAGATCAGGTATTACAGAAACTCAATCCCTCTATACAACCCCCAAACAGAGCAATGCCAGGGGACAAACACTGGCTCCTGCGTCATTGGCCCATCTTATCTCCAATGACAATGGTGTGTCCCTGACCCTCAGGGAATGTACCTTCCATGGAGGGTTATTGCCACTCTGGACAACCTGATAAAGGCAGAGATCTTGGCCCTTGCAGTTTATGGCAGTGTAGACACCTTTTACCATCTCCACAAGCTCTGCATTCATTCTGCCAGTCGATGCAATCTCAAGAACCAGGCTGCTTCTCCTACACTGACTGCGAGCCGACAGCCACTGCAAAGAAAGAAAGACATGAACCTGCAGGGGTTTGTACACCAGTTTAGTGCAGCTGTTGGTGGGTAACTAACTGGACCTCGCTGACCATTCTTTCCTGTGACTCTGCGTCTCTCCGATGTCCCCAGGCAGGTTTCAATGCCGGAGATGGAAAGCGTTACTTCAATATCCCTGGATCCCGTACGGACGACATTGTGGATGTGGAGATGACGACTAACGTGGGGGTTGCGGGGCATTGGGTCTTTCGAATCGATGAAGCTCAGGTTGAAGTTGGCAGCTGCAACGATACAGGTAAGACTGAGTGAGGGTCCGTGTTCCTCCTATGGTTAAGTCCCACCCCCCCCCACACTTCTTCCGAGCCAACAGCCCCTCTTTACCACAGCCCAATACCCACTCCCCTCCCCTGCATCAAACTGTCCAGGAACTTTGCTGCATAGTGGAACTGGAGGTTCTCGAGTCCTTAAGGACAAAGCTGGTCCCAAATCTCAGACTATCTCACTTTAGGATTGGAAGCCACTCGCTCTCTGTCAAGAGTTCCAACATTAGTAATGAGTGTGGATGAAAATGGCAGCTGCCCCCAGGTCACACACTGACTTTACATTGTCAGCTTTATTATTGTTCTCCACAGCCTCTGTGTGCCTGAATCTGCGGCCCTGTCTGAATGGTGGAAGGTGCATAGACGACTGCGTGACTGGAAACCCGTCCTACACCTGTTCTTGTCGGGCGGGATTCACGGGCCGGAGATGCCATATCGGTACAGTATTTATCTAACGTCAGTTTTGCAGGAGTGTGTGTAGAGGAGCAGAGGGGAGAAGAAGGACATGTCTCTGAGGAAATGTAATAGGAGAGCGAGGGTGGTGATTTGAAGAGTCAAGGGATCAGGAAAGTTGGAGACTACTGCTTCGGTTCGGGGGTGGGTGGGGGAGTAATGAGGCTAGATTTGCTTTGATGAGTTTATCCTGATTCTTGTACCTTTTTCCAGATGTTGATGAGTGCTCCTCTTACCCGTGTCAGAACGGGGGAACATGTGCCAATGAGGAAAATGGCTTTATCTGCCTCTGCACTGCTGGCTTCAATGGAACAGTTTGCGAAATAGGTTTGGACTGTTTTGTACTTGGTATTTGTGTGATGTCTGACAGTCATGGGCTCTCCAGCTGGATATCTTAATAAATGGGTGAGCGAAACAATCTATAACTGTTTGGTCTGCTGCACTGAGGCTTGAATACCGAGGTAAGATATTTGGAGACGTACAACAACATACTCCAGTGAGTGGGTAGTTTGGCATCCCTCCAGCCTGTCTGATGCTGGTTTCAGCCTGCAACGACCAATATTGTGATTGCAATCCAATGAGGTTGTGAAGCCAGGAGACACAGCCTAAACCTGGCATGAGCTGGTCACAACTTCAATCCATTCACAAATAAATCTCACTTTGATTCTTCCTCCGTCTCCCTGCAGTGAATAGCTTACGTGAAGAAGCTGGGAAGTGAAATATTGCTACTTCAGTGACAATTGGGACAGTTCGGATGAGAACGGTTTTGAAGGGATTTTGTTCAATGATAATAATAATTGCATTTGATATAGCGCCTTGTCACGTCTTCGAGATGTCTCAAAGTGCTTCACAGAATATACTGTAAAGTGAATTGACTGTATATTTCGTGGGTGAAAAGTGGCAGCCAATTGCACACAATCTTCTGACGATGCTGTTTCTATGTTCTTGATTTAGATGTTGATGACTGTGTGATGGATCCATGTCAGAACGGAGGGACCTGCATCGATGGGATCACCGGATATAACTGCAACTGTAAAGATGGATATACTGGCAAGCACTGTGAGATTGGTGAGAGCCTTGAAAAGTAACTGAGATTGGGGAGAGGAGCTTAGAGGGACATGGATATCAGGGATGCGACATTGTGGAGGTTAGGAGGAAGGACCTTGAGATTGGGGGAGTGTTAGAAAAGGAACCCTGTGATCTGGCAGACCAGTAAAGAGATAACAAAGCTGAGATCAGGGGCAGTGTTACAGGGGGAGGGATGAGGAGGTCGGTATAGTGAGTGGTGTTAGCCAGATGAATACCTTTGAGATGGTTAACCTGCACTCACTGGTTTCACTGTTTCCAATTGCAGCTGATTCTGTGTGTGATACTGAAGAGTGTGAAAATGGCGGCCTCTGTAAGGTGCAGAACGGAAGTGCCGTCTGCATCTGTCGGGAAGGCTACACCGGGGAGCACTGTGAAACCGGTGAAACCTCTTCACTTTGTCTTTTATTGCCTCCGTCTTCACTTTCGCCTTCTCTCTTGGTGTCTTTCGGTCTGTCTCACTCTCACCTCCTCTCTCGATGGCTCTCGCTCTGTCTCAGTCTCACTGTTGCTGACTAAGGAAAGATAAGTAATCTTTCTTATAACCAATTATATTGGTATATTTCCAATCTCTAGCTATTGTTATCAGATTCCTTTAGGCAGGCTGATCAACGACAAATTACATTTGCATAGCTCCTTTCACATCAGGAAGACATCCCAAGGTGGATCAGATCCCATTTTAAGAAAGAAAATTTAAAAAACGTTTCTGTGCTGTCCTGGTGTTTGTTACCGGAACAATCTGGATGTACAAGTCACAGCCAGCACACATGATAACACCACATGTGATGCCCAGTGCAAAATCGCTGTGGAATGAGCTGGTCTCGTGCTAATGTTTCGATGATGGGGGCTACATGGAGTGGTCTCCGTGATGGTGTTACTGTGACTATGTGGAGGGGTCTCTGAGAGTCAAATGTTGCTTCTTGCCCGTTTAGAAATTGATGAGTGTGACTCCAGTCCGTGCCTGAATGGAGGAGAGTGCATCGATCTGGTGAATAACTACACTTGTCTTTGCCCTGAATCGTACACAGGGAAGCACTGTGAGATTGGTAAGAAGAAATGCACGTCATTCCAAACTGCCTAATAGCTGCCTCTAACCTAGTGCTGTCCTCAAATCCACCAGAGGGCTAAAATGTCACCACATTTTAGTCCGTAAGACCATTCTGCCTCAAAATTGTAAGATTGTGCAGAATCGTGGAAAATTCTGAAGCTCAGTCTTAATTTTAAAAAAATTCCACAGTTCTTTACAACAACCGGCTTCCAAATAGAGCCCGAATTCAAGAATTTTCTACAATTCTGCACAATTTTAAAATGTGAGATGAAATGGCCTTACAGGCTGAGACTAAGTGGAATTTGGGGCCCTGGGAGCAGTAGAGAGAAAACCCTCACAGGGGTCTTGTCAGTGGGATGCCCTGGAGGTGAATTTGGTTTACCCAACATTAATGCATTAAAATATAACTGTGACATGCTGCAGTGAATGAGAGTCCAGCACCCAGGGCTCAACTGATGGAACTGGATCATTTTGTCAGATCCAGACGCAGCTGCTTCTCTTCCAGATCCCTCTGCCTGCCCAGACGGGAGCTGCCAGAGACGGCATCAGTGTAACTACATCCGACCAGGCCGATACATCTGTACCTGCTCACCTGGGTTCTACGGCAGCAATTGTGAATATGGTAAGAAATGAGAGGACGGACGGGCTGAAGTCTGGGGGGCGAGGAGGGGGGCTGCGAGTTGAGGAGGGGGCTGGGGCTGAGGTCTGGTATTTGCAATATGCATCATCTATTATGTTAGATTGATCCGTTACTAAGTATTTTGTTGAGAACTCTTTTTTTAAAACCGGTTTGAATTATCAGTTTTGCTTCGGAAGTTGGACTTGTCATCAACCCCAACACTTGTTTCTTTTTTGTCTGCTTTGCTTTGAAGGTGAGCCCACAATATTGGGGGCCTGTGACCCCAACCCATGTCAGAATGGGGGAACGTGCAATGAGACGGATGACGGCTACGTCTGCAACTGTCCTAACGAATTTGCAGGAAGTGACTGTGAAAACGGTGAGCTTTTGTTTCGGGAACGAAACAACAACAAAATTACATTTATAGAGCGCCTTTCTTGTCTGGAGGACGTCCCAAAGCGCTGAACAGTCAGGAACATTGAGTTTGGAGCAATGCATTTTCCACCATGTGCATATTTCTCTGTTTATCCTGTTGCCATCCCGATCCCAGTTCATATTCCCGCTGTTACTGTTGTGTAGCTCTGTTGATCCAACTTTGTATCTCACTGGTTCCAGTGCAGATCACAGAATTCCAATTGCTGATCCTACTGCAGATTGCAATATTCCTGCTGCTCCCAGTAGTTTTCCCATTGGTCCTATTATGTGGATCTCCTTGGTTTCACTGGTCCTGTTGTATGCATCGCACTGTCCTCACTGTGTTTCAGTTTTGATCCAAATATCACAGTGACTCAACAAGGTGTCAGTCAGATTCAGTTGGTTGCACTCCCACCTGAATCAGCAAGTTGCGGGTTTAAGCCACATGTCGGGACTTTGAAATTTATAGACTAGGCTGACACTGCAGTGTAATGCTAAGGGAGTGCTGCACTTATTGCTGGTACTATTGGAAAATAGAAGGGAGTTTCTCCTGGTTTCCTGGCCAACAGTGGCCCAAATAAATTTGGTCATTCACTTCAAGGCTGTTTGTCGGACATTGCTATCTGCAAATTGGCTGCTGTTTTTGCCTATAAAGTAGTCACCATACTGTACACTATATCCTATGAAGTACTTTGAATTTCAACAACGTGGTGAGGCACTATATCAAATACAAAGTTTATTTGTTATTATTACTAATGATGAAACATCTGTGATTTTTACCCACAGAGGTGCTACAGCCTTGCAATGCTCACCAGCAGTGCCCGCATGGTGCTTCCTGCACAGAATACAAAGGAACCTATCGTTGCATCTGCCCACAGCGACCCAGTGGGAAAGACTGTGAGTCAGCACTTTATGACGTATAGAGAAAAATTAACATTGTATTTGACAGAGTCTTGGGATGGTGTGTGGGAGCTTGCCCACCCCCAACCCATTTGCTACCCCCACTTCCCAACCATTCATCTCCCCAACACACACAGATCAAAGAACTGTGGCTTTTTTTTCTTCCATGGCAGTGATCCCATCCCCCTGTGACTCGGAGCCCTGTCAGAAAGGAGGCACTTGCATCGAACAAGATGGTACCTACACCTGCAGGTGCCTACCTGGATTCAGCGGGCAGCACTGTGAGAGAGGTCTGTTTTCACTCCTGTCATTGCATTGTGTTAGCCCACGCACTGAGCATACTGGCACTGTCTGCACCATCCTATTGTCAGTGCTGCATCTGTTTTTCTGTTAGAGTTACGCTAACAACAAAAACAACAACTTGCATTTATGTAGAGCCCTCACTCAAGGTAGGGTCCCAGAGCTCTTGACAGTTGCAGAGCATGGTGACGACCTGGTGGGCGGGGGGAGGGAAGAAATGAAGGTGGGGAAGGTGGAAGCAAGGTGGTGGGATAGAGGAAGAGTGTTCCAGAGTTTCGGGGCATAGTGGCTAAAAGCATGGCCACCGATGGGGGGGAAAAAAAGACAAGCAGGAGGCCAGAGCCAATCGAGCGGAGGCAGTGGGTATGCGCTGGGGAGTAAGCAGGTCAGAAAGGTAGGAGACTCACTTAAGAAAGAGTTGAAGAAACTCCCATTCGTGCTATAATTGGAGGACAGTAGCGAAGGTATTCTGGAAAACTGGGTTCAAATTGATTTGAAGCGTTCTTTTAGTCCAAACCTTTTTCTCTCCCCTGCCATCAAGTGTTCTCTCTTGTTGAACTGCATGTCCATGCTTTGCCTTAGTATGGCAGGATGTTACTGTCGGGAGGGACACTGATTTAACCTGCACAGTAGAAAGCGATTGAATGTCGTTTTCAGAATGAAATAATTTCTTCTCCGTTCCCTCAGAAAGACTCAGTTCCTGTGCGTCCAATCCATGTCGGAATGGTGGAACCTGTAAGGAGTCCCATGGCACTTACCAGTGTGTCTGCCTGTACCGCTTCACTGGCAAGCACTGTGAGACTGGTACGTCGGAAAGGGTGACACGGGGAATAGGGATATCAGTGATGGGCACTGAGAGGAGGATAGCTTGAGGAGAATGGGATGTCATCAATGGATACAAAGGGTGGGACAGGGACAGATACAGGGAAATTAGTGACATTATACAGGTATGTACATCAGTGTTGGGTATAAAGAGTATACAGGTAAAGGTAAATAAATGATTAATTCAAAGGCCATTGTTGAATGGGTGCATCCATGAAATGTATAAGTGTGCAGAGGGTGACACTGGCCTGGGTACATCAGTGATGGTATGAAGCAGTGTGCAACAATGACTATTGTGTTTGCTGTGTGTCTCTTGACTGTTTGCACCTCAGTAACGCACAGTAACGGGCTTCCTGTTTCTGTAGGAAAGCCGGATCCTTGTTCCTCCAGTCCGTGCCAGAATGGTGGCACCTGTTTCCATTACATCGGCAAATACAAGTGTGAATGTCCCCAAGGGTTCACTGGACGGCACTGTGACACAGGTACACCACAAACCGCTCGCTAGAAAATAGTAGCCGTGAGGTCTCGTGCTCATGCAAGCATTTTCCTTTGGAAATGTCTCAATGGGCCAAACCATTTCTCACTCCGTCGCATTGTATAGCAATGTGTGCTAGCCTGGGCACAATATAGTACCAGACAGAGGTCGGGAATGTCTTCACCGTAGTACCGAGAGCAAAGTTCATTCCAGGTCCTGTCTGCACGTTCAGGTGGATGTTAAAGATTCCACAGCACTAAACGAAAAGGGAAGAGCATTTCTCCTGGTGTTCCAGCCAGCAACTTCCGTTTCTGAAACCTGCACATGCTGGCACTGCCTGCCGTGTCTGTGCTCACAGGGAAATCGACTGCGTGGAGAGACAGAGAGCGAGCCAGCTGTGAGCTCATTTCTTAACACTGATGGAACTGTTCGTTGTGCTCTCCCCAGAGGTGGACTGTGGAATCCCTGATGAGGTGAAGCATGCCCAGATCCTGATCTCTTCAACCCTGTATGGCTCTGTCGCTCAGTTCCTTTGTGAGCCTGGCTACTCAATGCCAGCAGGTATCAGAGAGAGTATGTGTCGAATGGATGGACAGTGGAGCAAAGCGCCTGTGTGTGAGGGTGAGTGACAGCAGGGCGTGGAGGGGGGCGAGGGAGAAAGTGAACGGGCGTGCGAGAGGGAGTGAGCACTGATCTCTGATTGATCTGAATAACAATTCAATGTCTTCTCAGAAATTGACGAGTGCTCCTCACAGCCATGTTTGAATGGGGGCACTTGCCGAGACGGGGTTGCTAATTTCCACTGTGACTGTCAAAGAGGATACACTGGGAGGTTCTGTGAGTCAGGTAAGGAGCTGGGTGGGGTGGGGGGAGAAATGAGCTAACACATATCCCATGTGAGCTTGCTTACAAAGATACACAGACACTACAATTTACAGCGATGGCGTTTAAAGCATCTCTCCTGGCGTGAAAGGCGCTACGTCAAATGCAAGGCTTATTGTCTTGATGGGCACAGGGCAAGTGCAGAGCCAGAGGGACACCTAGTGGCTGGTGCTAGCAGCACTGCCTGAGCAGACGTCTCCAGTTACAGCATCGCTGATGAGCAGGGCTCTGGAAGCCAGCGCCAGACTGTGTCCTGGAGGGAAACGCCATTGTTCTAACTTTACACTCTTATCAACAGAAACGGACGATTGCGCTTCGGAACCCTGCAAGAATGGTGGAACCTGCCAGAACGCACAAGGATTGTACATCTGTCACTGTCCGGGCGGCTTCAGTGGCAATGACTGTGAAACAGGTAAAAGGGGCAGGCGAGGGGGTACATCCAGTCCTGGGTGACCCCCCCCCCCCTCCCTCTGATGGGGAACTGGGTGATGAGGTGGATTTGACACTGATCCCAGGGACCTTGGACCTTGGCCACTAGCTCAGGCTCTCCTGCCTGACTGTTAATCAGTCGTGTTTCTCATTATAAAGTGGATGGGAATGAGAATGAGAAGTGTACGTCATGAATACATTACAGTCTCATAAGTGGGAGGAAAAAGTGAGATTTCTGTGTTTGTGTATGTGTGGTCTGTTTAGATCTGTACCCTTAGTGTGTGTATGGAATCTATTTATAGGCACAAAGATTTACAAAGACTGTACAGCATGGAAACAGGCCACTCAGCCCCGGTGTGTCCACATGATTCTCCACCCATTCTTTACTCCCTCCCTCACCCTTCTATTCCCTTCTCCCTCATGTGAAGCTCTAGCTTCTTCTTGAACGCCTCTCCGCACCTGATTCAACCACCGCTTCAGGCAACGAGTTTCACAATCTCACCAATCTCTGTGTGATGTTCCTCCTCAATTCTCTTCTGGATCCCCCTAGTCGCTATCTTATACCTGTGTCCCCCAACCAGTGGAAATGCTTTTATAATTTTAAACACCTCTTATTAAGTCCCCTCTATTTTCCTGCTTTGACTATCATTATACCTAGTGTTTGTATGAGGCTACGCCTATGTCCTGACTCATGTTGTGTTTCTTGCTGTTTCTGTCTCTGGCAGTTGTTGATGGGTGTCGACTGGATCCCTGTGGTTCTCGCGGCTTCTGCCGCAGTGTGAATGGATCCTACAGCTGTACTTGTAAAGTGGGCTATTCTGGCAAGCACTGTGCTAAAGGTAAGGAGAACACGACAAAGGCAGGGCGGAGTCCCATTTTTCCATGTTCATTCCCTACTGGGGTGATCCACTCTCTTCACCTTCCCTTTTATTGGACAATAATAAGGTGCCAACGTCTTCTACACTTAGGTGATGTGGACTCAGAAACAGCAGGGTGAGGTCTTAGAAGAGAAAATAAGCGTGCCAAAACATGCTCAGTCTTTTCCCAATGAGCTCATCCGCCTCCTCCAATTAATCCTTCCACTTTCCTGGTGGTTTTCTATTGCAGAGCTTGTGCCCCCAACAGCGCTGAAAGTGGTGAACGCCGAGGAGCGGGAGATCGAAATCTCATGGCACCCGCCGGAGACCGGGACCGGTCAGCAGCCGATCGACGGCTTCGCCGTGACTCACACATCTTACGATGGAGCTGTGCGTAGGACAGACTTTGTCAACAAAAGCAGATCTCGGCACGTCCTGAGGCTGCTCTCATCCGGACGGCTTTACAACATCTCCGTCTTCTCTGTCAAACGTAACGCCAATCACAATGATATCAGCAATCCCGCTTCGCTTCTGGTCTGGACGAGTAAGTACGTTCACACTTGAGCCTCCTTTACACACTCACGCTACTTCTTCCAGTACCAGATCCATACTGTGCAGTTTATTCCAAACAGAATTGGCAGCTTTGGACAGATTTGGCCAAGATGCTGGGGCATTAGTACGAACTGTACCTTTAAAGACATGTGCACACGCTCACTTTGCTGCTTATCTGCAGGCTTGTGACCAACTTTGGAGCTTGCATTGCCTGTGTGTTTCACGCACGGTTTGGATACTGGTGGATGGAATAAAGTGTTTCATAAGATTGTCTAATAGTGCTGGGGAATGAAACGCTTTCTCAGGCAACGACTCACAGGATTAGCAATGGTTAGCTGCAGAATTAAGCTCTGCTGAGGATTGGGTTGTATAGTCTGGCGTATATCGATAAAGTTTACAATACTTGTCTGCACACCGTTTTAAAGCCCGCAGCTCGGGTGCAACCCTTGACTGTACGGCGCCTTGGAATGTCCTCCCAACGTGAAAGGCACTATATAAATGCGATTTGTCATTGATGTTGTTAAATGTTTTTGACTGAGGAGGAGGAGGTTGGTGCTCTTTGCTTGCGAGTGACAGGATTTCTTCTCTTTAGAGCCAGGCCCCATTGCTAACCTGTCTGTAGCCAATGTGACAGCCTCCTCCATAACCATCGCCTGGTCTCTCCCTAACCTGAAGCAGCCCATTGTCGACCGAATCCACCTCTTGCTGAGGTCTGGGAACGCCGGAGGAGATACCACCGTCCTCTTGGGCAACAATGTCACAAACTACACTTTTGAGTGAGTATGAAAATACCCTTCTCCTGTTCCTTAACACTGCAAACCTCTTTCACATTCACAGGGTTTGAACATCCATCTCACAAGTTACAACTGGGACGGATTACATAAAAAGTTGCCTACAAATACAGCCACTGCACTTAACAGCAATTAACTGTGGAGCTTTTTGAGTCATTTTGACATTCTAAACACCCATAACAAATACAGTTGTTTTGTTATATCAACATAGCTCCCAATTTCTGCCATTATATAAGTGCAGTCGCTGTGGGAGCTTGTAGCACTTTGACCGCTAGATGGCGTCAATACAAAGGCAAGAATCGTCAAGGGCGATTGTAAGAAAGAAACAAGAAAAATTGGAAATGATATCTGGGATCAAAACAAACTCTTATACTCGTGGGGAAACCCATGCCTTCTGTGTGCTAATCGTATCTCAATTCGTTTAGCACAGTGCGTATCGAAAGGACAGAGATACTAAGAATCGTTGGGGGTGGTGGGGGCGCGGGTGGGATGCTGGCAGTGGGCAGGCGACCTCTGTGGACATCAGACGAGACAGAATCTGGCTTGGATGTGATTGTTTTTCCCCCTCCTTATATACACACACACACACACATATATATATATACATACACACACACGTACATCTGGGATAGCCAGCTAACACGTGCTGTCTGAATAACATTATCTTGGATTTCCTGTTATCCCTCTGCAGTGGGCTGTCTCCAGGTGAAGTTTACACACTGGAAGCCATGGCGCGAGGCGGGCTGGTGACCCAGGAATACCCCGTGGAGAGCCTGTGGACCCGGCCCCTGCTCGTACGCACACGTAGGTTCAGAGCTTTTCAGAATAATTCCGTGCGCAGTTGGATCCAGACATCCAGTGACTAGGTTAAGTGGAAACATCCCTTTAGTCATGCAGCCAGGGCCCCCCCACCCCACTTGAGCAATTATATCCTGGTCGCTGTGTGTCCAACACAAGTGGTCGGTCACACCTGCCTTTGCTCCTTGAAGATTGAGCTACCCCCTCCACACTTGAGTTCCAGTAAATTGACCTGTCAGACTTCCACTGAATCCTCCCTATAATGCTTTGCTTGTCATGCACCAACATATCCAGGGTTGACTCCTGCTGCGTGCGGAAACATCTGCTTCTGCCCTGTGGCTAAAATCAAGAGCTGGCGGTTTCGTCACTCAGCCTGTTGGCAGGCATCAACTTGGCTTTGCTGGTAGATCTCTTGTGAAGCCTTGATGTGCACAAGGTGACTGCGTCTTTGCCTACAATAATGGCCACTGCACTTTTACAGCAATTCCGTCTAAGGTTTTAGAAGTGTGTTGATGTTATAAGAGCAAGGATTTTGTTTTGGTGCTGGGAGAATGTTCCAGTGTCTGGACAGTCTCTGCTGGATGGCAGAGTGTGGTAATGTGCCAAACAGCCTTTAACTGCAGGCCTCCAGAAGAGTGAAGTGATTGCTAGAAACTTGTGTGTCCACTGTATGTCCACTTCAATCCACGACTGTTTATGAGACAGTGCTGTGCGCAATTGGCTGCTGCGTTTTGCCCACAAGTATACAGTCAATTCACTTTACAGTATATTGTGTGAAGCGCTTTGAGATGTCTAGAAGATGAGAAAAGTGCTATATGAAATGCAAGGATTATTATTATTCCAGGGCCTCTGCCTGCTCAGAATCTTGTGTTGGCTGGTGTTGCATCAACTACAGCGAAGATACAATGGAGTTACCTGGCGCCCAGCATGAGTGACGGGTTCATCATTAATGTCACGAGTGGCCACAGCATCAAAAGCCGCTACGTTCCCAATGGCAGGTTAACTGCTTACGTGCTCCACGATCTGACTGCAGGCCAGCAATACAAGGTGGCGCTGATGGCTGTTCAGAACACCGAGAGAGGGAAGCTGCTCAGCGAACCTGTCCATCTGCTCTTCACCACAGGTAAGTCAGTGAGATGGGGAACCAGGGATGTTGTGGAATAAAGTCTTAGAAGCAGAAGCCACAGTGACCAGTGTGGGGAGAGACACTGCGACATCCAGAGAGAGATGGCTGGGGTGTGAAGAAGGACACCTTGCGGAGGAGGAAAGAGGAACATTTGGGGCAGAGATCCACTGGTAACAGCTCATCGCTGTATGTCCACCTAAACATCTGTCAGGAGTGTCAGATCTGAGCAGGAGCGATGGGGTCAGAGGGGAGCCAGCCCAGGAGGGAAGGCTTCCTCACCCCTAAAGCTCCTACAGGATTGAAATTTGGGATTTTTTTTAAAAAACAATTAAAAAGCATCACAGCTGTTTAGAGAATCTTAATTATTTTCTGAGCATCAGTCCTGCAGAAATGAGAGGGTGTCCTGGAGAGATGGAACTCTTTTGGCAGAGAGACTGTAAATGACGTCAGGATAGTTACGGGTACTGGTCACTGTTACTGGTTCTTTGGAAAATAAGCAGGGGAAATGAGTCTAATTCCTGTCTGCTGTTTTGCTAGCGGGAAGTGAAGATAGCTCCGGAAAACAGGAAAAGCGTGGAAACTCCAGGGCAGGGGCCGAAGAGCACAACCGCCTCCGCTTGACCCTGCAGCCCAAGCCTGGAGTGACCGCTGGAGAGTTCAAGGACGTCTCCCGGCAAGGAAAGTAGGTGTAACATTTAACCATCTTGTAACGTGTTTAACCCACCATCGCTGCCAACAGCCTTTTACTCCTCTCTCTATTTCCCATCCTTCCTGTTCCCGGAAAAGTGCCTGGGAGCCCCATTTTAGGATCAACGGGACATTCCTGAACGCAAATTGACGACTGCTCTTGCCATTAGTACACAGTCACTACATGTTACAGTAAAATCCTGTGATGATCCTGGAGTTGTCTTGTTGACAGGATAAGGCGCTCTACCAAATGCAAGGCTTATTTTGTCTTTTAACACATGAGATGATTTTAGTGGTGTGGTAACATTGCTTAATTTGGAAGTCGATTTTCCACATTCCTTTCCGATTGAGATTGAATTCAAGAACTTTCCACAATTTTGCACAACATAATGGTCCTCAAGGCTGAGAATAGGTTGAATTTCAGGCAACAGGAGTGCTGTGAACTGACTCCAGTGTCAATTCATGACCCTTTTATGTTGAAAGTGACCAATCACCGATGCTGATCGCCTTTGAATTTTAAGTCAGTGAATATTGCAGATAAATGTGCCTTCATTTAACCATCAGGTTCTCAGAGCTGCTGGATGGCAGAGCGAGGATCAGTGCCACGTTTACTGACCTGCAGCAGAGATCCATCACCCACAGAACACGTAGGTACCAGGCACAGTTTGCCCTCCCCTCACTCACCAGTCACCTATATCCCAGAGCTGCAGTTCTTTGTGTTTAACTAACGGACGTTGATTGGTCTTTGTGGTGGTTTCCTTTCTCCTCCAGGTCCAGAGCCTCCAATAAAGCTGGAAAATCTGGAGGAAGACACCAATCGTATTAGTCTGGCTCTGGAGATCCCAGAGGCTGAGACCAACACTAAGCCAAGTAAGGACTGGGAACCCAGGCACTAGCACTGGTGATGGTCTATCCATAGCTTTCTCTTTGCTGTGTGTTTTCCTGTGTTTGTAATTACGTGTTTTTCTGTGTCCAGGTGATCAGTGGGAATGTTCCTCAAACCCCTGTAAAAATGGGGGCACATGTGTGCGAAGCATGGACTCCTATACGTGTGACTGTGACCCAGGATTCAAGGGGAAAAACTGTGAATTATGTAAGAAAGGCGCACGGCTAGAATTCATTCATGTGCGAGAGTGAGGAGAGGACTGCTGGGGCTCCCCCTAGGGGTGGGTGTAATGGGATGGGATCCGGTGGGGATCGTTTAACCTTTTGGAAACATGATGAAGATGTTAAAGGTGTTTTATTTCCAGTTTGTAAGAAGACGCCTCATTCCTGCACACGACTCTACTCTGAAACAAAAACAATTCCTGTCTGGGAGGACCACGTCTGGCGTTTCAAGTGAGTCTCCTCTCCTGCCTCCTGCGTGCTGGCTGGTGATTCTATTGTAGCTTGCAAGCTGTGAGGGACATTGGTGTTGAGACCTGGGATTTTAATTTTGATCAACAGTTTAACCATTAGCACCTCATTGCTGAGAACGATACATTAACTGTCTGGTAGAGTCACCTCGGTCACTAACTACAAATGTCCCTCGTGTTTAACATGGGGGTAAGTAAGCAAACTGCCAACTGCCTCATCACACACAGCTGGATGCAGATAAGGAGAGAACAGGAAATCTGGGGGATCTGTGCCCTGTATGTTCCTCTTCACATGGATATGCGGAATGGCTGCCCTCTCCTTCATCATGGTCACATTGTCTCATTCGCTTTCTCCTTGAGGACAGACCGGACTGGATGGACCTCGTCATAGAATCATAGAATTATACAGCACAGAAGGAGGCCATTCGGCCCATCGGGTCTGCCAGCTCTTTGAAAAGAGCTGTCCAAATCAATCCCACTCCCCAGCGCTCTCTCCATAGCCCTACAAACGTGTCCTCCCCAAAGCTGAATTGAGTGGTGATAGGCTGCTGGTGGCTGGTCCCACATCGCATACACCACATTTCACTTTCAGCTGTCTGGTTCGCAACTGGCAGAACTGAGTCTGAGGCAGTGAGTGTGTTACAGGGCAGCACTCACACTGGCTAAGACAGAGTCTGTTACAGACAGACTTGGGACTGACACGGTCTGAGGCAATGAGAGTGAGACAAACCTCTTTGTTTTCAAGGTATAAAAGAATATATAAAGTTCATCAGGATACCTGTTATAAAGAAGTTTGTGAACCTGTAGTACAAAGAAGACCACGTGAGTATGCATTTCCCCAATTTGTTCTTTTAAATATATGTATGTGAACATAATTCATATGTTCACACTCCTGCGTGATATCAAGAATCTTGCCCTGTGTCCTCTTTCACTTACTTCCTGTTACATTCAACATACCTAGACAATCCCCGCACTTTGCTGTGTAATACCAGGGAACAGTCACTGCACACTCCTTTATTACTGATATAATCGATGCAACAAATGAAGATCTGTGCCGTGCATGTGTGTGTGTCCATTTTAATCTCTGTTAATTTTATATTTTGAGGGTTGGGTCAATGAGTAGGGAGCAGAGACACGTGGAGCAAATAGATGAGGTTGACCCCGGTGCTACTGTAGAGACCATTTTGCAAACCAGTGATCAGGTCACCAATTTCACATAGTCTAATTCACTGCACAGCATCCCTGTTTCAGCAAACGCAATCTGATTTTCGAATTTTAACACGCAATTTAGGAAAGAACCACATCTGACTGAGAGATCCCTAGACAAGAGGCACGTTATGATTTTTGGCCAATATTTCATGGAGATAAAATTATACTTTGACTAGCTAACAGTGCCACTTGTTGCTTTATTTCTGTGCCGCCTACTGTTTGTTTGGCCTCGAGGTCTCCAAATAACCAAGCTTCCGTAACTCCTCATGATCAGCCAAAACCTTCTAAATAGCGACCAATTTTCGTGGTCTGCCAGGAGAGACAGAAGAGGATTGTCTAAGCTCTTCATTTATTAAAATAACTTTCTCTCTTGTTTAGGAAACAGAAGGATATTCATACATTAACCAGTCACTGGTGAGTTAGATGCCATTCCGTTCACTGGGAAGGGGTTTGGTCTGTTGGGATTCTGTGCCTTGCCTTGTTCAGGTCTGTGTTTATTTGAAGTTGAAGTTGTTGGATTTCATTTATTTGAAGATGATGCCCAGAAGCTTTTCGGTTGCTGGGATCTCCACCCATTGATGTTGGAATATTCTTTATACTTCAGGTCTTTCTAAGCTGATGTGTGTACAGACATCACAACATCTGCAAAAGTGAGGAGTGGAGATTGGTTTATCAAATCCACTGGATGGTTCGGGCATTGTACAGACGAGACTTGCCTTTGAAGAGTTGGCTCTATTCAATCTGGGGATGTCGCAATTATCAAAGGCCTCAAAACGCAAAAGAACTGGGCCAGTTGAAATCTGATCAAGACACAACTAATTGAGCAAGAGTTTGAGTGTGACTGTGAAATGAAGAGAAGGCTGGAGTGCTTGAGAATGTGTATCTATGCGTAGACTTGTGTGAAAGAGTGAGTGGACCTGTATGAATGAAAGTTTCAATAACCATGTGCACTTGTGTGAATGTGTGTTAAATTGTTACATACTTGTAAATACATTCCTCAAGCTGATTGCTAGGAATTTTGAGTTTTGTCTTGATTTTGTGACAGCACCATCCAAACTTAAATACGAGAAGGCGTGTCAGGTATAGTGTATGTAATACAGTTTTCCTAGAATGCCCCAACAGTGTGCTTAAAGCTCCAACCTGCAAAGGGAATTCCCACCGTGTCAATGTAGCGTTTCCAATTTGCTTACATTGAACTCAATCTAACTAACAAAATTTTGAACAAATGTGTGGAGTGCACTCATCAGCATTGTACTGGGAGATGGGTTTAATTTTCTCATTTTAACAGCAGATAGAGAGATGAATCCTTCATCCCATTAGTCTGGTTTGAACCCCAGGTCTTTCTAAGATGCAAGGTTAAAGTCTCACCCATCTCGCCTTGAGATACAAGTTTAAGGTCTCGTCCATTTCACCTGTGTGCGGTTACTGTCAAAGAAAGGAGACCTGTTGTATCTCTGAGCTGGATTTTAAAAGGCTGCAATTAAAACCCAACAACTCTGATACCTGAACCCTACTCACCTAGACTAACCACTTTTAAAATGCACAAAGATTCCCACATCACAGCCTTAACTGCATCCTCTCTCTCACGCTCCCCCTCTCTCCCATACTCTCTCGTTCCTCTATCATTATACACCACTATGCTGGCAAGTTATCTGTATCTCCCTCCTCTCTCTCACACACTCTCTTTCTCATCATTAGCTAAACTCAAGGCAAGTTTCCTTACTCCACACGCCTCTGTTTACTGAGCAGTAAGTAGGAACCCAGTTGTTAGTCGATTGGCAAATCACTTTCTGGGGCTAATAATACCTTCATAATAATAATTATAATAATGTGGTCACTCAATCCACTGCTGTGCACAATTGGCTGCCGCATTTCATCCACAAAATATCCAGTCAATTCACTTTACAGTATATCCTGTGAAGTGCTTTGAGACGTCTCGAAGACGTGATAAGGCACTATATCAAATGCAAGGATTCTTCTTCTTATATTATTGTTACTGGACCAAGAGATCATACTGGAAAGAGAAATCTTTGGCAATACTGTTGCCCCAAGGAAGGGAATGAGCTGCCTGAGAGACTGTGTTGGGATGTGCTTAGAATTGGGAATTTTTTTCAAAGTATGAAAACAGTGCAATTTTAACTTTACCAGAATTCAACTGGCCTCACCCCTTACTTGTTCTGAAACTTTCCATCTGATTTGGTATAAATTATATCCTTTGTAAGAATTTAACCTTATTACATTTGATTCAAAGAACAAGAGTTTTCAGCACTGCTTCTCAGTGTGTGACGTGACAGTCTTTGGCCCTCAAATGATTTAACAATGTGCTACCTGAAAAGACCCCAGGGCTGCAGTGATTGCTAAAGCTAACGTCAGTGGTGGCATGTAGGCCCTTAAGGTAAATTTATTTCTCTTAAGTTAAGCTAAAGCTATCAAACTTCTAAAGGGGGAGGAAGGGGGCAGCACAGTAAAGCTTTGCCTGGGTGACAGATTGTCTTGGGTGATTTCTGTCTGTTTGTAATCACGACCTTATCAGTAACTGGAACCACATCTGTCCCTCGAGCCCATTGTAAATAGTATTTTTCATCTGAATATGTTAATTTATTCCTCCCTTTCAGTCTTTTCTCCAGCATGGCATTGGGAGTCTCCACTGGAAACTTCGAAAGCCTACTTTGAATATACTATTTTTGTTTTGTCCACATTAACATCAGGAAGGCTTTCAATTGGTATTTATTCAACAGCAGAGCAAATGCCTGAACTTGATCACAGTGATCTCACCTCTTGTCCACCCAGTTATGTTTCGCTCCCCTATTTCTTCATTTAATAGCAACCATATTAACTTAATAATCTACTGGAGTAAAAATTGGTGACAGGATTATTCTGATTAGTTTGTTTAGTCTGCAGTTTCAGGTTATAGTCTCTCTAAAGTGTTTGCAAACATTCTATTGTTCAAGGCTCAGTGGCATCCTTGCTGCTGCTATGCTGCCCCTGAGAATCTAGCGTCCTCCTCTGATGCTTATAATTTTTTCTTTCTCACAATGTCCTCTCCTCCTCCTCTCCTGAAGGTGCTCAGTCATTCTCTGGTATAGTTCCACAGGAACAGATAGTCTTTCAGCACCTCTCCAAAGTGGACATTCTTCATGTATGAGCCAAGACACTGAGTGGCAGAAGACTGTGAGAGATGCTCCCCTGGTTCTTTGCAGCCAAGCTGATCTTCACATCCTTTAGCAAGTTACACCAGGCCCCTGGGTTCTGTTATTGTTCTGTTAATGTGTGTACATCTAAGAACGTCTATCTGCTCAATCCAGGATGATTTGTTACCAACATATATTCCTTGTCTGGCCTTGTTTAGACGAGCCAGAAACCTCCAACCTTGGCTCCTCCTGGAGCAGCCAAGATGTCTGAAGGTAACAAGGGCCGGAATAGTCATTGCATGGGTTGTAAAAAGAAACGTGGGGCTCCAGGTTGAAGTCATTCTTCTTGGTCTAAGCTGGTGCGTGACAAATGCAAGGTGCGTTTAATCTTTGATTCTTGGGGAGTCCAACAACAACAACAAGATTACATTTGTTTAGCGCCTTTCATGTCGGGAGGACGTCCCAAGGTACTGGAAAGCCGTTGCCCTGGATACCACCTGCTGCCTATTCACTAAAATCCATCCAATTCCACTTTGAAAGATTTCAAACGTCCAACCAATGACACATTCCCTGGAGGTCACTACAGTGTGTCCCAGTTGAATGAATGGTGGCTATGGGTTGGAAACACACTGGACTGGATTCTGTAGAGCTCTGTTATTTGTGATAGCTATTTGTTTACAATTTTTAAAAGATGCCATTTATTTTTATGCTGAAAGTATCTCTGAAAGTACAGTGATGCATTCCCATGACCCACCCCTGATGTATTCTCATTTAATAGAGGGAATTGATGGTTTCTGCACATTTACTTCTTGCTGTGAAGACATTTTCTGGGTGTATATTAAAATGTTGTGAATGTTGCATTGTAGCTCAACTGTATCAACTAGTATTAATGAGATTAAATCCATATGTGGATATCCACCTTCACAGAAGTCCTTTCTTTCTTGTTCATCTTTCTCCAGTTTTTCCCTCTCCTAAAAATTCAGTCTCTGGAATAAGGTTCCAAAGAAACCAATCAATCTTTGAAACCTCAGTCAGGAGGTGGGGACATAGCTACAGCACTTGCACTGATCACCAGTTCAGTTTTACCTTTTTATACTTGAGGGGGCTTTAGACCAGGAACTCATGAACCATTTTTCAGGAATCTGAGAACATCAGGTTTCTTTGTTGTTTGCAAAGTGATTTAGAATTATTCTTGGAAGAGGTCCAAACTACTTTAATTTCTCTGAAATTGTACAATGTGGAGATTGCCACATAAACAAGTTGAAACACGAAAATCAATTCATGAGAAGTTGATTTGCATAAAAAAGTACTTCCTGTAAACTGCTAGGATTGCATAATACATATTTTCCAGCAGGCATTTCTGTGGTACTATTTGCAAAGCAAGATTCAGGAATGAAAGGCACTGAATTTTCTTAACGGGTTAGATGCTAACTGTTCACCCAGACTCGAGGGTTAAATCCAACCCAGACTGATGGGAAGCAAATCTACTCTGTCTGTTGGCTGTAAGGATCTAGCTTAATTTAGGCAAAGCAGCAGGTCGTGGGTGTGGGGTCACAACAACAGCTTAAAATTATTTGATGCTAAACAGTGGCAGGGTCGGATGACAACAACAAATAACATTTGTATAGTGCCTTTGACGTCGGGAAGACATCCCAAGGCCCTGGACGTCAAGGATTTGTACCCGAGCTGGCGGTCGGGAAAAGGAGATGGTAGAGGGCAGGGAGGATGGTGACTGAAGAGGGTGGGTGGGGTGGGGTGGGGGGGGTTGGGTGTGAGGATGTCAAATGCAGCAGCCAATTTGCATGCAGCAAAGTGCACAAACAGATATGAAGTAAATGATCAGTTTTAGCTGGAGGATAGGTGGCCAGAACACCAGTAGAAACTCTCTTCTCTTTTCCAGTGCCACAGGATCTTTGACATCCACCTGGAAAGACAGACAGTTTAACATCTCCGGCAATGCGGATCTTTCCCTGCACTGTATTTGGAGTATCTGCATAAACTTACTTCAAAGACCTGTCATGGGGTTCCAACCTGAAGTTTTTTTTAAAAAAGTTTCCTTTTGCTTTCCAAACTGCTGACTTGTTCACACCTGAGCCAGGCTGATCCCAAGAAATGATAATAGTGGTAACAGGATTGTCACTCAATGCTCTGCTGCCCCAAGTGAACAACAACAAGATTACATTTGTTATAGCGCCTTTCACGTCGGGAGGACGTCCCAAGGCGCTGGACAGTGTACAGCATTTCAGACCCGAGCTGGGGTCAGGCAGGGAGAAGGGAGGGGAGGGGAAAGGCGATGACCGAAGGCACGGTTGAAGAGGAGGGTTTTGAAGCGGGACATGAAGGAGGCTAAGGAGGGGGCCAAGCGGAGTGATTGGAGGGCTTTGTAAGTGAGGACCAGGATCTTGGACTGGATCCTCTGAAGGATAGGGAACCAATAGAGTCGGGTGAGAGTGGGGGAGATGGGGTCACGGAGTTTGATGCGGGAGAGGACAAGGGCTGCAGACTTCTGGATTAGCTGCAGCCTGTGGAGGGAGGAATTGGGAAGGCCGACAAGCAGGGCATTTGTATCACCCGTCTCCGCCAATACCTCACTCCAAAAGCTGCTGAAACCCTGGTCCATGCCTTTGTCATCTCTCGACTGGACTATTCAAATGTCCTCCTCACCGGTCTCCCCTCAACTACTATCCATAAAATCCAGGTCATAAAGAACTCTGCCGCCCGCATTCTTACCTGCACCAAACTCGGCTCCCCGATCACCCCGGTCCTTGCCAGACTGCACTGGCTGCCTGTCCCAGAGAAGATCAACTTCAAGATCCTCACCCTTGTCTTCAAATCCCTCCACTCCTCTGCACCCCCCTACCTCTCTGACCTCTCTCCTCACAACAGTGCCCATTGCCTTTGTTCCACCGGGTCTGGCCTCCTCCTTGTCCCCCAAATCCTCCGCTCCACTATCGGCGGCCGTGCCTTCAGCCACTATGCCCTGAGGCTCTGGAACTCCCTTCCTCACTCCCTTTGCCTCGCTCCTTCTCTTCCTATTTTCAGGTCTTGGCTGAAGACCTTTCTTTTTGACTGCGCCTTTGGTCACCTTCCTCCCCCTCCCCCTGGCTTGGCCCCGGGATCCGTTACTGTGAAGCGTTCTGAGACGCCGTCTGGCGTGGAGGCCGCTATATAAATCCAAGTTGTTGTTGTTGCATAGTCGAGCCTGGAGATGATGAAGGCATGAACAAGAGTTTCAGCAGCCTGAGGGATGAGGTAGTGGTGGAATCGGGCGATGTTAGGGAGGTGAGGGAAGGCAGAGCGGGTCATGGCTTGGATGTGGGAAAGAAAAAGAGGTTTGAACAAGATTGGCTTGGTGAGTTGTAGTGTGCAACCATGGAGGTTGATGCTGCCAGAGCCTGAGGCGCAGAGGCGCTAGCACGAGCCAATCAGAATGATCTCAGTATTGTTCACATTCAACTGTAGAAAATTTGCTCTCATCCAGGACTTGATGTCTGACAGGACAGCAGTGGTCCTGGAGTTGAGGGTGGAGGCAGAAAGATAGAGTTGGGTGTCATCCGCATACATATGGAAGTTGACCCCATGTCTGCGAATTATGTCACCAAGGGGGAGCATGTAGATGTTAAAGAGGAGAGGGCCAAGGGCAGAGCCCTGGGGTATGCCAGACATGACAGTGCGGGGGCTGGAGGAGAAACCGTTGGAGGCAACAAAGTGGAGACGGTGAGAGAGATAGGATTCGATCCAGGCAAGGGCAGGTCCGCGAAGATTAAGTAAAGAGGAAAGGCGGTGTATAAGGATGGAGTGGTCGACGGTGTCGAAGGCAGCAGAGTTTGTTGTGGAAAAGAGAAGCCTGCGGTTGTCCTTTGCCTCCAAGATAGCCTTGGAGTGGAAAGAGGATTTGGGGCTCGCTATTCCAAGAATCAGCATTGACACACGTGGTGAACAAATTTATAATGATTAATTCAGATGTGACAGATAAGAAGAATGGAAGTCAAGATACAGAATGTTATCAGCAAGAGTATAATACTTCTCTTTCCAGAGAAACGTTCATTCAGTGTAGCTCAAATTCATGGAATTCTTGAACGGTCACGATCTGCTTGAGCTGTTGAAAGCAGGTCAAAATTTTAGCTGGTTGGAACTTTTCCAAGTTAGGTGTGGAATGGAAGTCCTCCCTCTGGCAGTGTTGCGTTATTCAGTATCTTGCACGTACACACTCTACATGAGAGCTTAAAGTGGTTGACTTTCCTTTTGGTTTAAGATCGCTGTGCCAACTCCAGGTCAGGTGAAGCATAGGTCATTTTCATAACAGCATCTACTGGAGTGTCTTGGGATTGAAACGCTCTCACTACATCGGGCTCTCACAGCGCCTTGGACCGTCTTCTGAACCTGAAAGGCGCTATACAAATGTAAATTTGTTGTTGTTTGTTGTAAATTGCCACAACAGTGGAGCTTTGCTCCTAGATTAACTCAGAAGTAGAGTGCTCCTTTCTCTGGAAAGATCACTAAGTATAAGAAACACATGAACAGTATCTTGTGCCAACAGGAACTGTATTTCAGTGTTCTCTTCTGTCACAGCAAGGTCACAGGATTGTTTGATGCATCTCAAGTTGCATGCTTAAATGTTTGCACCTGCTGTTGCAAATATCACATTTTGAACCCAATGGTATTTTATCTCTCTGATAACACTAAAGAGAAAGGTGAAAATTAAGGTGATGTACAATGACGAAGCTAGCTGGTTAAACTCCAGCAAGCACATATCGCACACTCTGGGGTCCCCAAGCCTTGGCCCTTGCCAACCTGTGGAGCCTGTAGCGTATTGGTTCGAGCACTCACCTCGCAAGCGAGAGGACCTAGGTTCGGGCAAGGTGAAACTTTAGGCAAGTTTCCTAACTCCACACACCTCTGTTTACCTAGCAGTAAGTAGGAACCCGGTTATTGGTTGATTGATGGATTGCTTTTTCATGGGTAATAATCCCTTTAAAAATAAATAAATAATAATAATTTGATCACTCAATCCATGACTGTTTGAGAGACACTGCTGTGTGCAATTGGCTGCTGCGTTTCACCCACAAAATATACAGTCAATTCACTTTACAGTGTATTCTGTGAAGTGCTTTGAGACCTCTTGAATATATGATAAGGTGCTATATTAAATGCAAGGATTATTATTATTAATACTGTCTAGGATTGTGCACTGAGATTTTTGTAGACTGTACACTGACCATGAATGAAAAATGAAAATATTTATTTTTTTGCATTTGCTATACGCCTTATCACATTGTTGAGACGTCTCAAAGCCCTTCACAGAATATACTGTAAAGTGGATTGACCGTGTATTTTGTGGGCCAAACGCATCAACCAATTGTGCCACAAACAGTTGCAGATTGAATGACCAATTATTATTTTAATGTTTTTTTTGAAAGGAGTATTAGCCCTGGAAAGAATACTGTCTGGGACTGTACATTGACCAGATTGTACACTGACTAGGATTGTTAAATAACACGAAATTTTAGTCTGAACCCACAAGTTGCAGCAACATTCAGAGACTTAAATGAAAGGAGTACTGTTTACTTGTAAGGGAGCGTTACTGGGAATCCAGTCGGCAGATGGTAATCTGATTCCTGTCAATTAATGACATCAACATTTCTGCCATAATGAAGAGATTTATGAAGCTGCAGGTCCCGCCCACAGCCTCATAAAATGATCTATAAAAAGAGAGAATCTTCTCTGAGAGCCAGAAGTCTGTCCACATCAGATACATCTGAGAAGCTTTACAGCTTTAACTGACGATGGGGCTTTTTACTGAGCTGGAGTGTGGCATCTGCTACCTGCCTTACACACGTTGCAGCAGGCAGCCTCAGGTCCTCAAATGCTGCCACACTTTCTGCAGTAAATGTGTCGAACGCTTAGTGCTGCGGAAGCGTAAATCAGCCACCTTAACGTGTCCTGTGTGCCGAATGCAGACTGTTTACCCACGGACAATCAATTTGTCCGAGTCTCTCCCTCTGGATTCAGACATCTGGAGGCAGATTCCAGCAGAGAAACCACAGGAGGAGCAGCCGGAAGAGACGTTACACAAGTTGCTGAGAACTGCTCTGACTCATGTGGCAGGAAGGTAATTATCATTAAGTTTTTATCTTCCACATCCTGAATTGCTGAGCCCTGGAAAATTATTTTTTTGAGTCATTTTCGTCCATTTCACCAGCTTAGTGCACATTCCCATTTGGTCGTATACTCTTGTGTTTCAGTGTCATCTGCTGTACTCATGCAGTATGCACACCATGTAAAAAGGGAAAACTGCTCACTCCTGCCTGGTGCTGTAGAGCTGCAGTGTCAGATGTCACACACAACAACAACATTACATTTGTATAGCGCCTTTCACGTAGACAGGACGTCCCAAGGCGCACCAGGTAAAAGGGAATAATTCACTCCCATCTGACACTGTACTATACTAGACCCAACATCTGCTACAATCTGCTTCTGTCACAGCAGAATCAGCTGACTTATGTCCTCAGAAAGCATCAGAGCTCTCCTGAAGGATGGGCTTCACCCAGCTAATAAGTGCAGAGGACCCTGATCCTTTTCTGTGTCCCATGGTCACCCCTAAGTAGAGACTAAGTCTTGGCTCCCACCGTCACCCTCAAACTCACTCCTCCTTGATGGCGAGACATAAAAGATTGTGCTGCTTCTAGCCTCCTCGTAAATACAAGTGAAAGTGCCTAAAAAGGATTACAAGTGAGTTTCCTAGGTTAGGGGAGCGGACAATGAAAAGTATGTCTCTTGCTCCTCTTGGGAACAAATACACCAGATGACCTCAAGCAGTTGGAGCCCCTTCTCTCTGCTTTCCAGCATCATTCTGTTCATAGACCCTCCAAGCACATCAAACACAAACATTTGGATAAGTCCACGGAATGTTACAGATGTATGACACTTTGCTATAAAGAGGGAAGTGATTTATTCACACACTTGGTTCTTTTCCTGTGCAGGTCCTCCAGAAGAGGCAGATCAGCGTGGGTAAGGCCGAAGCTCAAATGGCCACAGTTCCTGAAGAACTGGAAAAGTCGGGGCCTTTTTGGAAGAAAACAGAACCCAGAGGAGAAGCGTAAGTGCCTGAGAGTTCATTTATTCCTGTGTCTCAGTGTGTCTGTCCTTCATTTGTCTATAAAATGCAGTTGCTTCACTTTACGGTAATTTCCTTGGAACCTGTGAAGCGCTTTACGATAGCCTATAATAATAATTTGGTCACTCAATCAAAGGCGCTGCTGCGCGCAATTGTCTGCCGCTTTTTGCCCACAGAATATGCAGTCAATTCACTTTACAGTATATTCTGTGAAGTGTTCTGAAATGTCTCAACAACACGATAAGGCGCTGTATCAAATGTAAGGATTATTGCATATTATTATTGCCTACATGTCAGAATGTATTTGTCAAAGTGTGTTTGTGAATGCGGGTGGAGTGGGGCTGAATATCCAACTTGAACGTATTGATTTTCCCAAATAATATTAAATCACAGAACATATTTTCAAGAATTACGATTGCACAAGGACATACAAGTTAGAAGCGGTTGTCAGTGACACAGCATTGCAGTTGTCTGCACGCCCACACATTCAAATGCACTTACAGACACTCACACAGACAAACTAATATGCATACTCAGCCTTGAGCGTAGTTGTCCTGTCTCATACTCAGATATTCTCACAGACACACGTACATTTATGCTTGCCTATTCCTACATACATACATGCACATGAACTCAGCCCTATCCATACTCACATTCAGATCCACTCATATTCATATCCAATACAGAAGCAGGTCATTTGGCCCATTGTGCCTTGTGCCATAGCTACCTGAAATATCACCCTTTGTTATGAATCCCACTCTCCAGCTCCATCCATTTTGTGTGAGAAACATCTGTGATTTGTTTAATGTCCAGCTAAGTTGATTTTTGGTTTATTATCCTACAGGACAACTAGAATCAGATCAGAAACTGATTGCTCAGGTGCCGTGGTTCAGTGTGCTCTGATCTCAAAAGGATTGAAGAAGAGATTCTCCGACCTGATCCTCACTGAGCCTCACTAAAGTCCATACCACCAATATGACAATTTAGACACTCGTTATTGTGGAAGTTGTGAAACTAAAGGCAAACTCTGGACTAACTGCTGCACAACAAAATAATGTTTGAGAATGAATGCAAGAAATCCTAACCTGATTTGCTTTTAGCTCTCATTGATTTGTGTATTTATTTGCCTGGTGTTGAGTTATTTAAAGGGAATATCAGAAAAAAAAGTGTTTGGCAAACTTTTTGTGTGTATTCTGACAGCTTACAAAAACAACAAATTACATTTGTATAGTGTCGTGGATGTCCCAAGACACTGAACAGTCAGGGACCTGGACACGAGCAGTCGGTTGGGATCAGGAGGAGTGGAGGGCAGGGAGGGTAGGGGTAGGAGGGTGACCGATAGCGCAGTCAATAAGGAGGGTCTTGAAACATGCCTTGAAGGAGGCCTGTGAGGGAGCAAGGCGTAGGTACTGTGGAATGGAGTTCCAAAGAAAGAGGGCAGAGAGGCTGAAGGCCCGACCACCAATGGTGGGATGGGCCAGGCGAGGCACGTGGAGCAGGCCAGAGCCTCCTGCGTGGAGGGAGCGGACTGCTGGATATAGAGTTAGCAGGTCAAGCTGAGCACTGTTTCCATCAGAATGAGGTCTCAAGCAAGTGATTCAATGTTGGGCCTTGATATGGACTGAAGTAATGTGTCATGTGTTTGCAATGCAAATGAGAAAAGATTTGCCAAAGACTTTTTTTCATTTATATATAAATTTAACAAGTGACAGTTGTTGGGTTATAGTTGGTCAATTAAGCTGCTCACTCTGCGTGAATATTTAATTTACTTTAAAGCTGCTGAATGGATTAATTTATACATATAGCTGCATTGTAAATAAACTTCAGATTGTTTAAAAGTGCAACAGGGTCTGAGTTTTTCATGGATAATGTTTATTGGATTTTAAAGGATAAAATGTGTATGGTAATGAGCAATGGGTATGTTACATCTCTGGTAGCGCCAATAATTCCTTGGATGAGTGGCACAGAAACTACTAAGCTAACTGAAGAAACATCAGGAGTGAGTAATGGCCACCAATGTATATCCTTCTAGTACATTGGAAGTTATGCCTTTTAAGTCTTTGTGCAGCTTACACCTGAGTGGTTCATTCACTTTTTATGGGTTCTTCTCTGGTCTCTGACATATTTGGTCACTCAATCCACGACTCCACCCATTTATAGCATTTTGTGGAACACTGCTGTGTGCAATTGGTCACCGTGTTTTGACCACAAAATATACAGTCAAATCCACTTTACAATATATTCTGTGAAGCGCTTTCAGACATCTTAATTCTGTGATAAGGCACTATATCAAATGCAAGAATTATTATTATTATTATATTCCAGGGTTGCACATTTCATACAACAGGTCTAGCGTACAAAACGTAATACAGAATGCCATTCGCCCAATGATTAGAAGTACAGCAATGTTGCCAATGTGCCAAAGGAACAGTTAACAACTTCCACCTTTTCAACAGTACTGCAACTGCAAAGTCCTAGAAAAAGTTCTCTCTGGGCTCAGTAAAGAATTGTTCTGTCATAAACCAGCACAGTGTGATTGTGGGCTAACTCAACTCACAGTGTTGAGAACTTTCCAACACCATACAGCTTGTTTATAACTCATTCTGTCCAGCATACAAAAAAGCATTCAACAGAGTCAAATGGGCTTTTGTGTGGAGAGGTAGTTCATATAGAACATGATTTAGTTTTGAGGATAAGTTCATTATGTTATTGCCTTGCTGTGGTAAATATCAAGGCACATTCTGAAGAACAAATTGTAAAACAATATCAGGGAAGTAAAGCCTGACTGAGGTAATTTTATTAACTGTGTCACTCATTGGAATCAAATACTGTGAAAAGGGAGAATTAAAATAGAAGATTTTCTGGTGGAGTCCTGTAGCTCAGAAGTTAGATCACTCGCAAGTGACAGACCTGGGTTTGATTTCCAGCAGGGTGAAACGTTGGGCAAGTATCCTTCGTCCACATGCCTCTGTTTACCTAGCAGTAAGTAGGAACCCGGTTGTTAGTCGATTGGCGAATCACTTTTCCGGGATTAATAATTCCTTCAAAACAAAACAAAATTCTTCACTCAATCCACGACTGTTTGTGGGACACTGCCGTGCGCAAATGGCTGCCGGGTTTCACCCACAAAATACACAGTCAATTCACTTTACATTATATTCTGTGAAGCTCTTTGAGACGTGTCGAAGACGTGATAAGGCCCAACATCAAATGAAAGGATCATTAATATTAAGATGCACTTCCCCCTTCCACACCAGGGTGAACGCCTGGTGTGTTCTGAGATATGCAGATCGGGAAGGTTCCTTTGATCCCTGATGTGTGCTGACTGTGCTGCTCTCAGCTGGGTAGCATTAGTGGGCACTACATGGTAACTTCAGAATTCCCTACAGTATTTACAAAGTCTGTTTATAAATTTCGCCAATTAGACCCAAACTTATTTTTCACACAAGGGTATTGTAATAATTTTATCACAGTCCCAGAGAAAATGATTAACTAGCATAGAGACACACCCAGATAGGGAGCGAGTGAACAGCATGGGAGTCGTTGTTTTTATCGCTTTCAAAGTTTGCGTTTCTCTTTTAATATCTGCCTTTCTTTATGTTACAATTCTGCAGAGGGTAATTTATAGATAAAGGCTGGACAGATTCGAACTGAATGCAGAGAAGGTGAAGAGTAATATAAAACAATAATAATAAATAATAATCCTTGCATTTGATATAGCACTTTTCATGTCTTCGAGACGTCTCAAAGCACTGCACAGAATATACTATAAAGTGAATTGACTGCATTTTTGTGGGCGAAACGCAGCCGCCAATTGCGCACAGCAGTGTCCCACAAACAGTCCTGGATTGAGTGGCCAAATTATTATTGTTTCTTTTTTTTTCTTGAGAGATCATTATCAAGCGTGTGGAGTAACGAAACTTGACCAAGCTATCGCCCTGCTGGGAATCAAACCCTGGTCTCTCATTTGCGAGGCAAGTGCTCTAACCACTGAGCTACCGGACTCCAACTTGGCAGAATATGGCAGAAGTGTTCACAGTAACGATAGGGTTTAAGAGGATGAATGGTGAATGCAGAGGAAGGTTGTAAAAGAATAGGTGAAAGGGCAGAGAATTAGGATTAGAAAATTGACTTAATTGAAGGAGCAAACACCGATACTAGTATAATTGGTTGAATGACCAGTACTGTATGCTGGGTTTGTTAGGTTTCTATGTAAAGACCATAAGATGAGTGCAGTCTCAATGTAACTCTGTGATTTCTAAATCACCTGCATGTTTAGTGCATGTGTAATCTCTATAAACTCGAAACTGTTCCTATGAAAGTCAAATGTAAATACAAATTTCAAGTGGACTTTGAACATTTTATGGAATTGACACACCCTCTTACACAATACTGTACAGGTTAGCTTCAACTTTATTCCTACTCGGTTGGATCATGGCTGCAGCCAGACACCAGGACGATTTAGAGGACGATCTGACCTGTTCCATTTGCCTGGAGATTTACACAAATCCTGTGATACTCAACTGTAAGCACAGCTTCTGTCGAAGTTGTATTGAAGATTTATGCCAGGAACAGGGTTCCAGCACGTCTTCTTGTCCATTATGTCAAGCAACCTTCAGATTAGGGGCTGATCTGGAGATGAATTTCCAACTGGCAAACATAGTTCAGAAATACGCAAACTTGGATTTGTCTCGTAACTTTGTTCCCTGTACCTACTGTACCAAGAAGCCCTTTCCTGCTGTTAAAACCTGTCTTAAATGTGAAGTATCGATGTGCTCCATACATATCAGACTGCATCGAGAAAATCCAATGCTTAAAAGCCATCCTCTAGTAGATCCCACTGAGAATCTGGCTGTAAGGAAATGCACAGAGCATGAGAAGCTGCTGGAGATTTATTGTCAGGAGGACGAGGTTCTTGTCTGCAGTCTTTGTGCTTTGATAGGAAATCATAGGGGCCACTACTTAATGAGCATCGGGGAAGCAGCAGACGAACTAAGGGTATGTATGTGTCATTGAAGATGGATTGCTGTATTTAACTGCTGTATTTACTTATCAATGCTTAAACTCACTGTAATGCACAATAATACGAAATAACCAGTATTCTGATGTTTCCAATTAGAATCACTTGGAAAATCATCGAGAGAAGATCGGGGTCAATGCTAAAGCATTACGAGCAACAATGAAAGATCTTCAGAAAGAAAAGTACATTACATTGGTGAGTTTGACGTCTGTAGAAGCTGCTAGATTCAAAATGGGCTTTCATGGTTATAAATCAATAAGGAATTGCACACACAGACCACATTGGTAAGTGAGTCATTAGGTTGGATGTTTGAAGAAGGGGAGGAAGGTTGTGTTAAATAGGAGTCACATGGGCACATAGAAAACACGCAGCTCATGATGATGATCATCTTCAGAAAAGGTGGGGTAAAGCAGAGGCCTTCATGAAATTTTGGGGGTTTTGCCCTGTGGACTCACACTCATTAAGACCTGAGCTGACACTGACCTAACTCATTCTATCTACCAAGTAAATCCATCTACTTTACCTGGGATGGATTTAAACTCAGACTTCAGAGATGAAAGAATGTCTAATAATAATAATCCTTGCATTTGATACATTGCCTTATCACGTCTTCGAGCATCTCAAGGAGCTTGAGATCGTGGATTGAAGTGACCAATTTATTATTATTTTTTATTATTTTTGAAGGAATTATTACCCTAGAAAAATGATCCACTGAATCCACTGAACCACCCATTTCCCATACTTTCCATACTTTTTATTCTCTATTTGCTACGAGTCTTCTCTTCACAGTTGCTTTGATTGGAAATATACATTATCATGGAAAAGGTGTGATGTGATCTGCATCCTGTAATGATTGTCACTTTCTCACTGAAGGATGTGTTGAAGGAAAGGAAATGGAAAATTCAGGATAAATATGATGCTCTGAGGCAGCAGATTAGAAATGAAGAGAAAGAAGCTTTTCATCAGTTGGACAAGGAGAAGCACCGTGCAATAGGTGAGATTGATGACAGGATCTACAAGCTGCGGAATACAGTGAAAGAGACAGAGAAATCTCTGACCACTCTCAATAACATTTCAAAAGAGAAAGAAGATCTCCTCTTCATACAGGTAGGTTGGGATTTCTACATGAGCATGTGAATAATTTAGGTGGATGAATTAAATATAATTACATTGTCAGCATTTATTTATGTACTGATAATATTTAGAGTGCACAAAAATCAAGAATATAAAAAAAGTAAATTGCATCCTTTGAATTCAACACATACTTGCGACGGGTCTGCCTATAGTAGCCCAATAGATTAACCACTAGCCACATGCGGCAAATTGGGAACCCAGATGTGAGGACATTTTATTTTTGATTAGTGAATAAAAATCGATAAATGGACACTGTCGTTAGGCATGTGATCACAATACTCATATTCCCACGGCAGATGCATGTGTACTTTGATCTTTTTGTAAGATTGTTGGTAAAATGTTAAGACGAAAAGCTTTGAAAAGAATTTGCAAATTCTCTTTGTTCGTAGTGATTATTAAGCAATGACATTGGCTACTGCTTATTGGTTATCTGCTAAAATGGTGTTTCGCACTGAATGGTGATAGTCGTTTGCCAAGTGCAGGTTTGTTCAGTAAATAAACATGTGAAGTACATTTACTTGTATTGTGTAAGTGTATGTAAGGTATTTTCTACGAAAATTAATGCATGTGGCTAAAATTGTGTCACCATAGCCACACCTTGTGGCTCGTCAGTGATTTCTATTGGACAATACCGATCTAGAAGGTCAACTTCAACAATCATCGCAAGAGTTTGAGAAAAATCTGGACAGAGATGAAAGCCACTTCCACTAATATACAGGGTTACTGAAACTCCCCCTAATGTTATAGTGTTTGAAAGTATTTTCTCTAACTTTCGATATCCTGTACAAATTCTGCACATTCTATTTTACACTAATTTTTTTTCTCTTTATTTTATTGCAGGGATTTAATTCAATCACAGTCATGTAAGTGAAAATCAGCTAAAATTATATTTGTGTGAACATTTGTTTAAGAGAAGATAGTTGTTGTGCAACGTGAGAATGGACACAATTCCAGGGATGCATGACCGTGGGACTCTTCTTGAGGGTAATTAAGGAACTGGAATAGATTGCCAGGAAGAGTTGAGGCCAGGACACTGGACTCATTTAAAAAGCAGCTTGATGGTGTAATGGGAGGATGGTAGGATGGGTGTTTTGGAGGGATGAGATCAGATGGGCCGAAGAACCGTCTTCATCCAAACCAACCTTGTGATCTTCTGATCAGCAACAACAGCAACAACAAATTACATTTGTATAGCGCCTTTCACGTCGGGAAGATATCCCAAGGCGCTGGACAGTCAGGGATTTGAACGCGAGCAGGGGGTTGGGATCAGGAGTGGTGGAGGGCAGGGAGAGTAGGCGTAGGAGGGTGACCGAAAGCGTGGTCAAAGAGGAGGGTCTTCAGACATGCCTTGAAGGAGGCAATGGGAGTGTAACAAGGGGAAGGGACTGTGGGTTGGAGTTCCAATGGGTGGGGACAAAGAGGCTGAAGGCCTGAGTGCTAATGGTGGGGCGGGCCTTGCGGGGGATGTGAAGCGCGCTGGAGTCCGCTGAGCGGAGGGAGCAGACAGGTCGATGTGGAGTTAGCAGGTGACAGAGGTAGGGAGGAGCAAGGCCATTGAGTGCTTTGAAGGCGATCAAGTATGTGGACGACCTTCACCCAGTCTGTATTTGAGTGAGGGTATGTATGTTACTGTCATTAACATTATATAGATTGAAAAATGGCCACTAATCCTTTCTTTCCAGTTTGGATAAAATACAGTTGGAAGACGTGAGGAAATGGAAAATCGAGCCAACCAAAAAGCAGAGGAACAGAGAGGTGATGATCAGACTCTGTAAGTGTCCCAGAAATGTAAGATAACACGATCATGCAGCACTGCGCATTTCAGAAATAAAGTAATCACTTGTACTTGTAACAGACATGAGTCCTGTATATTGTTCAGGAAAATATTTCTGTTCAGGGTTTGCAACATTGAATTCTTAGTCAATAAGAGTTCCATTCGGAATTTTAAGATGTTCATATTTTACAGCGAGTCTGTACTGTCTACTTACAGTAAATATGTTTTCTTTTGAAATATAGCCTGTTTCTGGATAATACAGTAGTGTACCGAACCAGAAAGAGAGCTAAACCATGGTCAGATCGTGCAGTAATGAAGTCAGGGGGAAAAGTTGAAACAAAATTATAAATCATTGGGTTTCTCCTCCAAAAAATAAGGAAAGTGTTACTGTGATTCTTGGTTAGAACCTGAATTAATAAACCCTAGTAAGTCTGCAGTTATCAAGCAACTAAATAAATAATTGTAAGAAGTTAAGGAAAATGACTTACCACAGGACTGAAAGCAATAATACCAGTTCACACTCATTCTCACCAATTGCTTCACCAATACCAACTGGACTGCACTTCTGAGAATGTTTTATTTCTTTTTCTGGTTCTTTATACTACTGTCAACAACAACAACAACTTGCATTTATATAGCGTCCCTCATGTGGGGTAGCATCCCAGAGTGCTTTGTCCACTGATGTCAAGAAACAGACCAAGACTATATTTTATAAGGTCACTTATTCTTGTTTGAAAGTACAGCACAAGTTCTGGCTTTTTCTGGGAGATACAAAGAATCAGGAAAAAAAATGAAATTTGAGTGGCAATGTCTCAATCCGTTGTCTCATTTTACTCATAGATGGGCAGACACCGACACTGGATCCAAACACAGCACATTGTGGTCTTATTCTGACAGATAGTCGTAGGACAGTGTCATCATCTGGTCAGACTAAGCAATATCCAGACAATCCCCAGCGATTTGATGAGTGGTGGCAGGTTCTCGGCATCGAGGCAGTGAGCTATCGCCCCTCTTACTGGGAGGTGACGGTTAGAAAAGATGGGGCCGGATGGAAGATTGGAGTTTGCTACGGGACCATGAAGAGGAAAGGAGAGGGCGATGAATGTGCATTGGGACTGAACATAAAATCCTGGTGTCTTGAGTCGTGGCTGGACACCTGGGGCGACTCAATTGAGGCTCTGCACAATAATGTTAAGACAAAGCTAACAGCAGATAGACTCACTAAAGTGGGTGTGTACGTGGACTTTGAAGGCGGAATAATCTCCTTTTACAATGTATCTGGTAGGAAATTAATCCTGATACATACTTTCCACCAAACATTCACTGAGCCCCTCTACCCAGCATTCTGCGCGCATCCTGGCACATCTCTGTCCCTAACTGCTCTGAATGCAAAAGCCAGCCCACCTTCTGAGGAGGGTGACCTTGTCTGACCAATCTCCTGGATCATCTCAATTGACTGCATGAAGATGCTATATGATCTTGTGCGTCTAGACTTCCAAACGGCGTTTGACAAAATTCAGTATGCGCAACTCCTTTACAAAATGATCTCACTGAGTATCAAGGATATATCATGAAAACAGATCAATAAATGGCTAAAGGGAAGCTTAGTCAAAAAAGGATGTATTTAATGGGGTGCTTCACGAGGCTTTACTAAAATCATCTCCAGTGCATGTTATACTGTCGAGGCATGAGGTGTATTTCTGGACTCAGTCCGAGTCAGTTAAATTTTCGGATATCACTAGGCTGGGAGGACTGTGGATTTAGAGAAGCCAGTCAGAAGATCTTAGGAAGACAAATCTATAGGACAGGCAGCATGTCTTCTTTAATTGGGGATATCTATTATGGTTTAATTGGGGATTTAATTGGGGATATCTCTTTTGGTCTATCTGCTAATTTGTTTAATTACTGTAGTGTTTTGTGAGCGATCTGAATAAATAATATTTGGAACATTTCTCATGTTCTGTGTTGTACTGCATTTACCGCCATATCAATCTGTCCCCTCGCTTCGCTCAGCAGCCTGTTCCATGTTCCCCCAGCCTGGCTCACCCCAACATCGGCGGTAGGTCCTTTAGCCTCTCTGCCACCATCCTTTGGAACTCCATCCCACAATCCCTTCGCCTTGCTCCCTCCCTTGCCTCCTTCAAGGCATGGCTCAAGATCCTCCTCTTCAACCACGCCTTCGCCTACCGTCCCTGCCCTCCACCCCTCCTGATCCAAACCCCCTGCTTCGGTCCAAATCCCTGACTGGCCAGCCCCTTGGCACATCCTCCTGACGTGAAAGGCGCTATTCAAATATAATGTGTTGTTTTAAGGTGTCACTATTGTATTGCATACACACTGTTGCTTTCCGTAGTGCATACCGGTGCCATCTTCTGGTAAGAACCCGAACGCCAGCAACAAATCTCCTTTTGCTCCTACAGCTGTGTGCTGGTCGTTAAAGATAAAGATCCATTGGCACACCTTGAAGAGAGATGGCATTTTCTCCCAGTGCTTTCCACTAGGTTTGCAGCAGTGTTATTTTAAGTGTTATTCTCTTTTCTCCTGGTCCCGACCAGCGAAGCGGCCCCAGTTTCAGTGCATCTTGTGGGTCATCCTGGCTCAGCTGGCAGTACTCTGGCCTCTAGAGTCAGAAAGTTGTGAGTTCACGTCTCATGTCGGGAGGACTTCAACTCACATAGTTGAAGCTGATGCTTCAAACAGTTCTGGGGTGTGCTGCATCGTTGGAGGTGCCGTCCTTCAGATGAGATGTTCAACTGAGATCCTGTCTGCCTGTTCAGCTGGACGCTAAAGATAAATCCCATAGCACAACCTGAAGATATTTCTCTCTGAGTTCTGGCCAACAACTGTCTAACCCAACCCCCCAATAAAATTGGCTATTTGTTTCATGGCTGTTTGTGGAGCAGTATAGTTGCCCACAAATATACAGTCAATTCACTTTACAGTATATTCTATGAAGCGCTTTGAGATGTCTAGAAGACGTGAAAAGCACTATATCAAATGCAAGTATTATTTTTATTATTATATGCTGTGTGCAATTGGGCTGCCCGTTTGCCTATAAAACACACAGTGACAAACCTGTGGGGAGTTTGGAGATAGACATCCTCCTGACATGAAAGGCGTTATAATAATAATAATCCTTGCATTTGATATAGCGGCTTATCACATCGTTGAGACATCTCAAAGCGCTTCACACTGCAAAGTGTAGTGACTGTATTTTGTGGGTATAATTATGAATTACGAGTTTAATGCAGGAACCATTATCATTATTATAATGATAGTTATTATAATTAAAACCCTCATACGTGCTTTCATTACATCAAAGCTCGACTATGAAAACTCACTGCGTGTCGGCCTCCCCAACCCCTCCCTCCACACGATGCAGATCATCCAGAACTCTGCAGCCCGTGTGCTCTCCCGCACCAGGCTCCGTGACCCTATCGTGGAGTGCTGCAGCTCAGTGGTTAGAGCACTCGCTTTGCAAGTGAGAGACCTGAGTTCAATTCCAGGCAGAGGGCGAAACCTTGGGCAAGTTTCCTTACTCCACACAGAGCCTAATAATAATCCCTCCATAACCCAAAACAATAATAAATTGGTCATTTTCAATCTATGACTGTTTGCGGGACATTGCTGTGCGCAATTGGCTGCCGCGTTCGCCCACAAATATACAGTCAATTCACTTTACAGTGTGTTCTGTGAAGCGCTTTGGGACGTCCTCCCGACGTGAAAAGCGCTATATCAAATGCAAGGATTATTATTATTATTATTATTATTATCATCACCCCCATCCTTGCCCAACTCCACTGACTTCCCATCACACAGAGGATACTGTTCAAGACCCTGGTCCTCACATTCAAAGCCCTCCACGGTCTTGCTCCCCCCTACCTCTCCGACCTCCTAACCCCCCCCCACCCCACCACCCTGTTCGCTCCCTCCGCTCAGAGGGCTCCGTCCTGCTTCACGTCACCTGCCTCGCTCGCCCCACTATCGGCTTCCGCCACGTCCGCCACTCTGCCCCCACCCTCCGGAACTCCATCCCGCAGTCCCTCCGCCTCGCCCCCCCACCCCCCCCCCTCGCCACCTCCAAGACCCGTCTCAAGACCCTCCTCTTCGACCGTGCTTTCGATCTCCCTGTTTCCCCCCCACCCCCACCCCGCCCTGCCCTCCCTCACCCCGACCCCCGGCTCGGGTCCCTAACTCTGTCTGTCCAGCGCCTTGGGACGTCCTTGGGATAAATACAATGTTGTTGTTGCGGTTATGACTGTATTGTGTTGCTCTCCTTCAAAGCAAAGAACTCGCGGAGTCCTGTGGCTCAGTGGTTAGAGCACTCGCTTTGCAAGTGAGAGACCTGAGTTCAATTCCAGGCAGAGAGCGAAACCTTGGGCAAGTTACCTTACTCCACACAGAGCCTAATAATAATCCCTCCAAAACCAAAAACAATAATAAATTGGTCATTTTCAATCCACGACTGTTTGTGGGACATTGCTGTGTGCAATTGGCTGCCGCGTTCGCCCACAAATATACAGTCAATTCACTTTACAGTGTGTTCTGTGAAGCGCTTTGGGATGTCCTCCACGACGTGAAAAGCGCTATATCAAATGCGAGGATTATTATTATTATTGTTGTTGTTGGTGGTGGTGGTGGTGGTGGTGTTGCAGTGGACCCTCCGGCGCCGCAGGGGGCGCTGTGCAGGGAGGGAGGCGGCGCCGGCAGCTCCGGGGGGAGAGGGGGGGGAGAGGGCGGATAACAGGAGCTGAGGATTGATCCGTTTTACCAACCGGGAGCTGAGGGTGAGGGGACAGGAGGGCGTCTGATGGTGACTGAGAGAGAGTGGGGGGGGGGGGGGGGCAGAGGCTGAGACATGTTCAAAGGGGCCCCAGTTGGTCTGAGGGGGGGGAGAGGGGGTGGGGGGGAGGAGGGGGGGGGAGGGAGGTGGAGGGGGGGAGGAGGGAGGTGGAGGAGGGGGAGGGGGTGGAGGGGAGGAGGAGGGGGGGGGTGGGGGGGAGGTGGAGGGGGGGAGGAGGAAGGTGGAGGGGGGGGAGGTGGAGGGGGGGGAGGTGGAGGGGGGGGAGGTGGGTGGGGGGGAGATGGCAGAGCCTGAGCACAACAGGAAGGGACACAGAGCAATGACACCAGGAGTAAAGCTGGTTTCCCTAATAAGGAGTGAAAGGTTGAGGGAGAGGGAGGGAGGGACGGAGGGAGGGAGGGAGGGGGAGAGAGGTCATTGGCCTCTCACTGCTACTGGTCATCACCTGCCCTGAACTCGACAACAACAACAAGATTGCCTTTATAGAGCGCCTTTCACGTCGGGAGGACGTCCCAAGGGGCCGGACAGTTGGGTCGGGACCCGGGCATTGGGGTGGGGGGGGAGATGGTCTGAGTGGGGGGAGGGAAGGGAGGGAGGGAGCGAGGAGGGGGGTAGAGAGTCGAGAGGGGAGCTGAAGGCAACGTTCAAGAGAAGTCTTCACTCGAAAGCTCACAGTTTTTTTTTTGTGGGGGGGGGGAGGGCACGTTTCCAGGCAAAAGCTTATCGCAGCGCTTTGGGACGTCCTCCCGACGTGAAAGGCGCTCCATAAATGTCATTTTGTGGTTGTTGTTGTTGTTGTCTTTCGCCCTGCGACCGAGCGCTGCGGGGGCTGTGTCACTCCGATCAAGTGTGTTTCAGCTTAACTCCACGTGGTGGTGGTTGGTTTTTCACGTGCACTTTTTTGCCCCTGTTTCGGTTGAGGGAAAGCGCGATTAATCAAACGCGCTACGATCTGCCGACTTCAGCGTTGAGATGCATTCAATATTGTGCGTTTTCCAGAGAACTTTAGTAATAATAATAATAATAATCCTTGCATTTGATATAGTGCCTCATCACGTCTTTGATAATAGTAGTTTATCACTTGCACAGATTGGGTGTATGACGAATGCTGTATGTGTGTTCGTGTCAAAGGTTTAATCTTGCGTGTGTGCTCTGTGTAGTTGGTTCAATGTGTTTTGAAGCAGCAGCTGCATTAATGAGAATTGAAAAGGGGGGAAACATCTCATAAAGATGTTTTGTTTGGTTTTGCGGTAATCTTGTCAGCGGGATTTCATGTTCAAACTAATCATAATCATGTCTTTTTGTTGTTTACGTTTGTTTAAAAATATTTTGACATTTGAAGAACAACAACAAGTTTCAGTGTTGGTTTAGACCAGGGTGGTCTGGTCCATTGCCAGGGGCAGTTAGTAGGCTTAGTTGATCCAGTATGACACAGTCAACAACAACAATTTGCATTTAGATCGCGCACCTCACGCAGGGTAATGCCCCAGAGCGCTTATGTCCGTCGGTCAAATGTTGTTGTTCCCATTGTTTGTTCCATCACCGTGTTCAGAAATGGATAATTTTATTTCTCTTTTAAAAGTTTTTCAGCTTTGTCGGTAATCTGGAAGACTGAGTAATAAAAAGGAATGCCACCACTATAGCAGCTGATCAGTGCCCAGCTTCTCACAGTGATCAGAACATGACAGAAAGAGATAGAAGAGATGGGTCCTTATGTAACCGGTGAGTGTAGGACGGAGGATCTCAGTTGGAATCAGTCGTACGTTCAAGTTCCAACTGAACACACATGTCCACGTTGGGTAGCCTGCCTATATATATATATATATAATAATAATTTAATGCTGTTAGAAACACGGCTGGTCTTCACACCTCCTCACAAAATTCAAAATGTTATTTCGCATTAAATTTTTTTGTATTTCAAACAGCATTTACATGGATTACAATGCCACCACGCCTCTGGACCCCGAGGTAATCCAGGCGGTTACAGAAGCCATGCATGAAGCATGGGGAAACCCCAGTAGCTCATATACTCCCGGTGAGTAGGATGCAAACTGAACGACTGAATAATTGACTGAATGGAATTTAGAAATTTAGTGAATTCAGGAATCAGAAGTCTCATTTGACTTTATAGATAGACTAATAGTGAACCCTGAAAGTGATTTTCTTGTGTGCCTCATCCAACCCAGGGAAGAAAGCAAAAGAGTTGATAAACTGGTCACGAGATAATATTGCGCAGCTGGTTGGAGGTCGATCAGAAGATATCATATTTACCTCTGGAGGAACTGAGGTGAGAATGTTTCAGAATCCCTCAGTTTGGTCTTATTAATGTAACATACATAGTGGTTATTACAATTAGCAAATCCTGCATTGCTACAGAGCAGTGCACTTCTGTCTGGAGGGATTTGTTTGAGTGTTTAGTTTCATTGTCTTTGAGTCATTAAACTAGGCACTGAGTGAATTGCTTGTGAGACCCTAGGACAGAACTGCTCTGTCGATAATTATCAATCTTACCCTGAGAAGCACAAGGAAACCAGTCCAGGAAATGTAAGTATCAGTACAGTCTTCTGAGTCTGCCTTAAAGGCATTCTTTATAATTCTGATTATAATCCTAGTTGATGCAGATCTAGAGGATTTGATGATGATGCTGAGTCCATAAAGTGAGAAATAGTTGCTTAGCCCTGAATGCCATGACTAGAGATTGAGCTTCCTAAAGTTATAAACACTGCTGGTCTTCACATTTCCTGCACTGAATGCAAGAAGTCTTCACTAAAGCTCACAGTTTTGCATGTTTCCAGGCAAACAATATAGTCTTTTACACTGCGATCAAGCACTTCTGGGACAGCCACCACAAGGCAGGGATGAACAGTGCTGCAGGAGGGCACGATGGGAATTCTCGAGTCTTCCCTCACATCATTACGTCAAATGTGGAGCACGACTCGGTGAGCCTGACTGCGGACAATCTGGTCAAGGAGGGAAAAGCACGTGAGAACTGATCTTTGCCTTTAGACTTGTGTTCTAAATGTGATATTATGCTAAGAAAAGTTTTGCTTCATGCCATTTGCTATTTAGTTTCGGTCTGCGGGGGGGGGGGAGAGGGGAAATTGCTAGACACAGTTTACTCTTTGAAGTTATATTTTAAGAAAATTCTGATGAGTTACAAGAACTTGGGATGAATAATGCCCTGTACTTGTTCCCTCCACAAAGAAACTCTCTCATCAGAGGATCTAACTTGAGTTTGAATTGCCCCATTATGTTTTCCCTCCATGGTGTTGATTGGTAGATTACTGCAAGCATCCATTAGTCTTTAGTAACAGTGGTTTTCCTGATATTTATTGACAATGGTGTCTTTCATTAATTACTGTGACACAACACTCTCAGGAGCTGTGAATTCTCTGCTCAGTGCTGAGATGTCTGAGTCTATCCACAAATAATAATATCAATGACTAATTTGTATCTGATAAATCTTGGCAGTTGGGAACTGGGAGAATTCCTTGCTCTTCTTCAAAATAGACCCGTCTGAACCATCAGCACATTGTTTGAACATCTGACCCAAAGGATGACACTTCTAGCAGTGTGGATTAAGAGATTTGGTGCGGGACTTGATTTTGCATCCTTCTGACCTAGAGGTTAGACTGCTGCCATTTAAGTCAAACTGACACACTAAGATCACCAGCACAAGGTCACTGTAGAGGGTGACTCTGATGTATTTCTTTAAGAGAAAGAATGTTGATTATATTTTCGCTGTTCCTTTTCAGAAGCTACATTTTTGCCAGTTTCAAAAGTAACTGGTTGCATTGAGGTGGATGATGTTATTGCCGCTGTTAGGCCCACCACTTGCCTTATATCTGTTATGCTCGCTAACAATGAGACTGGAATCTTGATGGTAAGAGTGACAGTTGTACTCATTTTCTTATCTTGCTCTCTTTTTGGGAACCAGGTAACCTGCAAAGTTGGTAGAAAACTGGAAGGAATTCACGCCAGACTGAATTTAACTTCCAATGCAGTACTCGTGCTCATACCTAATTTCCCCCCTTCAGCAAAGGTGTTCTGTTGAGTCACTGGATGGAACGTGTGAAATGCTATCCTATGAGGTAGAAAAAGGCTACAAGGAAATTCTCACCTCAAAGGGCAGATAATAATAATAATCCTTGCATTTGATATAGCGCCTTTTCACGCCTTCGAGACATCTCAAAGCGCTTCACAGAATATACTGTAAAGTGAATTGACTGATCCCCAGTTTACTGATCACAATTTATACAGAAATTGCACATGAAATGCCAATTAGCATCTGATATGTTTGAATTGCAGCCGGTTGCTGAGATTAGTCAGCAGGTGAAGACCCTAAATCAGAACAGAGACTCCGAACTGCCCAGAATCCTGCTGCACACGGACGCAGCCCAGGCCATTGGGAAGGTGCGGGTTGATGTACACGACCTTGGCGTGGATTACCTCACCATTGTAGGGCACAAGGTAACGGGGTTATTTGAGTCCAGTTCCCTGGTGTATCAACAACAAGAAGTTACATTTGTATAGCACCTTTCACTTCAGGAGGACGTCCCAAGGCGCTAGACAGTCAGGGAGCCGCACCCGAGCTGGTGGTTGGGGTCAGGAGGGGTGGAGAGTGAGGAGGGTAGGGGTAAGAGGGTGACCAAAGCCATGGTCAAAGAGGAGGGTCTTGTGATGGATCTTGAAGGAGGCAAGGGAGGGGGTGAGACGAAGGGACTGTGGGATGGAGTTCCAGATGGTGGAGGCAGAGAGGCTGAAGGGCCGCACCCCCAATGGTGGAATGGGCAAGGCAGAATTTGGACAATTTGGAATTTGGACAAAATTAGCACACTTTGGACCCTTGTGCTCTGCATTCATTGCATATGAGCTTGCAAACTGGTCAAATCCACCTGGCCTCTGAATGCAAAAGGGATGACTATCCTTACAATTTAGTAACTTGTTAAAGGGGAAGTTTTTTCCAATATGGTTCATTGGGTGTGAACTTTATGCATGAGTCTATGTGTTAACATTTGCCAGGTTATTCATTCTGGGAAGGAAGATATCACATCTGAGCCGTGCTCTGTTCTTGTCTGATGCACTGCTTGCTTTCTCACAGGGGGTGATCCCTCAATTACAAACATTAGCAGAAAACCTGGAAGATATTTTCCCTTCCTCTCGGGGTACAGTGAAGCAATTGTAATACATTCACCCCGGATGCCTCTGTACCACACCATAGGGTGGGTTCACCTGAATCACCAGAAGGAAATACACAAGCCGTCTGTAACAGTGTTCTAATAATGATCTCCCACTCTTAATATACATGGTACATAATAATCTAAAATTTATTAGAAATTTAATATGAAGAACTGAAGCTGGCATCACACTACCAAAATCTTCCTGTTAATTTCATAAGAGTATTTTTTTTTGCCCTCCTCACAGTTCTATGGCCCACGGATTGGAGCGCTGTACGTAAAACGACCAGGCACTAGCTCACCCTTGCACCCTATGTTCTTTGGAGGAGGCCAGGAAAGAAATTTCCGTCCAGGGTAAGTTCTGATCCTGAATGCTAATGTCTACACATTGCAGTCTAAGTTCACCTTAATAAAGGTATTGAAGAGACCACAGAACAATTTTATAACGACTTTGAAATTACTTATTAAAGGATATTGGTAAATATAGTGGCGTAGAAATTGCAATTTCCTTTTCGTAGATATATTTAGCCTCATTATTTGTGTCTCTTTAATTCCCAGTACAGAGAACACGCCAATGATTGCAGGACTTGGGAAGGTAAACAATACTTACTGTATCTGCCACCTACCACTGAAATTAAAGACGCTCATCTGCTGCCAGACATCAGTCTGTAGGATACTATTGAGATCACATGTATAGTTCTGGCAACCATAGTTACAGAAAGTTTACAGATGCAAGTCAGCTCTTTCTGCTCCATGCGGTGCATTCATTAATGTGGAGCTAAGCACCATTCTCTTTTGTTTGATAAGTTTCAATAAATTGCCTCTGTGGTTTAAACAATTTAGATGTCATTTTAACTTACACATTAAAGATGTGTAATCAAATTCTATTGTTAAAATTACAATTATTTATAACCCCAAATGTGCTTTTGCAGATGCATGGAGAGAACTGTTCATATTATAACAATCAAGAAGGAAACCTTTCAGAGAGAAGAAATTATATTAATAATTTATTAGGGATTATTAGCCCCAGAAAAGTGATTCGCCAATCGACTAACAACCGGGTTCCTACTTACTGCTAGGTAAACAGAGGCATGTGGAGTAAGGAAACTGGCCCAACGTTTCGCCCTATCAGGGAATCAAACCCAGGTCCTCTCACTTGCAAGGCAAGTGCTCTAACCACAAAGCTACAGGACTCCACAATCAAAGCAAAATGACTGGGACCAATAATTTTACTGCTCTCACCTCCTAGGCTGCTGAGCTGGTTGTCAGGAAACTTGAGGAATATTCAAGTCATATGCGGGAAGTGAAGGATTATCTAGAAGAGAAACTTCTGGTATGTGACAATGTTTAGAAGTAATATAATTTATTTTTCTCATCTTGGGTGAGCATTATCATGTCTGGATCAGACTTGGTTTTATATAGGGTTAATATTGTAAGTAAAAGCATCACAATATTGAAGGTTTCTAATGGAGATTATTTGCTTGTGCGAAGGTGCATTGTAAATTTATGCCAATGATGTTTGCTTCTTTGGTTTCTGATGGGAACAGTCTTGGTCCATCGCAGTTATACAGTATATTAAGGAGTGAATGGTTCATTAAGGATATTGTATATTACATGATGCTTAAAGTCTGCATTTGGAAGAGGTTTTATTGCTTTTTCTTCCTGTCATTCTTCTAGGCTACATTTGGAAAAGAGAAACTTAATTTCAACAGTCACTTCAAAGGCTCAGACAGGCTACCAAACACTTGCAACGTATCCATCCTGGGACCAAATCTGAAAGGTACCATTAAGATATAATGTGCAATTTTAACTTTTGTATAGTTCCTTAACCTTCAGAGAGGTAAGAAGCTGCTGCTCAAGCTTCACATTTCCAACTAGTGTGGCCTTTGCTAGTGGGAGGGGTGTATGTTGGGGCTGTGGGCAGGAGAATGGAGCAGTAATCTTAACATTTTCATGCTGTTCACCGAGAGACTTCCAAGAGGTTCCACAAAATCAATAAGACTTGCAATGCAGCCAAACTAACTATTTTGTTGTCCTGTAGGCCAAAAGGTGTTACTGAACTGTCAAAGACTTCTGGCAAGTGTGGGAGCTGCATGCCATTCTGATCAAGGTGACAGGTAAGACTTTCCTGGTCAGTATTATCTGTGAGAATACAAAACAACTGTCACATAATGGTTTCAAATTGTTACCTGACCAACCAAGTGGTTTATCTGAGATCTATTAGTGGAGGGTGAGCTTCACACAACTTTTGAAAGGTGGACCAGAGGATCTATGGAGTTCTCAAAGTAGACTCACTTGCTTTGTTTTTTGGTAAACTACCGGTGTATGTTGTACATCCTATTTTATTTTCTGCAGAGTTTGATTTCCGGTCTGAGCAAGTCACCGAACAAGAAATCTGAAGGCTCCCACTACGAACTATTGGCGCACGCACTTTTATGAGCTTTGACTGACAGTTTTAGGGGCTAAATCAAGTGCATAGAATTAATCACAGTCTCTGTAAATCAATATATTATGAACCACGTTGGTCCTTTCATATCAAATGCAAGGTTTATTTGTTATACTTCTTCCTTTCCCCAAGAAATGCTCAATAGAATGCAATATGATATGAAGACCATAGAAATATAATCAACAGAAACCAACTATTCAACGTCTAATAATGAAGCTGTGAATGCAATTCAATACGTAATGTTTTGTGTTTGTATTTGTGGGAAAGTAGTTTTGTAGAACTTCACTTCAAATGATGAAACAATTGTATTTAGGGCAGGTTGGGTGAAGGGGAAGTTTTTGATGGGCAAAATAGCTTTTTCGAGGTCAATACTTTTTTAAGTCTTGTTTTCCAGGCCTTCACGTATCTTACTGACCTGCGGCATTCCTCATGCGGTAGCAATCAACGCACTTCGGATAAGTGTCGGACGTACAACATCAAAAGCAGATGTAGACATCGTTGTTGAAGACCTGAAGCAAGCGGTTAATGAACTGGAGGGGTTCACTGCTCAGGCTGGGCAGTAGGACAGTCTCCAAAATGTTTTGCGGTGAGATTGATCACTGCCAAGAGAAATTCATAGATGCACAAAGGAAGAAAAAGGACTCGCTGACAACATTTAAAAGGAGTTTTGCAGGCAGCCCAGTGACACAATACATAGAACCATAGAAATTTACAGCACAAAAGGAGGCCATTCAGCCTTCACAGATTAATGTGCTGGCATTAGGGGGTCACTGAGTGGTGAATTCCCATGGGATGAGCTACATCAACTCTGTTAGACTGTTAGGTTGCAGTTGGTCGGTATTTTCCCCTGAAAATAGGAAAGAGACTGGAATAACATTTCACCATGCCCAGCTCGTCAGTATCTTGGAAAAAGGTCTGGAAGTAGGTCGGCTGCCCACCCTTTCAGGAGAGGCGATTATAGGTCTCCAGCAAGGGCCCGAAACAAAGCGGACTGCAATTATTTGCAAAAAAAAACTTTCATGTTACTTGCAGGTGTTTCCTTGTTGTTTTGGGGGGAATCACTCCAGTCTTTTTTCCGAGCTTGATTTAAACCTAAAATAGTGACTTGCAGCCCGCTAGGGCGAGTCGCTGACCGCCTCCACCAGTCTTAATAATCAACCCTCGGTTCCCAGTGAAATGCAGTGAAATGTTACCTACTGTAAACAGAAACACTCCCTTCAGCCTCGCAAGAAGCAGTGACTTCCCAGATGCAATCTGATTAGTCAATGACTAACTGTTGGATACATATGGAGACTTTGCTGGATTCCATTATTCTATCCACACATTTAATTTAATCTGCCACCTTGTATCTCCCATCTGGGTTTCTCTTATTTATCAGCAATTGATCCCTTTGATTTGACACCAGACAGTAATTCTCAGGTTTCTACTGTTCTACATTTAAACCAACTTGCTTGTGGATATATTGGGTTTTTACTCTTGCACACAATAGATGCCACACAATCATCTGCCCTCCAGGATTTAAGCAATCCTACTGAATTAAGTTTTTTTAAAAGTTCCTTATTGCCTTTTATTCAGGTTGTTTTTGTTTAACTCTATACCTCCTAATATAAAGGGAAGAACATTCATGGAACTCTCTTAGAAATAGCTATTTTGTTTGCTAGCTGTAAAATGTGTCTCTTAAATGCCCATGTTCACTCGTACATATATTCTTTTTGAATGACTCTGCCCGGATGCACTCAACCCTGTTGCCATTCAAATAAATGGACCAAATAAGACCAGCAAAGTAAATTTAGCATTCAATGTTGATTTGTTTTTGGATTATATATTCACTGACCCATTTCAGCACAGCAAAAACAACTTTCATTTTTCATTTATATAGCACCTTTTACATAAAGCCTAACAGAAAATAAACTGTTCATAGAGTTATCTAATGCTCCTGCATTTGATACAGAAAAACTACATCATGGGCTGGTTGTGACTGTGGTGTCGATCTTTGGTGTGTGTAAGCCACAGCTGTCTGAAAACTATTGCAACCAATCAAAGGTAATTATTTTTGATGCCTCTCAAATGGACAGAAAGTCTGAGGAAGAGGGAATCGGGTAAGTGAAAGTGGATTTTGAAAAAATTAAATGAAAACAAAATAATTTGACTTAACTGTTTATTCAGTAAATATCCAGCACTAGATTCTTAATACATTAGATTATTCATACTATACATAATTGTAATTAATATCTTGAGAGCTGCCACGTTCCACAAATCACAGTATCTAAAAGTTACACTAGACATTCTTTGGGAGCCCTGATGTCTCTCTTCCCCCCCATTGTCAGATGAGCGACTGATTATCAGGAGCGTTAGGGCCTCGTTGATACACCTCAATTTATTGTGGAAAACATTTTATCTTATTGTGTAAGGCCTAGGTCCAGACTTTTACCATCCTCCCCCCCAAAAAACTGGCATCTAAACTATGTTGAAGGTAACAACACTAATCTAGCAGAACATAAGGCAAAATAACTAATCTCCAAACCTAAAATGGTTCATTTTTTTTTAATTTAAGAAAAAAGGTATCATGATCAACAGTTAGTATAAGATCAATTCAATAGGAACAGATTAACCATCCACCACCTTCCTTCCCGAAAGTAAAATTTGTTGCAATTAATAGAAAAAAGATCTGATGTAATATCTGTCCAAAAGACTGGCCTATGTGATGCTAGGCATTCTAACAGTTATCTAAACTGGACGACTGGTCCTTTAGGCACTATGGTCATTGCTGGGGGTTTGCCGCACTTGGAAGCTGGTTTCTGCTATCAGAGTAAAACATGTAATCTGATTGTAATGTTCAGTTATTTGGACAGTATCGATGCTATCAGTGTCCGGTGTCATTGCTTCAGTGTTTGCTTTTTTTGCAGTGCTCAAGGGCATCCTTCAAAGCTCGGATCACCAGGTCCGCATTGGCTTTAGTACAGTTGATTCCCATTAATCCAATCCGCAAAACCTAGAAAACAAGGAGCAAGTACATTTGTAGGCCTTGAAACAGATGTGACCAATGTAAAGCCCCTTCAGGAAACCGAGACAATCGTTTCCTTTACATAGAAGCACAATTATACTAGAAGTACAGATCAGATCACTGACATAGATATTGGCATTTGCCATGCTTTCAACAGAACTGATACCTTAAACCATGCATAGTTTAGTTTGTGTATATTCCAAAGGGAGCAAACCAAACCTTCTCACATACCATGCCAATTGTAGGGCCCAATCCACCAGTAATCTCAATCTGGTAATTCTTCATAATAAAGTTAGTGATGTCTTTCCACTCATATCCTTCTGGCACAGCAATAGTTGTAACTGTAGGGAGTCTCATGCTCTGAAAATTAAAAGGACAAACAAATTCAGCTAAACTTTGTCTTCCATTATAATAATCCTTGCATTACAATACAATAATCTTGTAATACAGTATGTAGAAATGTTGAGATTCAAAATAAGTAACGAGAGTTTAATCACAACATAGATACAGTATTAAATTGTTTACTCTTGATTGCAATTTCCTTATAATATTTTTTTCGCTATCTTAAAAAAAGTTGCAGTCAGAATCTCAATAAAACTTGGAACCAGTACACATTTTACAGTGCATGTATACTTGTTTTTTGCTGACACACAGCACTTTGTACCAATGAATAGAATTCCCTTTTCAGAGTTTTCACATGCTGAAACACTCAGAGCAGCAGTAGAAACACTCAGTTTAATATCCTGTCACCAGCTTGGTGTGAAGCCTGATGAACTTCCATTTCGATCACGCCTACGGCAACCTCGCTCGACTCCGACACTGTCTCATACCACAGGCTGCCGAAACCTTCATACACTCCTTCATTACATCGAGGCTCGACTGCAAACTCACTGCTTGTCGGCCACCCCAACTCCTCCTTCCACTGCTGCAGATCATCCAGAACTCTGCAGCCCGTGTCCTCTCCCGCACCGGGCTCTGCGACCCTATCATCCCAATCCTTGCCCAACTCCTCCCTCCTCGCTCGCCCCACTATCGGCGGGCGGGCCTTCCGCTACTCTGCATCCACACTCTGGAACTCCATCCCACAGTCCCTCCATCTTGTCCCCTTCCTCGCCACCTTCAAGACCCACCTCAAGACCCTCCTCTTTGACTGTGCTTTCAATCTCCCTGCTTCCCCCCCTCCCCCACCACGACCCTCAGCTTGGATCCGTAACTCTGTCCAGCGCCTTGGGACGTCCTCCCGACGTGAAAGGCATAATACAAATGTAATTTTGTTGTTGTTGAAGTCATACTGTGGACTGGCACCATACTAGCTGCTCTCTCAGTGCAATACTGTTCATTCCTGAGGTTTGGGCAGCCAGGAACAAGAGAGAAGTTAGTTAGAATTGGTGGGAGTTGGAATGGGGTTTAATTATCATGGGAGTGAATTCAATAGACCTCTAGTTCTTTCTCCACTCTTAATTTTCGATATATACATATATATTATATTTCTTACCTTGTCCTTTACAAAGAGTTTTAATCCCAAATCCTCCAGCCCTTTATGCAAGTACTCAGCATTCTCCTGGTGAAGCTTCCAATAATTCTCAAGCCCCTGCGAGGAGACAGCAAAATTATGTTACTCATTTTATCAGACAACGGCAAATAATAACGGAAATATCTCATCAATGTTTTTTCTCTTTTTTCTAAAGCCCATACAAGTGTGTTTTTAACCCTCCCTATGTAATAACCTTTGATATTTTATCAGCGTATATTGCAGCAATGCTCTGTGATTGATATTGCATAGGGTTGGGTCGCGAATGGTTTCCATTTTTGAAAATTATGGATAAAAAGTTCCCACACACACACACACACACACACAGACTGCTCTAAGCAATCCTACATGTGCGTGAGAACCAGGTGTCAGCACCTGATGTTAGTGCCAAACTGCAGCAGGTCCCCATTATGTCATACCCACTGTAACGGGACAGTGGAGTGGGTCAGTATGCTGCTCTTACCTCTCGCCTTCCAATCGAGCCAGTTTAATAGAGGCAAGTTCTTCACTCAGCTCAAATAGCTCTACAGAAAATGAATGTGGGGCAGTCTCCGAACAATCTTCATAATACAGCACTAAATTAGCACTTTCAGCTCAGACTGCACTAAGAATAGGAGCTGGTTTGGGATGTACAATAAGGTTGTATAAGGCTAAGCTTGAAGCACGTTAGTAGAGGGAACTCTGTAAATAGATATCACTGTATGTAGCGTTGGACAGCTCAATGGAACAGTGCAAAAGACTCTGCACTCAACTTAGGCTATATTTGACTTGGAAGTGCTTCATGTGGACAACGGGTGCAAAAGTGGAAAAATATGTTGATATCTGTCACGACACAGAGTCAAAATTAATTGATAATACTCACTTGTTCAGCAAGAATTGCAAGCGCTTCTCTCAGTGCAAAAAGGCACGTGATCGGGCTTGTGTGGTGGTACCTGTAAAATTAATCAAGAGTAATAGATTAATTTGGGGATCATTAAGTTTTCATCCCAATTGGCTCACTAAACTCACAACCTAACTAGAAACAGGAGCTCTGTAGAGGAAGTTTACTTGTATTGCCTCCTGTTGCAGATAAGTTGGAACCATTTCCTCATTTTTTTTTATCAGCCATGCAAGCATTATAAAAACGATTTCACTGTAGGTCAAACACTCTCATCTTTGGAGCTAGTCGTCTTTTTATTACCGCCCAAATCAGGAGCTGAATCAAGCTCTATTGCCTCTCTCTTCAGGTCACCTATAAGGTTAGCCACTCTTCCAGGAACAACAACAACTTGCATTTATATAACGCCCTTCATGCAGGGTAGCACCTTGGAGCACTTAAATTCATCACCCATTACTCTCCCATTCTTCTTCTGACTGGATCTGACAAATGTCAAACATGTGGGTTCAATCAGCCTTTTTCTCAAAGGAATTTACTGTAGTGAAGAAATGGTTCTGTTTCTTACTTTCTTGGGCTTTCATCATAGCCCCACAGGTTGGAAAGCCAGCCCATGTCAAGGTACAGGGACGTGGGCTTTGTCTTCCGGTTAAATATCTTTTGGCTGCAAAACAAATGCAAAGCATATTTCAGAATTAGCTTGTGGAAACTGAACTGTAATCGAAAAAGATAAACTTGGCACAAAATTCTTTAGTCAAGCTCAACATTTTTCTGTTATAATTTTATGAATTTAAAAAAAGAAAGCCACTGACTTTGTTCAGTGAGCTCCCTGGGTCAGATCATTACGCAGGAATGTTGATGTTTTGTGGGAGATTATTAAACCGTGATGATAACCCCATCAATTCATCAAATATCAGTAGGTAAAGAACAACATTAATATAACTGATCCTGGATAATCCTCATTATACCACATTCCCTTATCCCATGAGCCTGATATTATCCTGAAAAGTATTCCCAATGCACAGGTTGACTTTATTTTGTGAACTATTTGGGGTCAGTTTTGAAAGTTTTTGCACCTATGGTAGAACTGAGTATTCTTTGAACATTACCAACAACTACTTGAAAACAAGCCTGCTCTAGGTAATCCATGAGGGTTGCTGTGGCAGGGAGGACACTGATTATGGAAAACCTTTAGTATCACTTGACGAACAAAGGAAAAGAAAAATGACTTGCCAGGCTCTTTCATTGAAGGAGATGGGTGCAGTTCCAGGAGGACAGTTGAGAACCTTTTGTGATCCTGAATAAAGGATGTCGATCTCTGAATGGAGAAGAATAGTCACATCAATCTTGCCCAGCAGAGGGAGACCTCAGCAGATAATAATAACAATAATCCTTGCATTTGATACAGCACTTTATCACGCCTTCAAGGTGTCTCAAAGCGCTTCACAGAATATACTGTGAAGTGAATTGACTGTATATTTTGTGGGCGAAATGTGGCAGCCAATTATGCACAGCAGTGTCCCACAGACAGTCATGGATTGAGTGACCAATTTATTACTATTATTATTTTTTTAAGGATTTATTAACCCCAGAAAAGAGTTCCACCAATCGACTAAAAGCTGGGTTCCTTCTTACTGCTAGTTAAACTGAGATGTGTGGAGTAAGGAAACTTGCCCAATGCCCAAGGAATCAACCCAGGTCTCTTGCTTGTGAGGCAAGTGCTCTAACCACTGAGGATTGTTGGCTAAGACACCAAAAGAGTCCCAGGATCATAGAATCCCAAAATTATACAGCACAGGAGGCCATTTGGCCCAGCGTGCCCGTGCTGGCACTTGAGTTATCCAAATGAGTTATTCAAATGAATCCTATTCCCCCGCTCTCTCCCCATCACCAAGCAAATTTGTCCTGCCCAAATATCTATGCACTTCTCTCTTGAAAGTTGTTATCGAATCTGCTTCCCTTCTCATTCCACCCAGCTAGTTCTTAACACTTCAGAGCAAGTCCTCTAACAATGAGCATCACAATATTATCGGTCTCACAACATAAGTTAAGCTCAACCAGAAGCATTACCCTATCTGTGTTTGGAAAATTGTTGCATTGTCTTTCTTCCCTCATCATTACTGTTGCAGCCTTTAGAAAGTTATTAAGAGGAGAAAAAGAGTGTTTTCTCTTCCACAATCTTTCACTTGTAAAAACAATTGGCCATGTGTTTATACATGTATGTTTGCTATTTTCTTTTCAAACTCTTCATGATCACTTTCTCTCTGTGATCTTGCTCTTGATGTGCATACACTGTATTCACCTACAGTTACTAAATTTCCTGTAAAATCCTGTGAAGCACTTTGAATATCTTGATGATAGACTATTATATCAAATGAGAGGATGATTATAGATCAGCTTCTGAAGCAGGACTCCGGTAACTGAAAGAGCTAAATAAACTTACTGGCGTATTCTTAACTTTGGTGTCAGATGGAGTACATACCTTGATTATCCATGAAGAGAGGTGCCCCACCCAGCGAGGCAACAGAGTCAACCAGCAGTAAACAGTTATGACTGGAAGGGAAATTGAAGAGCATTATAGGTGAGTTTTTAAAAGTGTGGTTTTAAGAATTCTTGTGACTTAATTAGTACAAGGTTATGAAATTATAAAATCATGAAAAGCACTGAATATGATCTGAAGCCAGAGGAGAACTCTGTCCAGATTCCTAAATCATCAATGAGCAGGCAAACATTACAGCAGAAATACAGGTTCTGGTAAATGTCTCCAAATGACCAAGCCTTGTTAAGCAGTCCCAAATCAGGTGCAGCATGACCCAGTGAAGAATGATGTTTATGCTGTACTGCTTCATCAAACAGTTCCAAATCATGTTCAATATAAGTTTGTTCCAGTATAAAGACTCCAAGGCAGCACCCCAACACCAAGGGTTTATAATTATACCAATGTTATACTTAGGTTTTCTACACCAGCCATTCCTTTGGCCTCCTGGTGAGGTTGTTACCTTATTTTCAGTTGTGATCAACCAGCAGCAGTTTGGTGCTGCAGATATGTTCACTCCAGGAAACGAATAAGAACAATTACAATTCTAGTCAATTCATAAGGACTTGCAGCTGCAAAAAGAAGAGACTTGTGTCCCAGCAATTAGGACTGCATTCAAACTGGTCCTCGTGCTGAAAGGGCACTGTGCTAATGCTTGCTATCAAGTCTCCTTTCTCAGTGTCCCTCTGCTGGTTCACTCTGTTTTTAAAGGGATTTGTTCAGAACTTTCAGGTTAAGGGCTTAGAATGATTACATCGAGCCTTCAGTGAACTTTGTAATTGGAATACACTCACCTTTTGCACAGAGATCCGATTCCATCCAAATTCTGGACCACACCTGTTGAAGACTCCCCATGCGTGATGAAGAACAGGACAGGCTTGTGTTGTACTAGTGCCTAGAAAATCAAACAAATGGATGGGGTGAGAAACAAACAAAAAAATCTCTTCTATTATTTGGCTGACCAGTTTAAAATTGATTGGGAATGGATTAAGGCAGATCTGACCAGTGTTCACACTGACAACCAAATTTCACTGACAAAATTATTTTACTTGACACAGGCCACTCTTGATCAGCTGCTGGAAAATCTACAGAGAAGGAACCCGTTAATCCACACAACTATGATGGCTCTTTCCAATCCTACTCTGCATCATTTAAACAAGTTAGTAAAATTATCTCATTCGCAGCATGTGTCTCAAGATATTAGCAATGTTTTTTCTTCCTTCTCCTCTAAGTCAACGCCTTATCATGCCTTATTCCTACAGAATGCAGTTCCAAGACACAAGTTTTCTGGAGCTAAACAACCCACAGGAACTTTTGTACTCGGAACATTGCTACAATTGCATCTTATACTCGCTCAGAGACAGTCACACACGCAGACAAACCTTCTCAATGTCTTGCAGGGAAAAACTTTCTCCTGGGGTTTTTACAAGTTTTTGGACTTTTGCACCTAAAATATAAACACAAAAAGAGAACAGTCACTTTTAAACCCTCTTGGCAGCTCACCAAAATATACACACAATTCACTTTACAGTATATTGTGGAAAGTGCTTTGAGATGTCTCGAAGATGTGATCAAGCACTGTATCAAATGCAAGGATTAGTATTATTATCATTCACCAAAGATCTATTTATTACAACACATACAGCTAATATGTAGGTGTTCTGTAGGTTATATACTTGCAGCCAGGTGAACTTTTCCAATGTTTTAAAATATATTCAAAGTGTAAAATGTGATTTGCTGAGACAGACAAAATCCACATGCTGAACAGAGGTTACTGTTAAGGCAGAGAGAGAATCATGGTTGTTCCACTATTGTGTACCTCCTTGTGGGAAGTTCCAGAATAATGGTGGTTAAACCTGAAAATAGGACTTCATCCCTCTTTGTGCAAGGATGGCATGTGCACAGGAGTCATGGTGAGAAAATTATGGGGTTTTCTTAATTATTGAGGTGAAAGGAAAAGAGAGATTAATCAAAGCTATCCAGAAAGTGAGTCGCTATTCGTACCGATTCGTTCACCAATGTCTGCAGCTCTCTCGCCCCAGACACCATTCATTGCGATTAGCACCGCCTCTCCTGGTTCCAGTACATTTACTAGAGCAGCTTCCATGGCTGCATGCCCAGAGCCACTGATTGCCAGCGTTAAGTTGTTTGTGGTCTGAAAGGCATATTGTATTCCAGCCTTTATCTGATCCATAATCTAAACAAAAAAAATGAGAAAAAAAGGGTTTTTACATTCGCTGGAAACATTACAGTACCCGAGTAAACCTACTTTCTTTCTGAACCTGACATTGGTTGAGTTAATGATCTTATTCGGCTTTGCTTTTACATAGTTATGCACATTTGCAGTTCATTAAATTACCTTTTACCGCTGTTGAGATGTAATACAATTCCTAATATTTTCTCATTTGCAATACTAGGGAAATAATGCATTTGAATCAGGCCTTCTTGTTAATGGCGTGAACTCTTCGAGGAGCCTAACACCTGACCCCAGGGCAACTCAATGTGTGTTTTTAAGGACAAGTTGTTATCATTGAGGTAGAATCAATATTAAGATGACTAGGTGATGAAACACAGTGTAACTGACCCTGAATGTTGAGCAGATATTAAACAAACATTGGAAAAATGTAAGACTGGCAGATTTAATTAAATATACTCTCTTATTGGAGGGCCATTAGTCAGATTATAGGAGAAATAAATTGTGAGCTAGATGTTTAATACTGTGTTGAATTGAACACACAAACATACAGTATTTGCCCATTAGTGAAGGCAATATGGAGGCATATGGAGGCAACAATCAGCATACCCATGCAAAAGGAGGGAGCCAATAAAAGGGGAATGGTTATCAATGAAGTACCTGATAAATGGTCTTCATTTACTGGATAACAATAACCCTCTTAACTAAGTTAAGCTTTAGGTTCGAAGGATCCATTAGGACTTTACAGAACAATGCAAATTAAAAGGTAACTTTATCTTTAACGGTCACCCTGTGGTTACATCAAAACTGTCTATTCACCTCCCCCTTTATGAGCAGTGAGAGATTATGATGCCTTCTTGCAGATTTCTGAACTGTTACAAACACATAAATGAAACCCAGCTTATCTATATCCTTTAGGATCTGAAAAATATTAAGAAATCATCTCTTTGGAAAGAAAAAAACGACAGAAAAGTAGAAATGAACATTCAAAGGTACACATTGCTCACCTGAAACATCTCCGGGTGCATATGTCCAATTATTTGTCTTCCGCCTGCCTCCTGGACTCTGGAGGAAATGTTGGAGGGACCTGGCCCCAGCAGCAGTCTTTTGGGGACAGAGAGTGGCTGCTGGAGGGACTTTGGGGGGGGCACTGTGAACCCTGTTTGTACTGACATACTGCGGCTGAAGAACTTGCACCAGGAGGCCAAGTGCACTAGAGAAGCAGAACTGCGATCGACCAGCACCAAAGGACCATAGCTGGGACGCACGGCCAGGGTCAGCCGTGCCAGGATGCCAGTGCGCAACACAGTGCTCGTCATACTTTAAACTCTACAAAGCAGCCCAGTCACTGATCACACGTTCAATCAGCGCTTCGATTCTTCTTGTTTGGAGAAAGGTCTACGACCCACCAAGCGTTGATAAGCACGTTTTGAACCTTCTGACACCACCAAACAAAGTTTCAGAAGATGAACCTTCATGCAGTCCTCAGTTTCACTTGTGACTCTACTCACTGAGAAAGAAGCCTGAGCTGGTTATAAATGTGTTGGGTTGGAGGTGCAGCAGATGTGGTCTTCCAAAAAAAAAGGGTCCACTGCCTCATCAATAAATAACGAGATTTACAGACAAAAAAACTCATTAATGGTTAATCTAATTTTCTTCTTGAAATCAGTTATTTATTATTAACCAGTGAATTACAGAGGCTTTGTGGAAGGCACATTCAGAATGATACATCTACTGTGTGCATTGTTGTTGTAAAGTCAAGAATTGGTTAATCTGTCAGAGCTACTTGTGTTTTTTTATTGAATAACCTAAGTGATAAGTTGCATGTTGTCCTGTTGGTTGAGCGGTTGGGTGTTTGTTTGCTTGTCATGTCGGTCATTAACTGGTAGAAAGAGGGTGGTGAGTGGGAGGCTGCAAGAAAGTAGCCACTGAGCACACAAAAATAAAATAAATGGATTAGAGCCAAGCATTCAGCGATAATATCGTCAGTCCCACGACACAATGGTACAAACGAGATTAAATGTTGAACTCGTACTTTATCACTAAAGTATGTGTACATTTCAACTTGAAAATTCAGCTGGGCATTTACACATATTTGTCCCTGCTGATGGGGTTTCAGTCCCTTTGAAGTATATCTGGCAAAGCTTTTGTTACGTTATTTAAACACGTGCCATGATAATGCAATTATTTTTGTTCCTTGAATGTAACATCATCATTCTGTTTTCAATATTTTGTATTGGAACCTGAGTCTGCAAACTGTTCACTTTAGATCACAGTATATTCTGTGAAGCGCTTTGAGACGTCTAGAACACTTGAAAAGCACTGTATCAAATGCAAGTATTTTCCCACAAATTACATCTCAAATTCCTGGAAATATTTATTCACTTGTAATGTGGGAGAAGTAAGGATTCTAACAATGGCCGAAGGTTAAAATTGTCTAATACACCTCTCCAACCTATAGCTCAATGGTTAGAGCACTCGTCTTGCAAGTGAGACACCTGGATTCAATTCCAGGCAGAGGGCGAAACCTTGGGCAAGTTTCCTTACTCCACACGCCTAATAATAATCCCTCCAAAATAAAACGATAATAAATTGGTCATTTTCAATCCACAACTGTTTGTGGGACACTGCTGTGCGCAATTGGCTGTCACGTTACTCCCACAGATATACAGTCAATTCACTTTACAGCATATTCTGTGAAGCGCTTTGAGAAGTCTAGAAGAAGTGAAAAAGCGCTATATCAAATGCAAGGGTTATTATGATCATTGTCATTATTATTTCCCGGGCATAGCTTTTACTGATTGCTATAAATAACAAATGTTTTCCTTTCTGTTTATAAGGACGTTTTCCATTTGCAGGACACAGTGAAAAGATCACTATTTTTAATGATCAGTGTTAATTGAGCTCAATGGCTGGGATTTCACTGAGTCTGAAGACTACATTTATAAGGTATTGAAGAAAATACTGAGTGATCAATCAATATGTGACAAATATTTGTGACCATTTTTGAAGAATGACTGACCTGGAGGACAAGGGAAACTCAGTAAATATTAGATATGGATTTTAGCAAAATTGTTGATGTAGTGTAAAGAACCGGTCGGTTTACCAAGTTCACTTTACAGTATATTCTGTGAAGAGCTTTGAGACATCTTGAAGATGTGATAAGGCGCTGTATCAAATGCAAAGATTATTATTATTATCTTCAGAGGGGTGGGTACGCCAGGCCTCTCCAAGAATAAAAATGTCCAGGATTCTGTAGCAGAATTGAAGATGTAGCCAACTCCGCAAATCAAAATCCCAACAATAAGCTGATTCTGAATGGATAAGTTATGTATTATATAGTTACTCTATAATAGAAAGAATTTCGTGATTTTTTTTGAGTTTTGGGAGCAGCCAGGTGAAGTCAAAATGGTCTTTTCCCGTTCTATGTATTCTTATATTTTTATATTTCAGCCACTACACCCTAAAACTCTGGAACTCTCACTCTCAATCCCTCCACCTTGCCCCCTCCCTCCCCACATTCAAATCCCACCTAAAGGCCTTCCTCTTTGATGGTTCTTATGGTAACCTACCTCCTCCCTTTCCCCCTGGCTCAGTGACAGACTCCACCACTGTGAAGTCCTCCAGAACGCCATCCCACGTGAAGGGTGCTATGTAAATGCAATTTGTTGTTATATTTTTATGCTCTACAGCTCCTATTATTCTTGTTCTGTCTGCACATTGTGATTAATATATGCAAGTTAACATTTCCTAATTAACTTCATCCTCCATACTTATTTGAAAAAGATATGTGACATGGTTGGAAAACATTAGTTGATAAATGGTTGTCATGATGAAGTGTGCTTTCGGAACTCACACTGTGGTAAACACACTGTAGCTCAAGGTTGTGGACTGAATTGCAACATATGACATCGCTCCAACAGTTATTTGATAGCTAATCTCCAAGAATTACCACATATCATTATACTGTCAAAAACTGTCCATTATTAATTTCTTCCAAGACCAGCATAATTATATTTTCCACCCTCCAATTCAATAAATTGATTCATTAACATTTGATAAAGTTTGACTTTGATGTTACCGCCCACATCTGGTACACAAAGTTTAGAATGCTCTTCACCTACCAACACTTGGCAATTAAATTGCATCTGAACTACAGTATAATTGTGTAGACAACTTCTAATGATTGCTTTCAATGTTTAGAGGAGTTGAGGCTTCAAAAAAACCTGGCACCACTTGTAACTTTATAACCTTATATAGTAGCTCAAAGGGAAACCTGTTTCTTACTTTTAGACTCAGGACTCATATTCCAGTGTGGAGTGTGTCCAATATAATAATAAATAATAATCCTTGCATTTGATATAGCGCTTTTCACGTCGGAGGACGTCCCAAAGCGCTTCACAGAACACACTGTAAAGTGAATTGACTGTATATTTGTGGGCGAATGCGGCAGCCAATTGCGCACAGCAATGTCCCACAAACAGTCGTAGATTGAAAATGACCAATTTTTTTTTTATTATTGTTTTTGGTTTTGGAGGGATTATTATTAGGCTCTGTGTGGAGTAAGGAAACTTGCCCAAGGTTTCGCCCTCTGCCTGGAATTGAACTCAGGTCTCTCACTTGCAAAGCGAGTGCTCTAACCACTGTCCTGTAGCTGTAGTCCTAGATAGTCATGGTCAACATTCCCATCGGGAACTATGAACCGGATACTGGTTCTGAGACTTCCCTAATAGTGGTGCTCAACTCTTCCTACATTCCTAGTAGGAACTGTGTTCCGATGAGAAATGTGTCTTTGATATTGCTTCCCAGTGTCCTAGTAGCAGTCATGAAAACTCCCAGTGTGCTTCTGATGCTGGTAATTGGTGCACGCAGTGATGTGGGCGGTGGGGGTCTATGTCATTACGTTTCCTGGAGAAACGTGTCCCTGATATTGGATGGTAACAGTCACAGTCGCTTTGATCTCGACGCTGTGATAAGGCGTTCTATCAAATGTGAAGTATTGTTATAAGTGAGCACTCGTGCCGAGACCTCCAAAACAAAATCAGCCTGTTTTGGAACATGTGTGTGTGTGTGTGGGGGGGGCAGTGTGTGTGTGGGGGGTGTGGAGGGTGGGGGGTGTGGGGGGGAGAGGTGTGTGGGGGTGGGGGAGATGTGTGGGGGCAGTGGGGTGTGGGGATGGGGGGGGAGGTGTGTGGGTAGGGGGCAGGAATGGGGGCGGTGGGGCGTGGGGGGGTTAGGGGGGAGGTGTGGTGTGGGTGTGGGTGTGGTGTGTGTGTGGGGGGGTGTGTGTGGGGTGTGGTGTGGGTGTGTGTGTGGGTGTGTGTGTGTGGGTGTGTGTAGGGGGTGTGGGTGTGTGTGGGGTGTGTGTGTGTGGGGGGGGTGTGGGTGGTGGAGGTGTGGGTGTGTGTGGGTGTGTGTGGTGGGGGTGGTGTGTGTGGGGGGTGTGGGTGGTGTGTGTGTGTGTGGGGGGTGTGGGTGTGGAGGTGTGGGTGTGTGTGGGGGGTGTGGGGGGTGTGTGTGTGGGGGGTGGTGTGTGGGTGTGTGTGTGGGTGTGTGTGGGTGGGTGTGTGGGGGGTGTGTGTGGTGTGTGTGTGTGAGGGGGGTGTGTGTGTGGGGGGTGTGTGGGGTGTGTGGGTGGGGTGTGTGGGGGGGGGGTGTGTGTGTGGGGGGGTGTGGTGTGTGGGTGGTGTGGGTGTGGAGGTGTGGGTGGGGTGGTGTGGTGTGTGTGGGGTGTGTGAGGTGTGTGGGTGGTGTGGGGTGTGGAGGTGTGGGTGGTGGGGGGTGTGGGTGTGATGGAGGTGGAGGTGTGGAGGCGCTTTACGTTTGGATCAGAAGCTCTTTGTTTTTGTGAATGAGAATTCGAGGCAGAGAGAGACGCTGTGGAGACGCGTCCAGATAACGCGGTGACGTCGGCGGTGACGCGAGGCCGCACAGTACGTCGGTGGGCGGAGTCCGGGGCTGAGGGGGCGCCGGAGCTGCACCTGAATAGCCTTTAACAGCGGCGGTATGTGTTTGCGGGGGAGGGGAGGGGGGGGCAGAGCTCCAGCCCCGGGGTGGGCCTCCCCCCAGCCGCACCCCGCCCCCCACAGCCGCCCCCCGGCCCGGCTCCACTCTCAGCGCGCGGCCTGAGGGCCTCAGCACCTGCCCGGTCCAGGGTCATTGTCTTCCCCCACATCCCCCCCCCACACACACACACACACACTGCACCCCCCCCCACACACACTGACCCCCCACACCCACCACTGCCCCCCACCCACACACACACACACTGCACACACCAACCACACACACACACACACTGCACACACCAACCACACACACACACACACTGCACACACCAACCACACACACACACACTGCACACACCAACCACACACACACACACACTGCACACACCAACCACACACCCACACACACTGCACCCCCACCACACACCCACACACACTGCACCCCCACCACACACACACACACACTGCACCCCCACCACACACCACACACACTGCACCCCCACCACACACACACACACTGCACCCCCACCACACACACACTGCCCCCCCACACACACACACTGCACCCCACCACACACACACACTGCACCCCCCCCACACCCACACACACTGCACCCCCACCACACACCACACACACACTGCACCCCCACCACACACCCACACACACTGCACCCCCACCACACACACACACACACTGCACCCCCACCACCACACACACTGCACCCCACCACACACACACACACACTGCACCCCCACCACACACACACTGCACCCCCCCACACCCACACACACTGCACCCCCACCACACCCACACACACTGCACCCCCACCACACACACACTGCACCCCCCCCACACACACTGCACCCCCACCACACACACACACACACTGCCCCCCCCACCACACCCACACACACTGCACCCCCACCACACACCCACACACACTGCACCCCCACCACACACACACTGCACCCCCACCACACACACACACACACTGCACCCCCACCACACACACACACACACTGCACCCCCACCACACACACACTGCACCCCCCCCACACCCACACACACTGCACCCCCACCACACACCCACACACACTGCACCCCCACCACACACACACTGCACCCCCCCCACACCCACACACACTGCACCCCCACCACACACACACACACACACACACACACACTGCCCCCCCCCACCACACACCCACACACACTGCACCCCCACCACACACCCACACACACTGCACCCCCACCACACACACACTGCACCCCCACCACACACACACACACTGCACCCCCACCACACACACACACACACTGCACCCCCACCACACACACACACACACTGCACCCCCACCACACACACACTGCACCCCCCCACACCCACACACACTGCACCCCCACCACACACCCACACACACTGCACCCCCACCACACACACACTGCACCCCCCCCACACCCACACACACTGCACCCCCACCACACACACACACACACACACACACACTGCCCCCCCCACCACACCCACACACACTGCACCCCCACCACACACCCACACACACTGCACCCCCCTACACACACACTGCACCCCCCTACACACACACTGCACCCCCCTACACACACACTGCACCCCCCTACACACACACTGCACCCCCACCACACACACACACACACTGCACCCCCCTACACACACACTGCACCCCCACCACACACACACTGCACCCCCCCCACACACACACACTGCACCCCCACCACACACCCACACACACTGCACCCCCACCACACACCCACACACACTGCACCCCCCTACACACACACTGCACCCCCTACACACACACTGCACCCCCCTACACACACACTGCACCCCCCTACACACACACTGCACCCCCCCCACACCCACACACACTGCACCCCCCCCCCCACACACACACACACAAATATACACTGCCCCCCCTTCCCCCCCACACACACTGCCTCATCCCCACCCCCACCCCGACCCCAGCACCGTCTCCACCGCCCCTTTAGCTGCTCAGATCCACAGGTCTGCACTGCACTGCGCCCTTCAACCCACTGACTCCTCAAACCAATGCCCAATTGCTGTCCTGACAGCAGAGACTACAGCACAACAGTCCACATAGGAACATGTGTTGTGGCCATCCCAGACTACTAGTTTTAGTGTGGCATCGGTACAAGACATGCCTGTGTTCTCCAGCTGCGGTGCTGTACGATTCAGTGAGACTGAAGAAAATACCGTAGCTGGTTAAGATTAAAAAAATCGTAAAATGTGAAAGATTCAGTTATGAGACATTCCTGGTGAATGAAGCCAAATAAACCAAATACAATGCACTGATAACTCAATTCTGTTTCACGTGTCACTGCCACTTAGGTTATCGTGGTCAAGCTCCCGGCCGCATTGATTCATGTATTTATACATATGCTCACTCGGACCTTTTCCCTTGGAGTGACGAAATATCAAAAGTTTATGCATTTCATTGGATTTCGCCTGTTTCTAAGTAATGTGTGTTATATATGTGTACTAAAGATTTAGCGAACAGATTGATTGGGTTAACACAAGAGTAATAATAACATAATCCTTACATTTGGTATAGCCTTTCAAGTCAGGATGACATCCAAAGCGCTTTGCAGGATATATGGTAAATTGCAGTGACTGTGTTTTGTGGGTAACAAAAACTGTCTAGAGTCTTGGAGAAAGTGTTAATCATCCTGGGATTCTAAAACATTCAGGATTAAATGAGTTAATAGTGTAATTTTCTTTTCAATCTGTTTCAGTTTTCCCAAGATGTTGTGCTGTCGAGTTCTGGGACAGGTGAAAAGTTGGGCCTTATCACATGCTGGAGTTTGTGTGTCAGAGAGAATCCAAGGATTTATGTGGCAGAGAATCCAAGGAGTGTCCTGCTCAATGAGTCACAGAATTATTTTGAAAGAAAGGACTGCCTGTAAAAAACATGTGCTTCATTCACTGGTTCCAACTGATAGAGCCTTGCTAATTCTTTGCTTTTTCAGAGAAGAACCTTTTTCTCGGCCACTTGCTTGTCTGCTGCATCCACTTCCACTCCTCAGCCTGGTTGGTATGAGGGCCTTGCAGATTCACCGCCCATCCAACTGATACAAGACCTATTGACAAATGTGCACCAGGTCACAGGGTTACCATGGTGGGCAACCATCATGTTCACTACAGTAGCATTACGAACATCTATAACAATCCCACTCGCAGTGTACCAGATGTATATTATTGCCAAGGTGAGAGGGGAATTTCAGAACATTGATAGCCCTTCTACTTCCATTTCCTTCACTCACAAGACACACCATCAACTGACCAGTAAATGCATGTCAGAACCAAAGTACATAATTGTTGGGACTAATGATATTATTAGCACTTAAGCAAAAAATATTCCAATATTCACTTAAGCAAAAAAAATGATACCAATAAGTATAAATTACAATTTTTATTTTGAAGAGATCTTGAAAATACCATCCCCTTTGGTGTTGTATTTTCTAAATGTCATAAACGTTGGAAAATGCTTTCAAAATTAACCCGTGTATTTTGTGGACAATTAATTCAGTAATAATGTACTTTTCTCCCTACCGTAAGAAATGGTTGTCTGAGCATGAGAGGTACTCTACAGCCAATTGTAGCATCCTCTCCTGATTTCAGGCTAGCTTAGCACAGACAGAAACCTCTTAGTATCCAACAGGGAAAATAACTGTTTAATTTAAAACAAAATAATTTTGGAATTGTTTTGATTTTAAAATCTGAATTATTTCTGCATATTGTATAACCAGTGTCACCTTCCAATTAGCTAGGTTGAAAATTTACAGCCAGAGATTGCGAAACTAGCCAAGCAACTGCGTTATGAGGTGTCTGTGCGTGCAAAGCAGCTTGAGTGGTCTGAAAAAGTTACTCGGTAAGAAATTGTCCCATTTGAGTGCAGGTTTGCTTGTGTCACAAGTGTGTTGTGGACGTGTACTATACTGGAAGCGAGGTACGCCCAGGTTCTAATACTGAGTAGTCAGCTTTGTGGGTTGCTACCCTGCGTGAAGGGGAACTAAATAAATGCAAGTTGTTAAATTGTTGTAAAGAATGGCTGCCTTTGAGCTGTCATTTGCTCATGCATTGCGTGAAGGAATTGTCGCTGATGCTACTTTCTGCACAAGCATGCTACAGTGCAGATCTGCTTGATTGCTAAAATATCATGTACTTTTTTTTAAGCAAAAATACCCCAATGATAAAACTAACAGCAGTGAGTCAGGATACAATCACTGTACGACTGTCATAATATTTTATCTACATAGACAAGGGCTATTTGGTTTGCATGTGTCCTGGTGCTATGAGTTTTATCCTTGTATACTCTTGCTGCTTAGCCACTAATTTGTTTCATAGAAAATTCTTGAGTTGTCATTTTCATTGTCGTGCTTAATTTGTTCTTTTGTCTTGGGAATCAGCTTTCAGTTCAGGAAGAACCTGAGCAGGATCGTCTCCGAGTTGTACGTTCGTGACAACTGTCATCCTTTCAAAGCAACTCTGCTCATCTGGGTCCAACTGCCGCTGTGGATTTGTATTTCCATCGCTCTGCGGAACCTGAGTGTAATGGCCTCTGATGCTGCTGCAGGTACCTTACATTATTTTACCTGTGAAATGCCTCTGAAAAGAGATGTAAGCTGGCTGCCTTAGGGTTATGTAGCAACAAGAGCAACAGCAAATTAAATTTGTATAGTGCCTTTCACATCGGGAGGGCATCCCAAGTCACTGGACAGTCGGGGATTTGGACCCGAGCAGGGGGGTTGGGATCAGGAGGAGTGGAGGGCAGGCCATGTAGGGGTAGGAGGGTGACTATTAAACCACTTGTAATTGTCGCCTTGCAAATTAATAGAAAATTAAAAATCCATTCTTGGTGTAGAGTGGTCCTTGTTCAAAAACTTAATTTAGTTACTCATTTGGTTGTCCTTGCCATATGTTTATTCCTCTGTCTCCCATCATTTAGTGCATTGATTGTATAGCTAAAGTTGGTGAGTTGGGGATGCGGAGATGGAAAATGAATGGACATTGATCCGGAATGCTGATGGAGGAATTGTGGGCTATGGGCAGGAAATCACTGATTATCTTTTTGTCTATTCAGCACCTGCTATTCAGAGTCTGGCTTCGGGTGGAGTGCTGTGGTTTCCTGATCTTACACTCCCTGATTCTACCTGGATCATGCCCATCTTTTTAGGACTCATTAACCTTTTGATAGTTGAGGTAAGGATATTTATTTTCATATGGAAGAATGATGAAGGATTTGCCTTAGTTAGCTGGACAATTAAGCGGTGGCGTTCAGTGCTTATTGCTGATATCCTGAAAGTTGACATCATCACAATTGTTATCTGCTTAGGTTGGTAGAACATTTCTTTTCCCTATTACTGTTACTGTAATTGGTAGATTGCCCAGTTACTGCATTGATTGGTTGGTCAGTTGGCTTCTCAGCTGCTCAGCACGTGAAAATCATTGTTGTTTTATCTTCTCTCGTTAGATTTTTGCTTTAAGAAAAATGGAAAAGTCGAAAATTCAGAAATACGCAACCTATATGATCCGGAGCATATCAGTAATCATGGTTCCAATTGCTGCAACAGTGCCCTCGGTAAATATATGTTGACCCTGCGATCGTGTTGTTGAGTGTTATTTTTATGTAATCCTACTCAAAATTTACAGCTAAAATGATGCTTATCTCTGCAAGGCAGTAAAACAACATAAACAAAAGAGGTTTTATTTTTCCAGTTTTTACCCCAGGCAATGGGAAGACAGTGAATGCTACTGCATATAGTTTCATGAAGTACTTTCTGCCAAGTACTCATTCTTACCCAGAACCAAAGCCAATCCCGTTTGGATGTGACATGCGTACATGTGTAATAACTATGATTATTTTCTGTGTCAGCATTATCTCAACAATGTGGTATTTTGTTAAAAGCTATCTCCTCTGATTTTAAATTCCACGTGGGTAGGTAACCTGCTGACTGGAAGATCCACGAGTTTAAGTTTTGGCCATTGCCAACGGTGTATGAATCAACCTATACCAAGGGATCTCGGAAGATGAGTTTACATGAGCATCTGCTAGGAGCTTGCTTGAGAGCAGCACTGTTACTTGTAATTCTAATCTGAGCACAGATCATCCCAGCAAGGAATGAAATGAGGTGGAAAATGATACTTAGCCAATGATGGAAGGGAACAGTATGTTTTTCCCACAAATACTCAAGGCTAGGAAAACCTAAGTGCCTAATCCCCGAGTATATCCGTCAGTAGCATTAGCGGAGAGTGTATTGTGTATGGTTCAGTGAGAAGTGCTTATTCAGCTCCTTTTCTGTTTTCAGTCTATGGCTCTTTATTGGCTGACCTCCAGCTGGGCTGGTCTTGGACAGAACTTGCTGCTGCGTTCCCCGACTATTCGCGCTCTCTGCCGGATACCTAAGATGAAGTCTGATTCAGACACTCCTTTCAGAGACTTATCAGCAGAATTTATCACCAAATATTTTGTGAAGAAGTGACTTTCTTTGGATGACACCACATGTGATCACTCTGAGATGCTATATAAGTGCAAATTGTTGTTGTTATATGTGGACTGTATGTGTTTGTGTGTGTATATACGTGTATATAATTGGTGGACTGAGTCCGTCTGACATTTCATTTAATGAATGATAAAATTTTAAGGGAACAATGAATGAAATCTTGCCTGACTATTTACAGAGGATCCACATGTTGGTCATTGAGGGAGATAATGAATGCTTTGTTCTGGATCTGTTGTTTTCCCCCATTTCTCTTCTCCATAATAATACCCTTCAAAGTAAATATCCACCCCACCACTCTCCTTATGCATCTTTCTCTGACAGAAATAGTAGGACAAATGCTGTTTTTAAATTCTTGAATCTACTCTGTTGCTCAGAGCACTACTCCTGCGACGATTTATTTTCTACTTTTCTATTCCTGTCTTTAGGAAAAGACTTTAAGTCTGCTCTCTGCCTTCCTCTAGATGATCTGGTTCAGATTGCACGGGCCCTGTTTGAGCAAAATTTTGTGAGCCCCCTTCACAGTCCAGTATATTGGTAAGCAAGGTGCACTCAGCAAAGTTGTCCCTGTAACAATCATTAATTGCACCCTTGAGTCAGCAAGTCGCGTGTTCAAACCCTGATGGAGTCTTTGACATTTTTAAGGGGTTTTGATGAAATCAACAGTGAGAAATTGTTTCCTAGTAACAAAATTAAATAAATCCACGACTATTTGTGGGACACTGCTGTGCACAATTGGCTGCCACGTTTCACCCACAAAATGTAGAAACAATTCACTTTACAGTACAGTACACTGAAGCGCTTTGAGACGTCTTGACAACCTGATAAGGCGCTATATCAAATGCAAGGATCATTATTATTTATTATTGCTGTCCACAAATTGGTTGTCACATTCACCCACAAATACACAATCACTACACTTTTACTCAAATATGAAATATTGCATGATATTCTGCACTTATCCAGTTCTGTAAAGAGCCATTGCTATCTACTTGTATTGCAATAATTTGGATGGTTCTCTAATGATTTAATCAGTCATTGTTTCTCTCCTCTGCTGTTAAAGTATTTTCTCATTTAACATAGTTAGTAACACACTTAACAAACCTTATCAGCTTTTCCAGCCATCTACCAAAACTGCTCTTGAAGTGTCTCATGGGTTGCAGTGATTAGAAAGACACAGGCTAAGAACGAATAACCAGGTTGAAAGGTTAATTTGATTAGAATCACAAGATTAATCCAACTTCTGAGATGATGTGATCTGAGAATTCTATAGTCAGGTGAGATAACTTGATAACAATTGTCTGTGATGGATGAATCAACTTTGATTAGGTTAAGAGTCATTCCTGGCAGTGTCAGTCAGGATGAGACATTGGCAGCTGTGCTTTCAGTTACTATGGCCTGAAACTCTAGAACTCCCTGCCTCAAACCCTGTGATTTGCCCCCTCTTTGCCCATCTTCAAATCACATCTGAAGAACTTTGACCGTGCCTACAGTCACCTCTTCTTTCGCCCTGCATTATGTCAGGCTCCACCATTGCTAAGAGCTCCGAGATGCTACCCCGTGTGAAGGGTGCTATGTAAATGCAAATTGTTGTTATTTAGTGTAATTATCAGGCCACACAGTGGCCTTCTCTTTAGAATACAAGAAAGATCTCTTTGTGAAGGCTGTAAAATAAACTGTTGGGATTTTGTTGGCATGATGATGTATCATATTGTCTACATATTGTCTCATATAGACAATATATTACATCATCATGCCAACAAAATTCCAACAGTTTGAACCCCCACAATCTGATGAATATGGAAATATTACTTACATTTTTAAATGCTGCAACTGTGTTCTGAATTTATATTCCTCTTTCAAATTTTTGAAATAAGTCAGTATTGCTGCCATGTTTTCCTACCAAGCAAATCCTTTGGTTTGGACTAGTGTTCAAATCCTGCCCAAAATAGATGGGATGAAAGGTTCTTTTCTCCTAATGCTGTCTGTAATCATTATATATGGAATTGGTTAAGCCATTGAATGAGTTAAGAGAGTGAGGAAACCCTGTATAATATTCCAATAGTAGGTGCAATGATTGGTATAGAAGGATTAGTTTTTAGATGTCCTTTGTACAACCTAGACCAGAGTAGTGATCCGTGAGTAGAGATTAAATTAAACCACTTTTATTAAATTGTGGATTTACACGTATTCCAGCATTCCAACAAACTCTTGAATTTATTACAGAAGTGATATATTCCTGCACACATGAATGAATGTTTAATGCGTTTAAATGCTGCCATGTGTCAACCAATCGTACAGTAATAGCTTGCATAGTAACACGCCAGTGGAAATGTCTTTTATGAGCAATTCAGAGGAATCAACATTTGAGTAGAAATCTTTGTGTTGTGTGGATGTGCTGAGAAATGAGATTGAGTGCAGATCACGTTTAATACTAACATAAAATGTATCCGGTGGGATTCTCTTGAGTTATTTTACCAGCACCTTCTCCCTCCTCCCTCACCAACAATACCTTGGTTTTAGAAGTGCAGTGAGACAGAAGAAATCACACTTTACAAAGACTGTCAGAGTGTAAAAAGAAAGATTGAACACGTGTTTCCTCATTATTCAGTACATGATCATGTGGCGCTGTTGGCATTGACCAGGATGTGTTCCCCACTGGGTAGGGTGGGGAATTGTCCTTGGAGATAGACAATGTTGCCTCGGACAATGGTAATAAAAACTTCACCGTACAGTCTCCGTCCAAGGTAAGGGGTCAGCTGAAATTCAAACACAACACAGCCGTCAGGTTTATTCCTAGCAACAAAGGTCAGCAACAATCACTTTCAGGTCAGATCTAGCACAGTTGGATACAGAGTGCAACTCCCCTACTCTTCTCCATTTCCCATTCCTGATATCCTTGAGGTTTCTTAAAGTGAAGTTGACAATTTAATGCCAGGAAAGGCAATTTTTTTGTCATGCCTTTCAAGAAAGGTCTGAGGCTGGCCAAACTACTTTCATTTAGAGGTGGGGGAGGGGTGGGGGGGTTCCAGCCAAACTCAAGCAGAGATATTTACCATATTCCTTGCGCTGGAATGTTGATTGCAGAAGTGAAAGGGAAATGTGCCAACTCACTTGCCAGCTAGGAATTCGATCTCGCTGCCTTAGTTGGTAGGTACCTGGTCTCTCAGATCATCTGTCACTTACTGCCTGAGTCAAGGCATACCCAGCACCACTTGTTTCATGCTCACTGGATCAATTATTGAGTGCTGGATTCAGTACCATCTCTCTCTCACTCACACACACTGCAGGAGTGAGGATCAATCCTGGAGCTACCTGTGTGCACTCACTGCCTCACGCAGGTAGTTTTGGCAGCTTTTAGATCAGTTGTTCATTGGAATGTCTCAAGAGATGGAATATTGGTTCTCTTTGTGGAGCAGAGACACTGGCATTGACCAGCTTCAGTCTCCTGCTGAACAATCGATCAATATTATGTCAGGCTGAGCTCCCTTCTTGACCTTAACGCTTCAGATTGTTTGAGAAAAGAGCATTTCTTAAACACACTTACTTTGTTTTTGTGGTAAATTATGGACTCCTTTACCTGGAAAGAAATAATCAATTGTCACTGAAATTGTACGCAGGTGTGAAAACATCTAAATGCCTGTGGCAATGTCCGATTAACCTACCTCAAACTCTTTGTCAGGATTCCAAACAACGAGGTCTGCATCCTTACCAGGGGCAAGAGATCCCTTTCTGTCCTCAATCCCACACAGTTTAGCTGTGTTCTTACACATCAGGTTCACTGTATCATGCAGAGTGAATCCTCGCTGACGTGCAGCAGTCCAGAACAAAGGGAGTCCTACAAGACAGATGCATTTGAGAAACATCTGCAATAAGTGCTCATTCATTCATCTCCCCCCACCCTCCATTATCCACAGCAACTGCAAACATGCCTTCGTGCTACTAGCACTTACTTACAGTATATCGTATAATATTTTGTAAGGGAGGGTATAAACTCAAACTCTTTCTAAAGTCTTTGGCAAAAGGTTCCTATATACACACATTCCTCTTGAAGCTACTTCTATTTAAAGAAACATTTTGTTCAAAAAAAGTTTGGAAAACAGTGATGCAATTGTTTAAATGCCATTGCGTTGCAGAAATGTCTCACTGGCAGGAAAGTTGGCATCAGAATTCAGTTACTATGAAGCTGACTCTGGAGCGTTTCCAGAATGTTGTCTCATAGCCCCTGTGAGATTTTTAGGAGTTCATCAGATCAAAGTAAAGTGTTGTATATGGACTGTATTGTATGTTAGGTTTTCACAGTTATCCTTTCATCTCTGTAATTTAGTTTTGAGTCTAAACTAATGGCATAAAAATGTCTCCTTTTTTCAGCAACTTTCAAGACGTGTTTGCATATGTCTTTTCAGGGTATTTTTTTGTTAAGTAAAGCTTACCTAAAATGTGTTAGATCATTTGTACTATCATTAACAAGACTCATAGAAGCATTCTGTACTTAATTTTAATGTGGCAGACAGTAATTTGACTCACCAAACTGCAGAGAGGAAATCCCTCCCCAGGCTGTCATAAAGTCTCCAGTCTCTAGGCGTTTGAGATCTGCTGTACATGGCGAATGGTCAGACACCACCATATCTATTATCCCAGCTTTCAGTGCAGACCACAATTTCTCCTGCATGAGATGGACAGAGAGGGACTGGTATGACTTTATAGATCGATCACAAATAATTCTTAATAATCCTTGCATTTGATATAACGCCTTTCATGTCGGGATGACGAATCAAAAACTTCACAGAATCTACTGTAAAGTTTAGTGACTGTGTTTTGCAGAAGAATGCAGCAACCAATTTGTGCACAGCAATGTCCTACAAACAACCATGTTTGTAGGACATTGGGCGATTGTTGGCCAGGACACAGGGAGAAACTCCCTTCTTACTGAAAGGTGAAGGTTGCTATCTATTGAGCCAGGCTGACAAAATATAGTCCATAAAGCTTCTCCTCAAGGACATAGTGGGCTGTATAGTAAACTAACTGTATAGTAGATGTACTCTGAATAAAAGTGATAGTGTGAACAAGGTTCAAGTTCATAACAGCGGAAAATTGTTACCTGGTTGCATCTGCCCCTTATGGGAGGGCAGCACTTGTAGTGTGTGGCTCCAGTTGGTATCTCTTCAGCAGCTAGTGAGAGGTAATGGTGAGTGGTTTCTACAGTTAGTGGAGCCCCAGCCTTACGAGCTTCTTGTATAATGGGCACAGCTTCCGCCGAGGAAAGGTGAACAATATGACAGTGGACTCTGGGCAGAGAAAAACAGTCAATCAGTGGCTGTCTAGAAGTAACAAACATTTCGCATTGGTTTAAGCAAGCCAGTTTTTAGGTCTTCTCATAGACCTATTTTTGAACAATACAATATTACATTTGTGCAGCGCATTTCACATCGGGAGGACGTCCTGAGGCACTAGACAGTCACGGATTTAGATCTGAGCAGGAGAGGGGGATTGAGGTAAGGGAGGGTGGAGGGCAGGGAGGGTAGCCATAGGCACGGTTGAAGAGGATGGTCTTGGGTTCAAATGTAGCCCAAGCATGCCAAGTATTTATATTTACAAAGACTGAAACAGGCCACTTGGCAGCACACTAACCTGTACTGAAAACACAGTTTAATAACTATTCGAATGGCTTCCAATTCCATATCATCAGTGCGCGAATTGAGGAATGTTGTGTAATCACGGGGATCTGGGGCTGGCAAAGGAACATATAAACCACAGTCACAAGGGCACAGAGGTATGAAGATGGATGCAGGATAAAGTGATCACCTATGCAGAAACAGTGATACGAACACAGAGATGTAAAGATCCAGTGCCTGGGCTAGAGACCATGATAAAGACAGATACAATGGCACTGCGAAATGGCACTGACTTATGTGCAGAGACAGCAATATATTAGATACATATATTTTTGGTCAGGCGGGTGTCTGACACATGTGGAAACCCATCACTATGCTTAAGAGTATCCAAACCAAGCTGAGATTTCCATGCATCCCACTTACACATGGAAATCCTAGAGATAGATTGTTGGAATGAAATGCGCACTCCTGACTGGAGGGACACATCCTGCTTACTAATTCCGGAAAATATAAGGCTTAAGTTAGCAAGAGCCAAGACTTGGGGACCCCAGAGTGTTCGTTTGGGTTGGAGTCTAACCAGCTAAAACTGCATAGGTTGCCATTGATAGTGCTGTCCGACAAGCTTTCCCGCTGCTTGTTTAGCTAGGACCACCCTACCCACTAGGGCTTTGGCTTGCAGGGTTAACAGGAACTGAGAGGGATGACTCCCAGCCCCCAGTGATTGGTCTGTCCTTCCAAGTCCTGTCAATGAGTCAGGCTGGCTGTGATATCATCAGCAGTGCCCTGGAATACTACGGACCAGCCTGGCTCAGGAACCAGACTACCGAGACCACCACAGAGGGCTGGCTCGATTCCAACATTCCGTTGCCAACCATGACACCTTGGAGCCAGTTCAGCTTCAAGGAGGCCCCATTCACCTCCCCCCACCCCCCACAAGAAGGATAATTACTAGTTGGTCATTCGACATCCGACAAGCATGGTTTTGAGCCTCACTTGGTGGGTGTACAAGGAATTCTCTGCGAGCTTCCACGGTGGGCAACCCATGTCAGCATGAAATACGTGAGAGCATTGCCACCGTCTTCCTGTCCGCAGCTCGTGCACACATTCTTCCCATTGAGCAATGGTTCCACCAATTAGACGTGCAGAGTTTAAGCATCAGCTGCTTGCCTCTCCACAGTCAAGGGGGATTCCGGGTGCTGGACGTACGAATGCGTGTTTACGAACTCAGACTCCAGATACATAGATATAAGGATACTGACACAGGGATAAGGTGACGCCGGTGAAAAGACATCAATAAGGACACAGATATAATAACTCAGTGATACAGAGATGCAGTGATATAATGACAAAATGCAATGGAGTCGGAGAGTGACAAAGCTGCACTGACACAGTGAAACGGTAATACCAAACCATCTCGGAGTGTGCCCAGTGATGACTCCTCAAGTGTTTTGTTCTTACCCTCGCTGTGTATTGGAGGATTCACTCGCTCCAGTTCTTTTTCTGCATGGAACTGTGAAGAAGCAAACTATTATTAGTTTTCAACTCTTTGAAAGCAAGATTTCTGCTCTGTAATATGGAGCACTCGGATCTGGTGCTCTCTTCCTCTGTCAGCATCAAACACTTTCAGTTCAGGTACAACACAGTCAGATACAGTGCAAAGCTACATGAATTCTACTCTTTACCCACTCCCAGGTTAGCAGTTGAACTTTGTTTATCCTTACTGCAAGTGCTCTGATGTCATGTATAGCAAGTTACTTCTACTCTACCCAACAGCATGGCTTCATTCTTGCTTCAGAAATATACTCCTGGTGGTTTAATATTGTTGATATTCTTCTTTCAAAAATGCAAAGTATTGATCACTTAGTTTGGCAGATTAAGAATCTTTATATTCCTGTATGGGGAAAGCATTCCATAATAAGAAGAATAAGAATCCTTGCATTTGATAAAGCGTCTCATGTTGGAAGGATGTCTCCAGGCACAGGATTTACTCTAAAGTGGAATGACTGTAAATATTTTGTGGTTGAACAAAGTGGACTCTGGAACTTGAATTGAGAGTGCTACTAATTGAGCCAGGCTGACGCACAACTTGTTTGTAAACCTTTTTGGCTCACAAATCTGCACCTCCATCTACAGCGTCGTTAGCTGAAGGCCGAATCTGGCTCTACTTAACAAGTTGTTCGGATGGAATTCCTACAGGATGGCTTGGCTCTGTCTAATCAGAAGAGGAGAGTGCTCTCCATTTCGGCTGCTGTGACTTTCTAATTGGGATAAAGGGCTATACAGCTATGTGTACGCAGGATGCATACCCACGATACACTATATAATTTGTTGTTGTTGATGGTAAACTCAAAAAGGACACTGCAACTGTGTAATCAGGGGTATTCTCCGTTCACAATGCTGTGTTCTTTCACTGGATCGGTTTGCACTCTGCTATAAATTCGCCTAGACCAGAGCTCTGCTACAAACAGAACACTTGACCTTTGAAGTTTATTGTTCTTAGTGGAGATAGGATTGAGCTGTGCGTATTTGGCTTGCTGATGAGGGAGAGATTGTATATTTACCAGTAGCACACAGCCTGTACCCTGCAGCTCAGCCATGGCTGCCTCCAGGTCCACCTCAGCCACATGAGGGAATTCGTCCACACCGCTGTGGATCAGGAAACACTTGAAACCCGGGACGCCGGCCTTAATCATAGGGAGAAGTGCAGACTGGGGAAAGAAAGGGAGACTGGGGAAAGAAAGAGAACCGACACATGCTCCCCCACAACACATATATCAAGAGTCGGATTATATCGATGCTTGATTGGTTGTATCCCACGGTCATGCCATAGTAAGGAACTTCAGGTCCTGCCATAACGAGATATCCACGAAGAATGAAGTTATTAAATCCTTCAGTGCCCTTTTGAAACACATTCTAGAGAACTCGATGGAATGACCACGGAACCCAGGGAACAGAACCTGCTAGCGATTACATAGAATCGGAAAAGATGAATAATTTACCTGGTTGCCTGGGATAACACCGCCCCAGAATGCAGTGTCCACAAAGCACTGGCCTCTGGCCATTTGAAGTTTCATTTGGAAATTCTCAAGTGTGGTTGTCGGTGGAATGCTGTTCCTGCACACATGGAAAAAGTTAACAGATTGTTGTCCACACACATCATTTACATCTATACAGTGTGATTGCTCCCTTGACAAACACAAACAGTGTCACTTGATCCAGTGCTGCTATTAAGAGGACAGCAATAACTCCAATATAAGTTTGTGCCACTAGGTGATGCCATCCACACACCATTCAAACTAATATTTTTTCTCAAGGTTCACCTTGAGAAAATACATTCTATTTTCACTAATAAAGCCACTCGTAATTGCAACATCAAACATTGCAGGCTTCTAAATATTCCCAAAGAGATGTTCTAAACAGTTAAATACAGTAGGACTAATAATTTGGAAAGAATTTTTTGAACTGTAGCATGAATAGCAAATTTATTTCTCTTAGACTTACTTATGATTATATGGTGAGACTGATATTATATTAATCCTTGTGTTTGATATGGTGCCTGATCACATCATCGACAACATCTCAAAGCTCTTCATAAGATTTTACTGTGAAGTGTAGTGACTGTGTATTCGTAGGCAAATGGGCAGTCAATTTCCTCATGGATTGATCAAGTGGTAAGCAATGATAATTAAGCCATTAAGCAATCTTTCTAAAATTCTACTACTTAAATCAGGATGAGGCTTCACTTGATGCTGTCTTTGGTTGAATTGTCTGCCAAACTCAATATCAAGTCTTAACGTGTCAATAAGGCACGTGAGGGAAACACTGGAGGTTGCAAGGGGACTTCTATGGAGATATTGAACACCTTCAGAAAAAGGGGATGGAATAAAACTGATGACAATAAGCAGTAAAATATCTGTCATGTTTAAAGCTGCTATAAAGTACTTAAGGCTGTTAATTGTGCATCTTTAATAATTTGGTCACTCAATCCATGGCTGTTTGTGCAACACTGCTGTGTGCAATTGGCTGCTGCGTTTCACCCACAAATATAATCAATCCACTTTACAGTATATGCTGTTGAGCGCTTTGAGATGTCTAGAAGACATGAAAAGCACTATATCAAATGCAAGGATTATTATTATTTATCTTACCTTATACAGTATATCAAACTGACGCTATTTAAATTTCTGCTGAAGGCTTCTGCATTAATGTGTTTTCAAAATTGCACAAACAATTTGATGCTAATTTACTAAATGTCAAATGTTTCAGGGGCAGGCAAATTACATATGGTAATGTTCCTCATATTGAGAAGTGTGCTAATGCCGGGTTTTATATAATTTTCCATTCATTCATATGTGTACTGAATACCACGTACTAATGTAAGTTGGGAAATGTCTGTGAGAAATTTAAACTTGCAGGACTAGATCCTCTAACAAGACCTTAACAAAGTAAAAACAAAATGCAAAATACTGCAGTTGCCGTAATTCTGAAACAAAAACAGAAGTCGCAAGGAACACTCAGCAGGTTAGGCAGCATCTATGGAGAGAGGAAAGTGAGTCAACATTTCGGGTCCACGACCCTTCGTCAGGGAGGTCTATGATTATTTTGATCAGTAGAACAAAATAACAAAAAATCTAAGTAAATTGGAGGGAATTGATGGGAAAGCTGTGGGAATAATACGAGTTTCATACAAAAAAACATGTTTGATGCTGCATTATAATTGTGGGGTTTAGAAGTCTAGCACATTTGGGTTCATAATATAGAGCAACCTATAGGCTTAACCTTCCAGTATATTGGCTCGCATGTCATTCAAATTTCCATTCGCAATCATTGAATAAACATTTCTTGATAATTGAAGGAGATTCATTAATCCTTGGAGGAAACCACTTTATCTCTAAGTTGATTCTCATATCCCAGTTTCTTACAGAGGCATGTCAACAATCGTTGTTATTCCTCCAGCTGCCGCAGACTTTGTTGCTGTCCAGTAGCCTTCCCAGTCAGTTCGGCCAGGCTCATTAACATGGACATGACTGTCCACAATACCAGCCATCACCACGAGGTCCCCGACATCCAGAATCTGCCCAGAGTCAATCATTTATGAAGGTCAGAGAATACAAATAGCAAAGTAGTGCAGCATTTTATCAATTATTAGCCTTGGATTCACCTGCCTGAAATCTCTTAAAGTGACCATGTCAATCTAATTGGACAGGTGCAGTCCGAGATAAAGCCACAGTCCACTAGATACAGTATCACCATATAAGGACACAGCAAATAGTGTATTTCGATTCAATACTGCTATGACAGTGTACTTTTATCTTTATTAATTTATAAAGTATAAGGTAATTCTTAAATTCCATTTCCCAGTGGATTAATGGAATTTTGTGAAACACAGTTCCATGTGCCTCATATCCCTAGTCAAAGTAGCAAATAAACATTTGGATCTAACTAGCCAATGGATATTTATTTAATTATCACCACCAGTCGACAATTCAGTGTCTTTGGAGAGCAGTAAATTCTCACCATTGGCGGACAGTTACCTTCAAAGCGTCTTTCTGCGTCCTCACCGCACAATTCCCAATAGCAGCACAGATAAAAGAGGCCCTTCTGCTCATTTGATTTCATTGTTCCAGAATACCATCCCTACTGTTAACACACCAGTTCTTTCACGGTTGTTTTACCTTCTCTCTCGGTGTTTGTGCTGATGTTCTTCCATCAGTGAGAATCTCCACAATTTTTCCCCCTTTTATGACAATGTCAGCTGGGCAAGTTCTGGAGTTCAACACCACCCTCTTGCTCCTCACCATAGTTAATTCAGACCCCACTTCCATTTCTCAAGCAACTGTTTGGAATCTAACAACCCAACAATCTCTGATCGCTGGAATCAGGTGGAACACTTAAACTGACAGAGCAGGTCTAAGCAACAAGTTCAACAAGTTCAAATGGACATAGAATCACGCACAGGACAAAGTCCTTCAAGTGCAGGAGTATGATAGGTGTGTTACAGTAGCATGTGTTGTACTATTGCAGAAATGCGATAGGTGTGTTACAGCAGATGAAAATGTTATGCAGATGAAAATGAAAATAAAATGCCTCCTGATCAAAAACACCTAGCAAATTGTAAAGCAACTTGTAACTCGCCAGAACTATTTTAGAATAGTCTGAGAGACTCTGTTATTTTCTGTTAGAGTTGGAGTCCTGTAGCTCAGTGGTTAGAGCACTCACCTCGCAAGCGAGAGACCTGGGTTCCATTCCCGGCAGGGCGAAACCTTGGGCAAGTTTGCTGACTCCACACGCCTGATAATAATCCCTCAAGAAGAAAAAAAACAATAATAATTTGGTCACTCAATCCACGACTGTTTGTGGGACACTGCTGTGCACAATTGGCTGCTCCGTTTTGCCCACAAAATATACAGTCAATTCATTTTACAGTATCTTTTGTGAAGCTCTTTTGAGATCTGAAAAACGCTACATCAAATGCAAGGATTATTTTATTGTTTATTATTTAAACTTTGAGAATTTACAAAGAAAATGCTTTGGTAAAGCGGTTAAATATTAAATGTTTGGGGCACATGTATGTACCAGTTCATAGATCATATTAGTTTGTGCAGCAATTGGTCTCAGTTGCAAAGCTAAAATTGATTGCCTTGTGATAATCCAGTGCAGTATTCAGATGAGATGTTAAAGCCAATGTTTAGATTATGGGTTGATGTTAAAAATTCCATGACATTTTTAGAAAAGAGTTTCTCCTGGTGTCGTGGCTGAAATTCTCCAGGTGAAATGTCTTTGATCTCATGGCTTTTTGGGGGACCTTGTCGCAAATGGCGACAACAACAACAACTTGCATTTATATAGCATCCTCCACGCAGGGTAGTGTCTCAGAGCGCTTAACAGTGGCGGAGCCTAACTCCAAGCTGGGGATGTTGGGGGAGGAGTGGGGTGGGGGAGGGGGAAGGTGACGTAAGCACGGTCGAAAAGGAGGGTTTTCAGGTGAGAATTGAAAAAGGGGAGAGTGGGGGCAAGGCGGAGGAATTGAGGGAGAGTGTTCCACAGCTTCGGGGTGTAGTGGCTGAAAGCATGACCTCCAATGGTAGAGCGGTGGGTGTGAAGGACAAGCAGGAGGCCGGTGCCAGTCGAGCAGAGGGGCAGATGGTGGGCTGGAGAGTGAGGAGGTCGGAGAGACAGGGAGGTGCCAACTACCAACTTTATCTACAAGAAACAATCACTTTAAATGAATTAGTTTTGAAGCCGTTTTGAGACATTTCAATGCTCTATAAAATCCAAGTTCTTCCTGCTATAGTCAAAGTGAATTGAAAACTAAAGCAGACAACATAGAACCAATATAATATGCTACTGTTCATGATGTGGAATGTTCACAGTGTAAACAGCTGAATTTTACAATACCAGCATTGTACAGCCACTTCTTATTGAAACTGCCTTTGAATATAAAACAGACATAATCTACCTCAACTGGCTTTTGTAAGACTATGTCCTTGCTTGTTTTTTATTTCCTTGCAGTTTAAAATTATTTCTGCTTGATCTTTGGGTTAATGTTGGCCTCATCTGCGCACGATTATTTAGTACTTGCTATATTTATTCATTTTATCATTGGGACATCCTTGGTTTCCACATACCCTGTTCATTTTAAATTTGGATAAGGTCATCATTCAGTTTATGCTATTGAGTTCTGAGAGCAAAGAACTCCTTGTATGGAGGGATAGTGTCCCATCGACACCCCTTTCAAAGGAAGTTTTAACTTCTGTAACTCAACAGTATGGTGTCTGGGTTATATAAATTACTAAATATTAAATGATACAAATGCATGCAAGAATTATTTATTATTACATTTGCACTTGTTAAAGCAACGTAGGAGTGACAATCAGAGCAATATGATGGCCAATTATTGATCGTGCCTCGTTGAAGTTATTTGTCAGAGTACATGAGTCATCCCAGCCATCTCAATCATCCAACTTTCCATCCACTATTCTATCACAGGCATACAATTAATATGATCTGACTCATAAATTAATGTGTTAAATTCTTTAAAAATTGTGTGGTGAGCAGATGCAAATGCACGCAATGAAGCTATGAGCTTCAGGTTTTCATGCTGAATTCATTTGTGTCAGCATAGAAATAGTGAAATACATTGGTCTGTGTCTAGGAATGTGAACTTTACTTTAGAGTCCAGAGTCAGGAACCTTAGACCAAACATTTTCCCTTTTGTCTGTCTCTTTAGATTTCCAACTGCCCAGCTACTTCACTTTTCCTCCAAATATATAACATTTAAATAAATACTACTCTTTATTTCCATTGTGTGCATTTATACCTGGTCAAATTACTTTAATCTTTACCATAGTATAGAATACAGATGGACTTAACCCTGTGACATTGACTTGCATTGCATAGAATTATGCTCTTCCAAAACCTTCGACAGTATGGAATTATAGTTGGTAGTGTTACTTTCAACTATTTTCCATTTCATAGATTTCCAGTTGTCCAATCCCCTTGCTAATTAATTCCCAAGAATGGTTGGAGAATTGAGGAATTCTTAATGCAACGGCATGGAGAAAAATGTACATTAGGAAACATATATGTAAAAAAAAGGAGTGGTGTGGGAGAAATAGAATTAATTCCTAAATATCTTCCAAGTGTATTGGATTGAGTAATATGGTCAGATAGTTCCCTCGTTAATCTCAATAACTATCCATTTATTTAATTGAATGAAAAGCTGCATCATCTTTGTGTGTCCTCCAGTATATTGTGAGGTTTAGATCACAGCAGAAGATATTGTGTTACTGTGTTTGAAGGGGCCTTTTGCTATTATCTGCTTGTGCACAACTTTGAAATAGCAGACTGAGTAGTAAACCTTCCACCAGACTTTCTGTATTGACCGGAAGATTTTTAATGAATTTGCAAAACACCGTGTCATAGTTTTAAATCCTCACCGTGTCATAGTGTAAGCAGAGCACCTGAAGAAACTGCAAGCAGAAAAATAACAGCTTAGTCACTGTTGACACTTCGGTGCAGTGTAAGTGGAGCTCTATATTGTTGGACGTGCCACCCTTTAGATAAGATGTTAAATCGAGGTCCCAACAGCCTGTTGAGGTGGATATTGAAGACCCCATGAAAAGAGAATATAGTAAAGAGAATATCTCCTGGTGTCCTGGTCAATTGTCCTCCAAAATAAATTGGCTTCTCACATCGTACCATATCACAATTTTCAGTTATCAGCCTGAAGTACGATCAATATTTAGCTCCAATTATGTGCAATGAACTTTGGGTTCATGATCAGCTGATATAGTGGAGTCTAAGCAGCATGTGTTCTAAGTGTAGCTTCAGAAAACACTAACCATGAAATCGGTGTATACATTAATGTTTTGAATTTTTTTGAAGAAGAGTAATAAAATGTCAATCAATGGGAAAATGAATATTACGTTTGATAAATGCTTGTTAAAGCAGGCTTGGACAAAAGCTCCACCATAATGGATAGAAGGTTGAAAACAAAATAAAGTACAACCACTTGCCCAGAGCCTGAATGTGGGCAAACAGTCTTGCAAATCATAGCTGAGGTACTTCAACATGCTGCAGTTTCCACAGAGAAGAAGTGAAGTAGCAGTGCACCATAGCCATCTGGTTCACATTTTATGAGACATTTATATGCTTTATTGCCTAATGTTCTTTGTGGTCAATTATTGGCGTTCTAAGTTTTGTGTTCTGATTGGCAATATGAAGTGGATCCCTGAAAGCAGCACTCCTTGATCTGCAGGCACTGTTAGGCTGGGCTGTGAGATATATATAACATATGTTTTATATATATATATATAATATAATATTATTTAGTGGCTTCTTGTTGCAATTATTATGATTTATGTAAAGTCATAATTTGGTGAAAAAAAAACTTCAGGTGGTGAAGTTGACGGATGAAATGAATTGCAATAATCAGCTTGCAAAGTAAACTCGGTGGTATTTCATTTCTCTTTGACAAGATGAAATGGAACGTTTGAAACCATTAAGGTAGAAGCTGAAACCTTGAGACTGCCACCTATGGGGCTGTTGTTTTTTGGTGAACGTACCTGGGTTTCTGCTAACTCTATAACCTTGGTTCACCTAGCTTAGCAGCTGAGCAGATGGACCAAATAACCAAAATACATTTCTCTACATTGAGATCACATTTAGTCAATTCTTGTTCAAAAAACTGAACTTTTCATTTTGCAAGTTTCTGATAAGCGCTTGATGCTGGAAATGATTTTCTGTCAATTAGCAAAATCAGAGAAAGGGGAAAGGAACAAAAGAGCTAAACAAAGTGCCGTTGGCTGAAACACAAGGCCTGCTTACAGTTAAATAGCTTTGATTGTTTCAGCCACAGAGGCCAAGCAGCAAATAACGGTTATCTGAGATATGTTGTATAAGGACCGTGTGAAGATATTTCTGTGCAACCAGAATCACAATACCCAAAACATCTCAGCACTGTTTTTTGTTTCCATAAGATACTGTGAGGGAATAGAGAAAAAGAGGAATCTTTAGGTCTTCAGATGACATTTCATGTGACATTTGCATTGAAAATTGCACAAGAAGGAAACAACAACTTATTCCAAGAAACAGTGCTGAAAATCAATTGCAATTGTTATTTCATTGCGTGAAATTTACAATTGGGCCTATTTCTGTGCTATATCATTCTGTGTAAAATAATAATTTGCAGCTGTTATTGATCCCCTGCTCAAGATGAATACATGGATAAAGAGTTGTTTAAGGGAAACAAAAGAGGCTAACATGAAATCACCAGGTTGTAACCATGGAACATTTCAATATCAAATAGGATGTGTATTAAAAGTTAAAGTGTCCCATACTTCTTACCCAAACAGTAATATAACTGCATTGCTTTAGGAATACAAATTCCTGAGAGCTCAAGGGAGGATTAAATTGGAGACTTGTCTATCTTAAATATGCATATCACCTCGTCTGATGTACATTTCAGGTTTCATTTCAGCTGTGTAGTTTATGTCAAGGCCTGGTGTGTGGATGTTTGATTTCCACAGTGGCTTTTAGACTAATTGACCATGAATCATGGCATTTCCGATAAATAGTACCATGTTTTCAAGTTCCTTTTCTGGTGATTCATCTTTTTTGATATCCTTTGAACAAATGTTAAAACGTATCAACCTGAATTTAGATAGTCATCACAGTTTATTGGAAAATGCTGGAAGTATTTGCAGAGTTGCTGTATGCTGAGTCAGAGGCCTTATAACCTTATTAGCAAAATTGGGATCAAGATAGTTAGAGGCCGGCAATGTGAGAGATATGGTTGGCAGGGTTTGGGTTTGAGCTTTGTTATACATTGGGGTCTGATTGTTGAGATAATAATAATAATAATCCTTGCATTTGATATAGGGCTTTTCACGTCTTTTAGACATCTCAAAGCGCTTCACAGAATATACTATCAATTGAATTGATTGTATATTTGTGGGTGAAACATGGCAACCAATTGCACACAGCAGTGGCCCACAAACAGTCGTGGATTGCGTGACCAAATTATTTTTTTTTCTTGAGGGATTATTATCCCCAGAAAAGTGACCCAACAATCGACTATCAACCGGGTTCTTACTTACTGCTCGGTGAACAGAGGCATGTGGAGTAAGGAAACTTGCCCAACATTTAGCCCTGCCTGGGAATAGAATCCAGGACTCTCAACTGTGAGGTGAGTGATCTAACCACTGAGCTACAGGACCCCAATGGTAGCACTCAGTGGTAGCATCCTTCCCTCTGAGTCAGAACGTTGGGGGTTCAAGCCCCATGTTGGGACATGAACTCACATAGTCTAAAATGACACTCAAATACAGTGCTGCAGGGTGGGGGTGGGGTTGCATTATTGGAAGTGCTGTCTTTCAGACGAGACGTTAAACCGAGGTTCTGTCTCCCTGTTTAGGTGGATGTTAAAGATCCCACGACACTGTTCTAAAAGAGAAGGGGATTTCTCCTGGTATTGTGGCCAATAATCCCCCCAAAATATTGTTTCATGGTTGTTTGCCGTGGGCAATTGGGTTGCAATGTTTACGTACAAATACATAGCCACTCCACAATAAATCCCGCTTTGGCACATCCTTCTGACGTGAAAGGCAAGGATACATAACAAATGCAAGGATTATTAAATATTATTATTACTATAAAAGGAACAACTGTGCGGGGTGGGAAAAAGTTGGATTAGGGCTGACATCTTGAGAGCAGTGGCAATGCTGGGACTGTAAGTGTTGGGCTGGTATTGTGCTGCAGTCTAATTGGCATTTCCCTGTCAATAGCCAATTTTGTGGATTGCTCCCAACTTGGTCCTGAGTTTCTAGTTAGCACACGATCCCTAGTTGACGCAAGAGCTCTGGTTACTGCCAAATCTCCACATAGGTCCTTAGTTAGTACTGGGTTCTTAGTTCTGACTTGTTGATTAGTGCTGGGCCCTTTGATGGTGTTGAGTCCCTAGTTAGGTTTTAGTTAGTGCTGAATCCCTAGTTGGTGTTGAGGTCTTAGCATTTAGTTAGTGCTGAATCCCAGGTTAGATTAGATTTCCTTTGGGAAATAATATCTTGGGATACAGTATATGGTTTCGGACATGACATGCATGAGACTGACAGGATGGTGGAAAGTGAATTGGATGGACCTTGGACATCTTTAATCCAACAATTCTTATGGTCTTATGGTTGGTGTTAAGTCTCTGGGCAGTATTCAATTAGTGTTAACTCCCTGGTTAGTGTTGAGTCCCTGGTTATTAAATCCCTGGTCAGTGTTGAGTCCCTGGTTATTAAGCCCCTGGCTAGTGTTGAGTCCCTGGCTAGTGTTGAGCCCCTGGCTAGTGAGTCCCTGGTTAGTGTTGAGTCCCTGGCTAGTGTTGAGTCCCTGGCTAGTGAGTCCCTGGTTAGTGTTGAGCCCCTGGCTAGTGAGTCCCTGGCTAGTGAGTCCCTGGTTAGTGTTGAGCCCCTGGCTAGTGAGCTCCTGGCTAGTGAGTCCCTGGTTATTAAGCTCCTGGCTAGTGAGTCCCTGGCTAGTGAGTCCCTGGTTATTAAGCTCCTGGCTAGTGAGCCCCTGGCTAGTGAGTCCCTGGTTAGTGTTGAGTCCCTGGCTAGTGAGTCCCTGGCTAGTGAGTCCCTGGCTAGTGAGTCCCTGGTTATTAAGCTCCTGGCTAGTGAGCCCCTGGCTAGTGAGTCCCTGGCTAGTGAGTCCCTGGTTAGTGAGTCCCTGGCTAGTGAGCCCCTGGTTATTAAGCCCCTGGTTATTAAGCTCCTGGCTAGTGAGTCCCTGGCTAGTGAGCCCCTGGTTATTAAGCTCCTGGCTAGTGAGTCCCTGGCTAGTGAGTCCCTGGCTAGTGAGCCCCTGGCTAGTGAGCTCCTGGCTAGTGAGCCCCTGATTATTAAGCTCCTGGCTAGTGAGTCCCTGGTTATTAAGCTCCTGGCTAGTGAGTCCCTGGTAGTGAGTCCCTGGCTAGTGAGCTCCTGGCTAGTGAGCCCCTGATTATTAAGCTCCTGGCTAGTGAGCTCCTGGCTAGTGAGCCCCTGATTATTAAGCTCCTGGCTAGTGAGCCCCTGGTTATTAAGCTCCTGGCTAGTGAGTCCCTGGCTAGTGAGCCCCTGGCTAGTGAGTCCCTGGCTAGTGAGCCCCTGGCTAGTGAGTCCCTGGCTAGTGAGCCCCTGGCTAGTGAACCCCTGGCTAGTGTTGGTGTTCAGCTCCACCAGTCACCGCTGTGTATCGGTTTGCCCTCCGTGTTAGCGCTGCGTCACTGGCTGGTGCCCGGTGGCCCCCGGTGGCTGCCGAGCGTCGCTGCCGCAGTGGTTACCGCAGCGCTCCACGTGAGTGAATGAGTGAGTGAATGAGCGACTGAGGGCGGAACGACCGAAAGAACGAACAAACGAACGGCGGCGGCGATGATGATGATGATGAGCGCAGTGAGTGAGCGAGTGAGTGAGTGCGTGAGGGTCAGTGCAGGAGCTCCAGTCAGGCAGTGAGTGAGCAGTGAGCGGCGCCCCCTCACCCGCAGCCTCAGCATCAGCCGCAGCCTCAGCATCACCCGCAGCCTCAGCATCCGCACCGCACCGCAGCCGGACATGCCCTGAGCTCCGGGCTCCCGCACCCCACTCACTCACTCACTCACCCTCAGCACCCAGGACAGCAGCTCCCCCGCAGGTAACCAAACATCTGCTCCTTTTTAAACCCCCTCCTCCCTCCCTCCTTCCCTCCCTCTCTCTCTCCCTCTCTCACTAACCCCCTTTTTCAGGGATATTTGCTAAATCAACGCCCTTATTTGCAACCTCCTTTATTTGTTTTATTATTGGATTATTTATCTATTTATTGGTTTGCGTTGACAGCTGCAATCATCGGGTTCAATGCTTTCTCTCTCTATATATATAGATATGTATATATTATGTTTATTTTATATGATATATATTAAAAAAAAATTCCTGTGGGATTTTTTTTTTCCTTTCCTCCCCCCCACCTTTTTGGATGGATTTTTTTTTATTGGTCGAAAAGAAATACATTTGCTGTTAAAATGAGGGGATGAGATGCGTTGAGCGTCCAGACCTGGTGGGTCCGCACAGGGATGGATGGCATTGTTCAGTGTCATCTCCATCGCATTGTAATGGGTGTGTGTTATTTTTTTTTCCTGTTTAGATCTGCAGTGTAATTTACACCACACACACAAAAACACGCACACACACACAAACACGCACACAAACACGGATGTGTCGCGAAATTGTTTTTTTTTCTCTTTCCCCCCCTTTCACATCAAAGAGGTCAGTGTGTTTTGGATATATCATCTGTTCTTTGTTACCAGCGATGGCTTCCCATAGCGTTTCATGGCAGATCTCCACCCAAATTAGCTCTGTCTGTCTGTCTGTGTCTGTGTGTGAGTGGCTGTCTGTGTCTGTGCGAGTGGCTGTCTGCTGTCTGTCTGTCTGTCTGTCAGTCTGTGTGTCAGTCTGTGTCTGTGTGAGTGGCTGTCTGTCTGTCTGTGTCTGTCTATGTGTGTCTGTCTGTGTGTGAGTGGCTGTCTGTGTGTCTGTGTCTGTGTGTGAGTGTCTGTCTGTCTGTCTGTGTGTCAGTCTGTGTGTCAGTCTGTGTCTGTGTGAGTGGCTGTCTGTCTGTGTGTCTGTCTGTGTCTGTGTGTGAGTGGCTGTGTCTGTCTGTCTGTGTGAGTGGCTGTCTGTGTGTCTGTCTGTGTCTGTGTGTGAGTGTCTGTCTGTGTGTCTGTCTGTGTCTGTGTGTGAGTGTCTGTCTGTGTGTCTGTCTGTGTCTGTGTGAGTGTCTGTCTGTGTGTCTGTCTGTGTCTGTGTGTGAGTGGCTGTCTGTCTGTGTTGCCTCTTTATCTTTATGTTTTTTTCTCTCTCTCTCTGCCCTGTCATTTTCTCTCTGGAGGTGTCCGTCTTGTTTTTCCTATTGTCTCCCCTTTCTACCTCTCTTTATTCGCTCTTTATTTCTGTGTGTATTCCCTCCTGTTCCCTTGTTTGCCTGTCCCTGTGTATTATCTCCAGCACATTAGTTGGTTGCTACCATTTGTCTCCACTGTTTTGTTCGTATGTACCCACCCATCCACCCAGACAGACAGACATACAGAGAGAGACAGAGACAAAGCCAAACCTGTCTGGCCTAGAACTGTGTCCATCAGACACACCATCCAGATTGAGAGGATGAAACATATTTTACACCCAGATAACAATGTCTCAGAATAATAACCCCCTCTTTCAGCCTAACATTTCTAGTGCAGATTTGCACAGTACTGGATCACATCCCAGATATCAAATGTCCTGATTGGATTGGGTTTCAAAAGCAGATTAGGATTTCTGGATGCTGTGGTGGGAATGAATTGAAATGGTGTAATGGCATTCTTCAACCTCTTCGGCTCTGTGCTAATCCGATGTCCTTCCCTGAATGACAATTTTCCAGTGTATTTCTGCTTCCAAGAGGATGTGCGGTTATCATTCGTAAGCAGCTTCTCCGGAAAAAAAGATTGCAAAAGGCTATATTCTTAAGGTTGTTGTAGTTTGAGGCTGACACTTATAGATAGCTATATTATATTTCTACTGCAAGCGTTGTTTTAAACACTGATTTTTTTAAAAAAGAAAGCGTTGCATCTAAAATGGCCGCCACAGCGAGTTACCTTAATTCCATACAACCTCTGGCAATAGATCTTTGTTCCTGAGGGATGGCGGATAATGCAAGGAATATTTGTTCGTCATTTCGAAATGGGTTAAAGAGGTTTGTTATTAATGGGATGTCATCAAGGGACTGCATGCTTCATGCCTCTTTACCCCTCCCTCTACGCATTTGTTTTTTTTTAATGTCTGCGCATTGTACTAACACAGGAATTCTCTGGTCCTGACCCAGGTTTTCAGTGGGGGAGGGGTTGGGAAGGAGGAGAGACTCTGCACCTTTTCCTTTCTCAGCTACGGAGCTGTTTAATTGCAGACACATTGTGGGGTTGAGGAAACACCCAAATCCGATAGCGTGCAATTATTGTTAATAAACAATTTCATCCACTCGATTAGACGATGGTTTAATCCCTTCACCCTCAAATAGATCCAGTAAAGCAACAATGAGGCAGACAGATCTCAGTGGTCTTAAAAGCGACAAATCTACAAAAAAACAAAAAGCAAGCAGAGCAAGGGGTGATGGAATCATTTTTTCTCTTAGGCTTTGACTTGCTTATAATATGCAGACACAGAAATCCTCCAGTCTATAAATATATTAAAATGAACGATCAATACTTTTCTATTGAAACGATAATCTGTATTCCTTATCCTACTGAACACTGACATTTATATGCTGCCTTTGTAAGAGCTTACCTGGTGTGATTCCGCCCTACTGAGTTTGCGTCAGAGAGAATAATGGGTACCTAGGACAGGGTTTCAAGCTGTAACTAAATCGAGAGGTTTAGATGCCGTCATAAGACAGGAAGCAAGCTCAAATAGCTGGTAAACATTATCTGAGCCTCCAGATTAATTTACAGCCTTAAATTGATTCAGAGGTATATTCTATGCATGTTTTTTTTTTGAAGAACAAAGCATTCCATCTTAATGTTCAGAGAGGGTGGGGTGGAGGTGTGGAGTCATCGACTTGCCTCTGTTTCTGTTTGTATCAATGTTCTGCCATAAGGCTTCATCTTATTGAGGCATAATTGTGACATTAGCACTGCAGGTTTACTGAGAATTAATAAGCAGGCAATTCAATGTCTGTACAGTACGCAATACATAATAATGCGTCTTGGGAGTGAGCCACAAAGGTTATGTTTGCCAAACTTTAAATCACTTTACTGAATTGCAGCTTTTCACTTGTTCCCAGTTAATTGTCCCTTCCTTTGGTTACGAAAACTAGTGATGGGTGAGCTTATAGTTGGGGTGTTGCTGAAGCTGATTGCCCACCCACAACAGTCGTTGTTTTCTTCATATTGGGGGGTGGGGGGGAAACCAAATTTAACATTTTAATTTCTTGCTGTGTGTTTTTGCATTTGAAATGTGAAATCTCATCAGAGGAGACCAGACAAGAGATACATATACATTCGCACTGCAGGTGACGATTCAAGCATTATGTCATTATTTAAAAACTGAAGAAACCCTCTGAGTGCAAAAAATAACACACTCTATACATTGTGCTGCTGTAAACATTTTGCATGTTGCACATAACATTGGTATTCACATTAATCACAATGTTGCTCTGTAGACACACCAATTCATACATTAGAATTAATTGAGCCAAGTACAATATTGTATTTTGCTTCTGTGTGAGTATGTGTGTTTGCACACATGTTTAGATTTTCACATTGTTTCAACAATTGAGGGGCGTTCATTTGAGTAAGTATAATCACTATGTAACTGTAGTCCTGGATTTGAGCTAATTTGAAATTAAATTTCCATTCTAGATTTTACCGTGCACCACACCACCATCTTTACATACAAGCCTGCGTTTGCCACTAAGCATTGTGCAGCAGGTAGTTGGAAAGAAACAGCAACAATTTTACATTTATAAAAGTGCCTGACTCATCAAGAGGACATCTTAAAAACTATTTCGCAGAGCTGGCTGGGTAATGGAGCAAAATGAAAGTATCTGCTGCCTAGTGTTGAAGAGAAATGCCAGGAGGACCCTAAAGGCATATTATTAAATGGAGAGAAGATGTCACTACTATATGTACAATAATATTCTCTGTTTTGTTTTTATTTTCCGTCTTTCCTAATCTTGTTTCGGACTTGGTGTGGTGCTGCACTGGGAACCTTGACTTATTTTTCTCTGAATCAAGAGTGGAAGACCCTGTGGCTCATTTTTCACCTTCATACCCCAATTTTTATGCCTTTATAGGAACCCAAGCTCACATCAGCAAACTGAGTCCAGATCTGCGATCGAGCCTTGTGACCTTACTGGTCTATATAACTCAATTTTCACACCATGTCATTTTCAAGGATTCCTGAAGGATTTGATGAGATTTAGTTTTTGATACCTGCTGTGGAGCATGCTATATCAAATGCAAGGATTATTATTATTATGATTATTACAGCTCGTGAATATCAGTGTCAAATCTTGTACACGTTGGATAAAAGAGAGCTATTCACTCTTGTCTGGAACTGTTAGGCTGATTTGTGTCATTGTTCGTTCCCATACTTGTACAGACCAAATAACAAGGAGCAATTCCGCCTCATCAGCTCCTGTACGTGTACATGACATACCATGTAAAAGGAAAGACATATTCCTGGTTAATACTGCACTGCTTGTGCTTGTTGGTATTCATGTAATATATATTGGATATGAGGGAACAAAATTCACTTCTGTCTGGTACAGAAAAACTTGTCTCTGTCTCAGTCTTGATAAGATAGGGCTCTTCAGCCCTAAAAAGAGACATGTTAGAGGGTACCTTATAGAAATATATAAGATGAGGTCAAATAGACCAAGAGGCCTTCTCACTATGTCACTCTTAGTCCATGAAGATCTTGGTGACTCAGTAAAGCTACTCCACAATGTTATATATCTGAGTATACAGACCAGGAAAGGCCCAGTTTGAATCCCTACTGCGTACTGATCTGAGGCAATCTTATGAACATGGTGCCAAGGCTAGTGAGAGTAAATGACAGCCACGTTCTTCCTCTTATTAACATATCCAGTGACTCCTAATGGAAAATGTAGGTGGTGAGTGAGGACAGGCTCAGATTATGTGATGCCTGCATTGTTTCCATACCATCAAAGTACTTCAGACAGGAAGAATGGCTACTTGGGAAGAGGTAACAGTGGATGTTCGACAGCAGTGAAATTGTTTCCCAGGATGTGTCAGTGCTTCCAGAAGAGGAGGGAGACAATTGGGCAAGGGGGGAGCTTACTTCCATCCCAGGCTGCTTTTAACTATTGTGCTTTTATCATGATTGCACTTTGAAATATTCAAAAATTACGAAATGATTTATGGATTGAAATCGTGTGTCATTTCACATGTTGCCTGGTATCAAGGCGTAGGGAGGGGAGCAGGCTTTTTGAAAAGTCATTTAAAAATTGGTTCAGCAATTGAATTATGTCGAGACTTGAACCAGATTGTAAGACTTTGCATTTACTGTCTTTCCCTCAGTAACGACGACAGACTGGCCAGCCTCGCTTTGAGGTCATCGCGGAAGCAAGATGGCCGGCTCCTCAGTGAAGGTAGCGGTGAGAGTCCGGCCTTTCAACTCCAGGGAAATCAGCCGAGACAGCAAATGTATTATTCAGATGTCAGGAAACACAACGAGTGAGTATCTACCGCTGCACTGGTTACCTTGCTTGGAGCCCTGTTATGCCGTGGAGAGTGTGGGGTTTGAGGACACAGATCAGTAAAAATTAATCAAGGATCAAAGAGCTCAAACTCAGTTGCGGTCTCTTTTTTTTTCTCTTCAAATTTTGATATAAGTTTTCCTACTTTGGTTTTCATGTTTATTAGTTCTTCCTCCTTTGAGTGGGAAGGTTGTGGGCAAATGTTGAGATTTCTACCAATTATTTAATACTCATTATGGCCAAATTCTATCTGTTTGAAAACAAAGAGCTCTTATTATTTCCGAGCCCTGCCTGGTCAGTGTCTCATAAGAAGCAGTTGCTCTTCATAATTTTGTGAGTTTGCAAAGGTTGTTGGAAATTGTAACTTGTCAAAAAAAACATGTAAGTGCAGGTGGGAACTCACAGGTTGGAAATCAGTGAGCTGAGGGATGATGTTGCTGGGGGAATGAAACCTCTCCCACTTTGTGTTCCACATCAGCAATCGCAGCATTGTGTTGAAGGATGGGGCGGTGTGCTGCATGAGATGCTGGCTCGTTTCCTGCGGGACCTGGTTTTCTGTCTGTCAGGAGCAATGCACAGTCTGGAGTGTGTCTGGGGTGATACGCAGAGCAAATTCTGTGATTCAGAGGTGCTGTACAATCCGGTTCAGTCTCCCAGAAACATCTACAGTCTATTTTCCCAGTGGGTGTGTGCTCACAGCACTGAATTGACGATCTCACTCAAGATAGCTCATGTGGGAATAGGAAATGCAATGGGACGAGCGAGGGGAGAGACACAATCTCATGGTGCTTGAATGAAGCACATTGCTGTGTTTATCTTTGCTAAACCTGAATAACACTAGGTGCCTGAAATAGATAAAGGTTAAATTTCTATCAGCATCCCTTAATTTAATGAGCAAAAAAGAAAATCACCAAAAAATATATGTAATTTCTTCAGATTAAATAAAAGCAGTAAATTTCCACTTAAACAGCAACTCTAGAGGATGTGATTAACGTTAACATCAACCTTTCAATGCAAGATATCAGATATATGAAGTGATTGGTTCAGTAAGATGGCTTGTTAATCCCCTCTTCCATCATCCATCCTGCAATGTTTCAGACTATTTTCTAAAAGCTCTCAAATTAGGTAGCCATTTCCGATGAACGCTTGGTGATAATTCTCCTGAAAGGTGCCTCTCTTTTTCTGAATAGTTTGTCTATTGTCATTGAGAGCATTTAGTACCTGACTGTAAAAGCACCAGCTGCTGTGAATTGACAGCAATACACCTGAATAATTTAGATCCTTTGTAAATGGGGCGGGTTCAGGAAATTAGACTCAGCAACGCGCTGCAATGAACAGCTAATTCTAGCTGCTTTCATTTCATTTTCCATTCAATGATTTAATGTGTGTTTTTTTCCACTATGAGATTCAGCAATTATCGTATCTGAAGGATTAATCAAAGTCTGTGGTTGCCGAGCTGAACAGGGATGGGAATGAGACTGAGAGTAAAATGGCTGTCGAGGGTCAGAGGTTCAAAGCTTCTATCTGCTCTCTTTATCTTATAATAAAATACTTTCTTGAAAGAATAACCTGTTTCGTCGAATACCATTAGATCTCTTCTTGTGTTGTAGAGTCAAGAGAAGTATCGAATCCTGGAATCTGGCTAGGAAGTTAGACAAATATGTTTTTCTTTCTTTAATTTATCTCATCACCAGTTAAAGTTGGTATTGTTACAGTAATGTATTCTTCAAGATACTGTGGTCTGTTTATAAAAGTGAATGAATGTGCGTGGATGTGCACATCCTGCATGTAACACTATTGAGGAATCTGTGATTTTGATCTGGGTCTCAGAGTGCAGGAAGGCTAAAATCTAACAAGGCAAGAGACCAATATATCGAGAAGAAATGGTTAGATGACATAACATTTAATTTTAAAGCCTATAGAATATAAGAGGAAGGAAGCACTGATAGGGTGGTGGGAGGATCTCTTTCTTGGTTCTGTTACCTTTTCAAGATATTGCATGATGTGGGGCATGAATGTAAATTGCCTTGGGACATCATCCCGACATGAAAGGTGTTCTATAAATATAGAATTGTATTGTAGCTTTGTGCTTTTGGATCTGAGGACTGGGGAGTTATTTATTTTATTGTATTATAATAGAATTCGTCCTTGAACATCATTAAACCAAAACTAATCGCCACACAGAGAAATCCTTTCGTATGACGATAATTCACAAGCTTTTATCTTCAAGGATCCTTGTACTTTACAAGGGGAAATTACCATTAGAGAATAAAATAAAGGAGAGATGAGAGTCTGCAGGGAGTGAGAAGATGGATAGGTAGAGCTTTAGAAACACAACGACAAAAAACAGAGATGCAGAGTGAGACAGATCGAAAAAGAAAATGACAGAGATGTGAAGAGAGAGATGAAAAAACAAGACGAGAGTGGGGAGGGAATGTACAAATCTGACTATGATCTGGAGCACTGAACTGACAGATTTGATATTAAAATAGTGCATCAAATTGTTTTATTTGTTCACCAGCAAAAAGAAAGAAAAAAGGAAGCATTTTACTATTTGCATTCTTTGAATCGAGACATTTTCATTTGGCAGTACTATACATAAATAAATGTTCAGTAACCCAATGGAATTTAGGAATAAATGTATGATGTACAGGGCAAGTCTGGGAGTGCTAGTTAGGCACTTACTCATTTGCATCGGTGGATCAGCTCAGCCGATAGTTACTTTGTAAATGCCTCCACTTAATCTGGCCATGGTGAGTCCAGTACATAAGACAAGATAAAGGTTTGGGATTCAGTCTAGGCCAGCTAAAAGCTTTCTTATTTTGGTCTTATGTTTGTGAGGCAAGCCTATAGATTTGTTGAGGAAAATTACATCAAATGTGGGATCTGGGCATGAATAGCCTGCCTCCTTGTTGTCAACTTCACTGCACAGGTCACTGAGCCTACCTGGGGTGTGCTTGTCATCACTCAGAAGCTAGCAAACCTAGTGGAGCCGCACAGGGTAGGGATTTCAGCATAATCAACGATGGAAAATTCAAGATTTTATACCAAGCATGGGAATTTCCATGAGTAGGTGGCAGGCATGGAAGCATGTTTTGTACTCTCTTAAGCATGGTGGTGGGTTTCTGCACTGTCAGACATCCAGCTGACCAAAAAAAAAAGATGGTAGCGGAGTATGAGCCTGCTGCAGTCTGTTTATCTACAATGCATTCAAAAAGATTTAACATATATTCATAAAATTCATGGGTTCTAGTGGTTGCTTTTGAATTGGTTCATGAGCATCCCTGAGAAGTTGGCAGCGTCCATCCCCGCTCTCATTGAGCATGATGCTGGGTTGCTGGCAGTGTGGGCGGCCTAACATTTTGCTGTGTGCATGTGTCTAATCTGTGTGGAATGTGCATTCTTCCTGACACAGTCATTCCGTTGTCCTGTGGGTCAGCTCCGGGGATTAGTTGCGGGAGAGGTTTTAGTGAAAGGCACAATTGAAACAAAGGACCGCTGGTGAGAGCGAGAATGAGCCACAGAAATGACACTTTAATGTTAACCCCTTTGGGGCTGAGCTCCACATGCATACTGCAAAAAGCTTTCTTTATCGAACTCTGGGAATTTATGTTCTTATCCAAAAAAATATTTTTTTTTTCCCTTTTCAAGGCATCCAGTGAATGAGCAAGATGCACAATTTAAAGCCAAATAAAGGCAATTTATGTTCTGTGACAACATGGGGAAACAGAATTGAAACTGTATCAGACTCATTTTGTACAGGACGATAATAATAATCATAATCCTTGCATTGGTATAGTGCATTTCAAATTGTGAGGACATCCGTCTCAAAGCACTTCACAGGATTTACTGTGAAGTGGTGTAACTGTGTATTTGTAGGCAAACATGGTAGCCCAATTGTGGACTGCATTGTCCCACAAATAGTCATGAATCAAATCGACAATTTTATTTGGGGGATTGTTAGCCAGGATGTCAGGAAAAACGTTTTTTGAGTAGTTGCATAGGATACTTAATAATAATAATCCTTGCACTTGATATAGCGTAGCGCGTTATGTCTTTCAGACGTCTCAAAGCGCTTCACAGGATATACTGTAAAGTGAATTGACTGTATATTTTGTGGGTGACAATTTCTACTTAATATCTACCAAAACAAGCTCGAAAAGAGAAGGGTCGAAATGTCAAAGTGTAACACAGAAATGCAAAATGCAAATTGAGTGCTACTTTGACTGTATAATAGCAGCTGTAAGGTTTACTCTCCTCTCCCCTCATTTCTGGCTGAAATCCATTTCTACCTAAATATCTACCTAAACAGGCAGACATGACCTCAGTTCAATATGTCACTCGATGGATGACACCTCCAACAATGCAATTGTAAATTCAAATCCCGACGTGGGGTTTGAACCCACAACCTTCTTTACTTGATTAATTCTTGAAATTACCTCCTTATCTATTATTTTGTCATTCTCAGTGTAACTCCCTCTTTTGTGTTTCACAGGTTGTGTTCACCGTTCACCACTTTGCATAACGCACCTCCATGTGTTCATTATCACCAATTAAGCAAATGAGCCAAGGCTAGCAGATGGCTTTTAATCCCAATAAATGTACAGATATGTAATTTAGAAAATGATTGATGTCTACGAGAAGGAGGGTCATCCATTAGTAACTGTAGAGAAGGAAATGCAATTGGTTGTTATCGATCATTCACTGATCGTTTCCAGGAAATGTGAAGCTGATTCCAACAAAGCTAATTAAGCATTAAGTTTCATCTTGAAACCATTTGACTGAGTTGAAAGGCATTGTTCTAACCTTGTGTAGATCACTTTTGAGGCCTAATTTGGAATAATTTGTGCAGTTTTGCACAGAGTATGTTGAAAAGGACATAGATGGGAAGGATCAGAGAAGAGTGACAAGCACGATTGCATTAATTCCGACTAAATTGTGAGAAGAGGAACAGGGAACTCAATTTGGTTTCACTGG